ACTATAATCAACTAATTAAAATCATACTTCGAGACTAGGGAAAGGTAATAAGCATACGTTACGTAGTAGAATATAACTACTCTTCCCTAAATCATTCGCGATAACCCTAGAAAGACTAAATCGGAGTGTTTTAATATACTATGTAATAAATTAAGCAAGATTCAGCCTGGTTTGCTATAATAGGATTATAACGACCGATCCCTCTATACCTAACTTCTATACGCTTATAGAGATATTCTAAAGTATATAATAGCGTTATTTATACCGGCTAAGACGTACAAAGGACTTCGTAGCTAATTAATCTCGTCGATCGAGATAGCTACCCGTCTTAACTAATAACAATTTAATATAGTAGCTAACCTACTAGAGTAGTACTAGACCGATAGAACTTTTAACGGTCGAGGGCGTTATTTACGATATAGTCGTTTATTACGAAGTCGATTATTACGAGGAAGAAGCCGTAACAGACCCCTATTACTGCTAACGCCTAAGAAGTGCTACGTATATAGAAAACCTAACTGCTAGTTAACTAAATATACTATAGAAGAGAGACGAAAAGCGTACGAGAAGTTTAAAACTACCTAATATGCCTAGGATATATTACTTCTAGCATATAGCTAATTTCTCGTCTAATACGAAGGTTTCGACGGGTTAGACTTATAACCTACTGCCGAAGACCCCTAGCAATACTACTATATAACCGAATAAACTAGTGAAAGTAACGAAGAGGAAGAGACCGGTAGCGATAGTTAATTCTAAGTTACCGCCTATTTTACTATAATAGCAATTGACGGTAATAAGATCGCTACGATCCTAGCAGACTAGTTAACCTGCTATGCTATTACGAAAGAAGACCTCTTCCGTAACTAACTAGAACCGAAAGAGCTACCTTCGCAATTTATACTCGAGGGACGCTACTCTGCCTAGAACTTCTAAGGGATTATGCCCGACTCGGGCGTAGCAGGATTCTTAACCGCTAGCTACCTATAATTCGTAGCCTTATAATAAATTTACGAAGGAATTACGTTAAATACTAAGGCGGCTAGCGGCGTTATAGTAAAATTCGGCGATAGGATACTACTAGAGTCTATAGGGACTACTAAAGTGCTAACGCCGTTTAGAAGCGTTAAATTTTACGTTATTAAGACTAATACTCCCTTCCTTATATGCCTAGGAGATATAGACCGATTAAAGGTCTACTTTAATAACGTTACGAATACCCTTATCTAAGGAAATAAGGTCGTACCTATTATTCGCAAATAAGGCTACCTATAGTTATTACTTGATAAGGAGAAACTACTTGCCTAGAACTACCTTATAGACGCTAAATTGCGACGGGTTTACCGTCGCTTCGGATACCTATCTATTTAACGATTATATAAGGTGCTCTAGAAGGCTAGCTACCTAGTTGAAATTACGGCAATTAAGTAACTATCGAAAGTCTACTATCGATACTAAATATACGTACTAGCGTTATTACGGTTTAAATTTACGTTACGAGACGATTACGAATTTAACTATAAGGTTATCGCCGACGTAATATACCTTGAAGGTAATAGACTGGTCTTCTACGTCGTCGATACCGCTACGGCGTTTAACGCCGCCTAGTTCCTTAAGGATATTTCTACGAAAGCTATTTAGGAAGCCTTACGCCTTTGCTAGATAGATATATATCAGGGACCCCCAGACTAGCTAGTTACCGACGCTAGAACAAACTTCTGCTTAACAGAATTCCGAAACGCAGCGAGAAGAATAGTAATTAAAATCAAGGAAATTCCTATAAAAGCCTATAATAGTATTAAGAAAGTTAAACGATACTATATACCTCTAAGGAGGGCGTACGAAATCATTAAAGTAGAAGACTTAATAATTACGCTAGAATCAGTACTTTAAATAGTAGTTAAAGTAGTTAACGATACTGCTAGCCTGAACGGAATAGTACTAATACTCTTAGTATTCGGCTTATACCTACGAATTACCGACGATTCGCTACTATCTCCCGAAGTTATAAGGTAGGCGAAAGCGATTAAGAAGGCGATAAGCAAAGTATATAAACTTTACGCAAGGCGATAGGTAGTAGAAGCTATCGCTACTTGCAATAGCCTTGATATAAGGCTAATTGTTAATTTACTACTATAGTCGTAAGTATAAGTATAGCGTAAAAAGAAGGGCTAGACTAGACTATTTACTTTAGTAGCTATAAACGGCGAAACCTATACTATCGATACGCTACGTAGTCCGAAGACCTTCCGGTCTACTATAGTTAAACTATACTATGAAGATCCCGATTAACTACCTAATTCTATCGCTACGCTAGAAGAAGAAGAACCCGAAGCTAAGATACCGTAGTAGGAAGTAGTACGCGACGAAATTATCATCGCTAGCAGAGGTAGTAAACCAGACGAACCGCAAGAGGCACCGGAGCTACCGAGAAGACGCCTAGGCAGACCTTGGAAGAGACTACTACTAATCGCCTACTTTACAAAGGAATTTAACAATAACCTAGATTATTAATAAATATTCCTATCGATTAAGGAGTAAGTAGACGAAGAATTAGTAATTAAACTACGACGAGAAGGTATTATTACTATACTAAGCAAACCGTTCGAATAGTTAACTAAATAAGAGATTAACAGCCTTATCGCTAGAAGAGTATTTAAATTTACTTAGTTTAATAAGAGAAGGCATTAGAACGTACGAATCTTCCGATCTTATATCGTTAACAAAGTTAAAGGTAAAACAACCGAACCCTACGAGAAATCGAGACTTATAATATAAGGTTACGCCGACGATAGTAAGAAGGCTATATTAACCTAATCGCTAACGATTTAGCAGGCAAGTTAACGGCTAATTCTATTAATTACCTTATTACTCCTACGAGAAGGGAAATAACTATAGCTTCGAGATATTATATAAGCCTACGTTTAATCCTCTATAAGGCTTAATTATACTATTCTCGCCTACCTACCGAAGCAAATTCAAGACTAGTACCTAAAAGGGACTATTATAAAGGTTATAAAGCCTTTATACGGAATCGCAGAAGCTAGAACCTACTAGTAGGCAACGTATTATAAGCATTATAGAGAGAATCTCTAGATAGTTACTTCTTCGTACGATCTATGCTTATTAATCTTATCTATTAAAAATCTATACTTTAGCTATATTAGTATATAAACCGACGATACCCTCGGTTTATTAGACAAGGCGTTCTTATAATTAAAAGACGAATAGTTAGAAAAAGCAGCTTTTATAGTAAAAGCGAAGAATATCCTTATAATTAACAAACCCTTCTAATTTAACAGAGGGATAATCGCGCTATTAACCGATAATTCGATTAATTTAAGGTAAAAGGGATAAGCTAAGAAGTTACGATATATTAAGACTACTAAACCTAACCTAAAATAGTAATATATCGAATAACGCGCTAGAGGGGCGTACATCGCGTTAATTTGCTAACCCGAGGCTTATTTCGATTTATCTACTACTACCTAATACTAAGACCCCTTGCTAGAAGCGATAAAAGTATTAAATCAACGGATTCGATAGTAAATAGAATCGCTTAACCGAGGAATAACGTTTATCCTACTCGACCTTATAATAGCTAAGCTATTCGTTTTCGTTAATAGGTTGTTTACTAATAACTACGACCTTTCCTCCTAATTAGGGTTTCTAATCATCCTAGCTAACGATACTTCCTCTAATAGTAATAACGGAGAATTTACGATTTATAATAACCTTGTTTATTATAGCTTTACGAAGAGTAAATAAGTTACCTATAGCGTATTAGCGTTAGAGATCTACGGGATGGTTGCTAGCGTCGATATAGCCTACGCCTTCGCTATAACCTTGATAATAATTATTAACTACCTTAACCTACTAACGATTTAGATAGTTATCTATACCGATTCTTATTCGCTATACGAGTGTCTCGTAAAGCTAGGTACTATTAAAGAAAAGCGACTTATAATCGATATTATAGCGTTAAGACAATCGTACGAAAGACGAGAACTCTAAGAAATTCGTTAGATTAACAGCGAAGACAACCTTGCTAATGCCTTTACGAAAAGCAAACTAAATCGAGCCTTCGAGAGATTCGTTAATAGTAATACGATAACGATACGTATAGAGGGATAGGTAACAAGACCGTAACTACGGGAGAAAGTAGGGATAGGAGGCCGAATTGACGAGGAGACGGAACTATATAGGGATAACGTATTCCAACCGCTTCAACACCATAAAAAGAGAGTTTCCAGTGTTGCGATAGTTGGAATACGGAGTCGTGTGGCACTTCCAGCCACACGCCCGCCAGGCTGAGAGGCCCAAGCCTCCCAGACCCACGTGACAGGCCAAGGGGGAATATCCCCACCTTCTAGTCAACAACACCACTTTCAACTATCATGAACCATCGATTAGAACTAATTTACTGTTATTTGTTATTGACGAACGGAATTCCGTTTCACCCCCTGTGAAACCTACAGATAGATCATCCAGAAGTGGGTCACTGGAGGATTCCACTCCAGCATGTCAGCAAATATCAAGAGTAGGAGTTTCCAACGGATCAACTCAACACATGATACACTACGGACAGGGAACTGATAAAGAATTAATCCTTCAAAACTGAGAGAAAATATTACAATAGAATATGACCAATGATATTTAACGAGAATATTGCCTTCGTGAAGACGGGGATTTTCCACAATCCATGTGCTTTGGAAACAGTATCACAGCTGATTTTACACCGCCTGCTTGTTCGTCAACCAGTGAGTATTTTTATGCCATATGCACCAGTTATATAAGTTCATTGTCCTCTAAATAAAATCCCACATTGGATCATCTGACTCAGACACGAGCGCCACCCTATTAAAGTTCCCGGCCACGAGTTGCAGTCCGCCCTGTGACACGTACGCCGCCAGGTCAAACGGCACCCTTACAACCGAGTCTCCCATGCCTACGGAAGGCGGGGCGTAGTCTTGCGGTTAACGGTAGAGCAGTGATATAAACTAATGCAGGGTGAATGAGAGAGGAAGAAGGGGCTGGTAATCTACCTGCGTGATGGGCGTCTGCGTAGTTATGCAGGATGGCTGAAGGTCATAGACAATGTGGTGTAGGAATTTCCGTCGAGCCGGTAAGGCGGGACCGGGGGCGTCAGGGTCGACTTGGATGTAAGTGTACTTTGTTGTTGCCGGGTCGTACCTTGGTTCGGGGTTGAAGGAGATTGTCGGGCTTTGGAGGGTTTCTGAACTCTATGAGTGTCTGATATCTCATTTGCATTACGGAGGCAACTAAAGTATGGCAGCGAACTCATTCCCCAGGGTCTCAGGTTTGTCACCATACCCCACCCGCAGCTCGATCGTGGGGCGGATGACTAGGAGGTAGGATGGAGTCAGCCCGAAGGATTGAAAGCTATAGCGCACTTCTGCAGCACTCCTAGGGGAGAAAGACAGTGCCGGGCATGTGAATTGTTTCTTTTCAAGCGGTGAACCCTATACCACAGTAGTAAGCAGGGAGAGGAGAGCAGAGTGGATTGTCTTCATGGTTGCGTAGTACTGCTTCTAGGTAGTCTTGGAATAAGTGATGCACACCCAGAGGCTTTTTAATATCCCCATCCCGCGAACAAATCAGACATTTTATACCTAGCACTAAAGTAACCAGCAGAACGTCATACGACCCTGAAAGCTTATTAAGAGATAAAAAGGGTCTATATAAGTCATGGGTTTAGCCATGACGACGTTGCGGCAAGCTATTCCTCAGAATCACGCGATTTTCAGCATGCTAAATGTGACCAACTGAGTCGACATGCCTGAGATAGGAAATCAGTGATCAGCGTGGGGGATTTGACAGCTGAATCATTCTGTTTCACTCGGGAGGCGCCGAAGACGAACTGGCTCTAGCGCAAGACCATCCTTTCTGAGCATATGCCATGACATCTAAGTGTAGCTTTTGGCTGTTGTCATTTTGTCTCGCTCATGAAAGACAACAGGCTTTGCCAACATCAAGAGAAGTTCTAGACCGGTGATCTACATGGCCCGATACTGCAGGCAGGAAACAACCATCTGAGGTGTCAGTGAAGTTTTAATCCTAAATCTTTCTCAAAATATTAGATAATCTGAATACACGAACACCAGTATTTTCCTTGTAAGATAAGAGCGGTATTCCCCTATTCTTAGCTACACCTTGCGCTCATGACTAAGATATCCAGCAACGACCTTTTCGATCTTAGGTTAGTCACTAAGAATAAAATAGTATCATATTGAAAGAGATCTGGGATGTCCAATAGAGACTAGGCATTAGTCCCACAAGTACAGACTCTCGGCAAGCTAAATAGCAAGAAACTGACCCCGCCTCCCAGAAATCTCAAACTATACTGATCCTTTCTGCGGAGTCTAAGTGTAGCTGCATGCGGGTACAACAGGGTCTAGACGATGGAGGCTGTTACCATGTAGTGTTGTGATGCGAACAACTTTATGCCTTTTCACTTGAATACTTCCAAAATAGTAGTATGACATGTTCTAATCGCTTGGAACATGCCTTTTGTGGCCTCGAACGTTCACTTGTCCGGCGCCGGATGCCTCTGGCAAATTCCACGTGAATCACACGGCAACGTGTGGCACCTAGCTGCTATCGTTGGTGATCTGGGACCCTCGACGCTGCAGTCCAAAAATACACCCCCATCATCCCCAACCAGCCAGCAGACACTTCATCCATGTCGTGGCGGACGGCGGCGCTACCCAATTCTACAGCTATTTGCCTCTGACTGATGGCGGGCGCAGAACCTAAAGGTCTAGATCTTCACTGCACCAGCTCGGTTGGCTCTAACTGCAACCAGTCTCGAAGCGACTGTCGGTGATTTCGTCTCTCTGAAAGATTTTGCCCATGGCTACTCATCACAGCACACCAGCCCAAGCAAAGTGGCGCACATCATCGAACCAGGATACCTATGATGTTGACAAAGTGGTGCTGTGGGTATGATAACACTATCATGAAGTCGCCGGTCTTGGCTTCCTCAGCGGCGTGGAAGATCGTGTAGACCACGGCTCCAGACACATCCATTATCTGTCACTACTTCAGCCGGGCTGTTCATTCTCTATGAAAAATGGTCCTGGTGTCCAAAGAGAAAATTGTTAGTGTTAGTCATGTGTCTCCCGCGATATCTGTGTTTCTGAATTTTGGGCGCGTGGGAACAACGCGGCAAAAGACAGCCATGTTCAGTTTCTCTTGGAAAATAGTTTCGTAAAAAGAATTAAAAGTATATGCGCCACAGTCTCAATTATACAATTTGAAGTAGTTTTACTGATAATTCCAGGGGTCATCGCCCCAATCATCTCCCGAATAAAGGTTCCTGTTGAGAAACTATCATTACTATCAAGCTCGGGGCATCTACTATGTCGGTATGATCCACGTTATCCTCTAATCTCATTCACTACTGAAATTTTTTTCATGATGCGGTTGAATAATGCTATGCAGTACAACATCTTAAGAGCATTACCTCCGTAACTATAGGCTCATCGCCCAGGTGACAGCGAACTCAAAACCCTGCAGTTTCTGGATCATTATGCGGCTTGGCTACGAACAACAAGCAAAGACCTTAGTAATGCGGTATGTTCCAAATGTGCGCCAGGTGATCTATCTTCACAGGATATGGGCGGCCGCCGACCGGGGTGTGTAGGATCATCTGGTCCAGTCTTTCTTGTACTGAAGTAGAATCAAAAAAGGTTCACACAATTCAGCAAGTCATGAGCTAACGTTATTTACCACAATTGCTCGGAATATTCCATTTCGCTGTCATCCAAATAGTCTGCTCTCGTCCGATGGTTCCGCGCCTTTCTCTCTTCAACCCGTGCCATGTTGCATTAGACCCGCCGAGACGTACGCTGGTTAAGCGAAGCTGAGGCCTGCATCCAGGCGACAAACAGACCGAAAGGATGGAACATTTGAGGTTTATCCTTTAGGCTGCAGCCAAGGATTCAAGACTGCACCACCTATATGCGATGGATCCTTGGAAGCGATCTAAAATCTGACATTTTCGACTTGCCCCGCGTAGCCTTACAAGGCATCCCACTAGCGAGAGTTGATAAGATATTTCCAATATTCATTGGCAGTGGATCAATACATGTAGAGCTGCATACATGCGCAAATAACCAGAAATAATTATGGTATCGGCCCGCCTGTAGGATTTCATTAGCTATGATGTGACTATACTGCAGGACTAGTCAGGCTAGGACAAGCCTAATCAACTCGCTAGCAGAACGATCTTTAGCATTGCAGCCGCGGCTTGCGAGTGGAGATGGATGGAGCAGAAACCCATGCATTGCCCAGCCGGGCGAAGCTATGTCCCTCTTCCATTCACACCGTCCGACGTACTCGTATACCTTAGTTGCTCCTTCGACTTGTGTAGAGAGTTCTGCCGGGCGGCACTTACCCGGACAAATCAGTGATCTAGCAGGTATTAGAGGAACAGGCTTTGAACCGAAGCAGAAGACCTTCTGCCAACTTTGGCTTGAAGCCGGCTGTCTTGACAAGGGGGAATGGGGACGGCATTCAGCCGATTTCAGTGGGACCTCTTCGGGATTTCCCCGGTGGCCGCTGTACAGTATTGTACCTGAAAATGCAAAGCATCTTCCAATGGAACCTGCAGTGAATGATAGGACGGCTTTCATGCATAGCGAAAACAGTTTCTAAAATGTCCAGCAGTCGTCAGTTTGGGCGAGCCATACGAAAAGCAGTTGCTTGCTCTCCGCGCTGCTTTGGCCCGTTCCAAACTAGATTGGGCCGAATCCAAGCGTTCAGTTCCTCTGGCCGCGTTCAGCAACAACCAAAGGTCGCCGTGCTATACCAAGAGATTGATCCTCCGGTAATTTCTGGAAACCGAAAACCGAAGAAGCCTGGTGGTGAGTTGACAACTTGAACTCCGTAATACCCTTTGCCGTTGACTGTTTGATAGCTAATTGTTATTCTCTGGACATGCAGGTTACAAGGATTCAGGCGCTGATATCGCATACAACTTGAGTCTCTCGAACGAAGTCGAAGTTTTAAGTCCAGCTCTCCGACCAGACCCGCGCAAGGATGTCGACTGGTGCTTTCCAGATAATGAGGATGGTATTCTAACCGCCATTGACAAAGGTGCTACACATCTTTGGGCAAATACTATTCTTTTCGCAAGCCATCCGCTGCAGACCTCCACGCTTATCGGAAAGTATGAGAAAAAAGTAAAGATCATCGGCCAAGGGCCTCTCATCGTTGAAAAGTACGACGACAAGGATTTCGTGAATACGCTGTTGCGTGAAGTGGGTTCGTTTACTATGCCACAGGCATGGACCATTCACGGAGACAAAGACAAACCTGCATACAAGGCATACCCCTATCCAGTAGTCGCAAAGCCTGCAAGGGGCCGTGGAAGCCATGGGGTCAAGGTCTGTCACGATGAGGCAGAGCTAAACTCCCATATTAAGCTCTTAGTATCAGAAGGGACTAATGTCATCATTGTCGAGGAGTTTCTCTCAGGAGAGGAGGCGACCGTAACAGTGATGCCGCCTACAGCTGGTACTGATTATTGGTCACTGCCAGTAGTCTCTCGCTTCAATCATCAGGAGGGCATAGCTCCGTACAACGGAGCGGTCGCTGTTACGAAAAATTCTAGGGCGGTGGTTGATTCAGATGACCCAGCCTACGGGGCAGTGGCTAGGGAATGTGAACGCGTTGGAAAGCTCCTTGGTACCACGGCACCCATCCGGATTGATGTACGCCGCTTTAAACCGGGGTCAAATTTCGCCCTATTCGACGTCAACATGAAGCCGGTAAGTCTGAAGCCTTTGAGAAAAGATATCCGAAGTCGCTGTTTCTAACCCAATATTCTCACCAGAACATGACAGGACCTGGTAGACCAGGACGTGATGAGCAGGCTAGTTTGACACTTATAGCGGCTGCTGCTCTTGGATGGGACTACAAAGAACTGCTGCGACAGATACTTGGCACATCTTCCACACTTGAGAGTTTGAGAAAGCTTAAACCTCGGATTTAACCGAAAAGTATTGTAGATTACCTATTTCGTCTTTATAGCTCTATGTAGGCTTAAAGTAAAGTTAGTAGCTATTTGCATATTCTATGGCCACCTTTGTAATCATAGAATGATTTGTGAATATGCAATGCTCAGTTACGGAAATCCTTTTTGGCTGATGTTGGTCTCTACAAAACACACCCCTGTGAACCCGCCAATGGACCAGTTTCGTGGCATTTCCCATAATTTCTGAGTGAAAGGTGTCCAAGGCCTGACGATGGTCCTGTCTCACTGTCCACAACATAGAGTGTTTGGCATAAGAGACAGTTTTTCTATAAAATGAGGCATGTTGTTTCCTTCACCTTGATTCAATTCGATTGAGAAGTTTTGAAGTCTACTTACGCGGAGGTTAACTTGCTTGCTTTCGGTCGTAAGCCGGTACAGATCGGCCTCAATGCCGATGCCTATGTACGTAAGCATTCAACGGTCTAGGGTACAGATTCTTTCCTGATCTGACTGAGTATGCGTTCCCCTCTTTCAACTGTAATAAAGTCTTTCGAGTTTTAAAAAATTAGAGGTAAAGTTATTGGCTGTTTGCCTCGCAGTTATTTGTTCGTCTCGTTTGCTTGCCTTTTGTCGAAGGTTTCCCGCCGTTTACTGTCATCAGCCGCCGTCATGACTCTCATTCACATGGGTATATTCGACTTTTCTGAATAACTACTTCTGTATCATGGCTGACGGAACTACACTATTTAGTCCTATTCAAGTTCAGGCCTGAAGTGACGCAAGAACACAAGGAGACTTTCGTGAGAGAATTAAAGAAATTGAAGAACTTGTCCTGTGTTAAAGACAACCGTTTAATCGTTGGAGGACCTTCTGTCACGGACCCTATTGAAAGAAGCAAGGGGTTCGAGTTCGCTTTACTCAGTTATCATGAGAACCGTGCTGCGCTTGATGAGTACCAAGCCAGCAAGGAGCACCATTGGTAAGATTGTTTTGTCTAACAACCCGTTGCCGAACATTTCATTCACCGCCAACCTTCTTTTGACCATCTACTGATGTCTTTTTCCAATATTGCAGGGTGACTCAGACATACATGTTTCCCTACAAGGAGGATCTTTGTCGATTTGACTTCGAAGTCGACGAGGCAGACGAATACATGTGTGACTTCTCCAAGCTTGCTGCCAAAATGACTGGTGGATTGTTGACGCCTGAAGAGCAGTCGATATAGACAAAAACAACTTTCAATACAGATATTTCCTATTTTTTTTAAAAACTTATTAAGCGCAATGAGATGGTCAAATCGTCGTTGCGTCTTGTGTTTTTTTTCGCCCATGAATTAATTTTGATTTCCTCAGATGTAGCTTCAAGAACTGTCATTTGCTACCTTACTAATAATACTGTTATACTTGTAGGTATGCTACCTATGCTATTTAGATATCATCATCGAAGCTGATTTCATGTTGCAACTACACAGGTTTGACTATCGGAGTTGTGATTGGCCACGTCAAATGATAGCTCTGTGATCATATCGTGGCCAATAGGCTAATCTTTGAATAACGAACCGCCATCGAGATGTTTTAAGCACTCTCGCTATTGGCCCCGGGATAAAGCCGCGCATCGGAAGGATCCGATGCATTTACACTCTGGTTTTCGGATCCCCAACATATGAGTTAGCCGATGCAGTAAGCATAATTACCTTTGCTACATGGGACGATTAATGGTGACTTCGCAAACCATCTTCTACATCACACTTTATCAACAGGGCTTCATTCGAATGTTGAAAATTGCAAGCCGCGGCATATTCTACCTCCTCAACAAAGAAAAAGATCAACATACCTAAGCCCAACATGCGAGTTGGAGTGCTTAAAGGCAACGGTATCGGTCCCGAAATCATGAGGGCTACGCAACGCGTTCTCGAAGCTACTGGTGTCCCAATTGAGTGGCAGGACATCTTGATAGCTGAAGAAGCAATTGATAAATACGGGCACCCGCTTCCGCCCGAGACCGTTGCCCAACTACAATCGGTCGGCGTGACCATCAAAGCCCCAATCATTGCTCACAAACTTGTGGGCCGCATCACATGCGATCATCCTGGTGGGACTTCAGCAACTTATCCATCATTGAACAACGCCATCAGACAAGAGTTAGGGCTCTTTGTGAACCCCAGGCCTATCCAAGGTTTCCCGGGCGTCTCCGGACGTCATGAGTCTCTCGATGTTGTCATCATGAGAGAGGTTACTGAGGACCTATATTGTGGCATCGAACATACGATTGGCAACGACATAGCCGCTGAGGCCATCAAACTAACGACACGCGAAGCCGCAACTAGAGTTGCTCGATATTCGTTCGAGTACGCGCGCAGACACGGCCGCAAACGAGTCACCTGTCTTCATAAAGCCAATGTCCTCAATCACACCGATGGACTATTTCTTCGTTGTTTCCGCGAAGTCAGCAAAGATTTTGAAGATATCGAAGCCGACGACCTCATGATTGATGCCGCGTGCTATCTGATTGTGCGCGATCCAAAACGATTTGACGTCGTAGTCGCTGCGAACCAGTATGGAGATATTTTCTCTGACCTGGCTGCAGGACTAGCAGGATCCTTAGGTTTGGCTCCAGGGGTGAATGTAAGCGATGGTATTTCTGTCTTTGAAGCTTGTCATGGCGCCGCCCCCGACATTGCAGGTAAAGGCATTGCCAATCCTTTAGCGCTGATATTGAGTGGAGCTCTGCTTCTTGAGTCAAAAAACCATCACAGAGAGGCCGAAGCGATTCGGAAGGCCACGCGTTTTGTGGTCGGCAAACAAAAGACTCTCACCCCAGACTTAGGTGGCATGGGTACTACAGAGTCTCTAACAAATGCAGTGGTAGAGGAAGTGAAGCTTATCATGGCTGGTAAATAACGACATAATGACGATGATGGAGTTTCACCATGTTTTTATCCAGCAGGAGCCTTAGTAATTATAACAGTGATTTTCCAATTATGCTGCTTGACAACGTCCGCTGAATTTCAGCGTTTATCCGTTGTCTTCTTAGATATTGGCCATAAGCAAAACAAGACTCAAACTTTAGTATCCTGTAGAGTTAAATGTTTGAATTCAAGTCGTTCGGCTTCGGATATAACGATCATGTTGTTGGCAAGCTTCATTCACATAAGTGCAGTATTGTCACATACCTCCAGAATACATTTTATATAGAAGAAAAGGCTTGTTTTCAAACTACAAGCAAGAATCGCTTGCTTAGAAATATTGAATATCTGAATAAAAAGAATTACTTGAGCGTAAATGACAGGAGGTAAACAGTACTCGGTACTTTGGGTAAGAGAATAAAAAAGTGAAAAAAAGCAAACGACGTTGGCGACACATTTCCTTTTTAGTTGCAATATGCCACTCTTCATTCTGTTAGTTTTTTCGTTGAGCATGAAACAATCTAAATCGACTTGGACTCAGGCTCTTCCATGTTGGCGTGTGGAGCGCCGAAGAGAGCGTCCATCTCCTCAATAGGCACATTCTTGGTTTCCCGAATGCACCACCAGGCCCAGAAGCCCATGCAAACCATTAGGGCCCCGAAGAAGAAGTAAGCTAGTTTTGTCAGAGAAAGGTTACAGTTATTCAATGAAGTTCTTACTTCCATAACCAATATCCGAAATCATATATGGTGTCGAACGTGACACAACATAGGACCAGAGTCTCTCATCGGCAATGGTCAATGCCATGCAGAGAGATCGAAGATAGAGCGGATATATCTCAGAAGCATATAGCCAAGTAATTCCCTGAACATATTTAGCAAAGCCTTATGGGAATAAGCCCAGAATAACTGACCTGCCAAGTTGCGCAATAAATCACTCCATACAGATAGACGCAAACCATGGCAAGGTAACCCCAACCAGACATACTTGTTCTACCTGCTGCTGCTGCTGCCTCGGGATCGTTTTTCATGACGTATCCTCCAAGGTAAAGCTAAAAGGTTTCAGCGCGTAGACTTGTATAAGAGCTTTCAGGTTCTTACCATAGGTACCGCACCAACGAATGCACCCCAAATAAGACCTCTGCGACGTCCAAAATGGTCTGCAACCCAAAAGGAGAATATGACCATTCCAAGGGTCTTAGCGACACCGTAGAAGCCCGTAGCAAAAAGTTTCAAGTCAGTAGACTGGATGCCCAACGTCTGGAAAATGCGAGGAGAATAATACGTGATAATGTTTACGCCCGTCATATTCTGGCACCTGAACATAATATTAAGCCGAGTGTACTCAAACTTGCGATGATAACAACTTACATCATGAGACATAATCCGATGGCTAGGCGGTTCCGGATGCCCTTTCTTGTTAGTTCTCTAAGTTTCCCTTTGAGCCCGGGGCGCTTTGCAGCCAAATGAGCCTCATATTCAACGGCAAGGCGGATTTCGCGTAGTTCGTGGACGACGTATGGATGATCAAGAGGAAGCTGACGGATGTCGGTAAGAATACGTTCAGCCTTATCCCACTGATCTTTTCCACATAGCCAACGTGGTGATTCGGGGCAAAATGGCAGGATAACAAGAAGAATTGTGGCTGGTAAAAGTTGGAGCCCCAAGGGAACCATCCACTGAGTGCTGGCTAAGGGAGGTATTAGTATCATAGCTTTTGATTGGGGAGATTACACACTCACTGTCTGGGCTAATTGTCTTGTTGACAGCGTAGTTTACCCAGAATCCTAGCATCTGTGCGCCTTGAGAACCAATCTCATAAAACCCAACCAACTTTCCGCGAATAGTAGGCGGAGAAACCTCAGCAATGTATCTATAAAACAGTCAGAGATGTTTGGAATGGTATGAACAAGATTGAAATGCATACACAGGGATCACCGGCGCTGAAGCACCAATTCCGAGGCCAGCAACGCATCTTCCGGCCATGACAAGAGCGACCATGCCACGCGAGCCCGTTTGCATAGACGCGCCGGCTAAGAAGACAATAGTGGCAATAGTGATGCACCACTTCCGGCCCCATCGGTCTGAAATGGGGTAAGAGCATAATGCACCGAGAAACATGCCTCCCTGGAAGCAAGAAACAATGTTGGATGTAAGATCATCAAGTTGACGCTGTGTTTTGTTTGCGAGACCGAAGTCTCGCTCAAAAGAAGGCAGAATTAGGGTACCTCCCATGACGGAGACATCGTAGCCTAGATGTATTGTCAGATGAGTACCTGGGTTTCTGATATTGAAACATACCAAGAGCCACAGCACCAAGACAGACACCGATGCAGTAAAGGTAGATTTTCCAGTTGGAAACTTCTTTCGGAACAGGTATGGCCTCTGACTGATTAACGTCGTTAACATCACTGATGAAGGTTTCGGTTGTCTCAGTTTTCTCCATGACTTGAGATTGTTGAAGCATCAAGCTTCAAAAGGAAGAAATGAAGAAACCGTCAACGAAATTGCAAGAATAACCAGCACAAGCTCAGCCGTGAAATCACTAATGGAATAGACAAAACCAAGGTTCTCTCTGCCCATGGACAAATCTTATCATCCCAACCTGGCCGCTCATCTTATTTTGTAGGTAAAATTTGCAGTGAAGTCTACCGAGAAGACAAGCTCGATTATCATAACCGAGACAGGGGGTAAGCTGCACGAATATGCAGCGTGGGGGAGGCTGTGCTTTGTGCGGGGAACAACCAACTCTAGATAGAAAGTGTGGCAACTCAAAATGTCACTTGAGATGAACCAGGCCCGGGATGATGCCGTAGCTTAACACATTCTCTAGGATTGTATCATTCCTGTCTTTCTGAAAATGTCCGGTCCAAGGCCAGACCGTGGCAATGAAGTTGCCTATTCGCCATGCTCTTGTCATTTGCGTTCTCATGATGTCGTTTGCCATATGCCAAGGCTGGCAAAAGCCAAGATCGCTTTGCAACCCCCTGCTCTTGCGGGGAAGAATACATTTGTGTGTACAATACGGAGCTATCTGTGTGCTAATGGGCAGTTACCTTTGGGAAACACTCTCTCACGGAGCTATCCGTTATCGTGTACATCAAAATCGAGAGAGTAAGTAACTTCTTCACGGGCTAATCCGGCTAAGCTAAGTGCTATGGTGCTATCAACAGTTGGACGACATGTCCACCTACGACGAATTCAAGACGTGAATATCCGGAAAGAGAAACTTGGCTCATCTTACTCCGCACGTTTATTCAGTGGAACATTGCCCCGCATAACTTCAGAAATCTATTGAATAGTGTATTGTTACCATTGCGTTGGATTCCGAACCTGCTAGTCCCAGGGATGTCTTTTCCGCCCGACATTGATATCAGGACATAATCATGTAACGCCAAACCCTTTTCTGATGTGATCACCAAAGTAATAAGCTAGAAGGAGAGCATAGCCACTCGGCAAATAATGTCGGAAAGACCCATTCCGTTCAACACCTTTTCACTATCATGGCGCTTTTACAGGTGGCATCACCACGGTCATGTTTTTTGTAAGCTGGTACTCACTGGAAATCCTTCCATGATACGCTCTAGTAAATTGAAGCTTGTGAACGTAGTTGACTTCCAGCAAAATGTCCCCAAGAATGGAGAATGTGTATCGAGAGAAATTCGAGAGCTGCTGGAACATTAGTTGCTGTTATTCTTCCGTGCCTTAGCTCCCAGAACTCATATTAGAAGAGGAAACACCTATACCGAATCTTGAAGATAGCTGTTTTCCGCCTCTTCTTTTCCGTGTTGGTCGGAGACGTACCTGTAATCGGCGAAGAACAGATGACACATCGAATCAAGATAGACATCTTGAGATGATAGTCTGCTGTATGAACACATCACATCCGATGCAACTTACACAGCCTCAATCGAACGATGAAACTCCCTCATCCACGATTCTGGCCCTCGGCAAGGCAAGTGTCAAGTCATAAGACCTCATCAGTATGAAATCTTCATCATGCATACCAAATCGAGGTGTTGGCGTTGAAGCACCTAATGCATGTGAGCCAGTCTTGGCATAGCGCAAGTGCATCGGCTTACCGCCGAACACCATGTCAATGTAGGAATGTAGTACATAGTTACAACCGATATCACTAATTTCAGAGTCCAGATCATTTTGTAGAAGAGGGGAAAGAGAGGGGAAATGTACGAATGGTGAGGTCTCTCCAATTTTTATCAAGCACTGCCACGATACGATTGAATCCAAAGACATCCCAATGCTCGAGGCAGATTTTTCACTGATTTGCTCAGCCCCCTCGATATGGTATAATAGTATTCAGATCACAGCATTACAATTCAATTGCTTCTAAGTGCTACAGACATACAGTTCTGGTTTATCTCATTCAACACAAAGTTTACTGACTCAATTTCTTACTACTTGTGCTTTTGCGAATACTCAGACAGTTCAATTCAGAATCATGGCGGGCGATACGCTTGCTCCTCCCGTGTCCCATGGAAACTCGCGAGGTCGGTCTTCAAGTAAAGCCGACACAATAGTTTCGACAACTTCAAATCCGTTTCTGACGCCAGCGGCTACTAGTCGTGCCTCCTCGATCCAAGATGACCCCCAAGCATCTCTTCGTCCGGATCCTGGCACTGAAGCCGACTTCCAGATCAATAACAACCCCTTCGCATTCTCGCCAGGGCAGCTAAACAAGTTGCTTAATCCCAAATCCCTTGCTGCATTCCGCGCTTTGGGTGGCCTTGATGGCATTGCTTATGGCCTTCAGTCGGATATTCATGCTGGCCTTAGCCTGGATGAAATTGCAGCGCCTGGCCAGGTCTCCTTTCAAGATGCTGTCAGCCCCATCTCCCCGCAGCAATCCAAGATTCAATGGAGAGAAGCCACAAACAATGCCAAACAGCCTTTCGAAGACCGTGTCCGGGTTTACAAACGCAATGTCCTTCCCGCCAAAAAGGCTACCCCACTGTGGAAGCTGATGTGGAACGCTTACAACGATAAGGTCCTCATACTTCTGACAATTGCGGCTGTTATTTCCCTAGCCTTGGGGCTCTACGAAACACTCGGCGTTGATCACCCGCCTGGCTCGCCTACTCCTGTTGACTGGGTCGAGGGTGTGGCTATCTGTGCCGCCATTGTAATTGTCACACTTGTTGGCTCAATAAACGATTGGCAAAAGGAGCGAGCTTTCGTTCGCCTCAATGCAAAGAAAGAGGAGCGTGAGGTAAAGGTTACCCGCTCCGGAAAGCCAACCATGATCAACGTGCATGACGTGCTTGTTGGCGATGTCTTGCACCTAGAGCCGGGAGATCTTGTGCCTGTAGATGGTATCTTTATTGATGGCCACGAACTCAAGTGCGATGAATCATCTGCTACAGGCGAGTCTGATGCTCTAAAGAAGACAGGAGCATCTCTTGTTTTGAGGGCATTAGAGAACGGAGATTCTACTGGCGAGCTTGATCCTTTCATCATTTCAGGGTCTAAAGTTTTAGAAGGTAAGAATGCCCTCCCAAGATCCTGGTTCATTATATGAATAACCATGTTTACAGGAGTTGGAACATTCATGTGTACTTCTGTTGGCGTCAACAGTAGCTTTGGAAAGATTCTGATGTCCGTCCGCACCGAAACTGAGCCAACTCCCCTCCAGCACAAACTTGAGGGTCTTGCCATGGCTATTGCCAAGCTCGGTAGTACTGCTGCAGGGCTTCTTTTTTTTGTTCTGCTATTCCGCTTCCTGGCGGGTCTTCCAAGCGATTCGCGAGCTGCTACCGATAAGGCATCTTCTTTCATGGATATCCTCATTGTTGCCGTTACTATCATCGTAGTAGCTGTGCCCGAAGGCCTCCCACTCGCAGTAACCTTGGCACTGGCGTTTGCAACTACACGGATGTTGAAAGAGAACAACTTGGTCAGGGTTTTGCGTGCTTGTGAAACCATGGGTAACGCAACGGCCATTTGTTCAGATAAGACAGGCACTCTGGTACAGTCCCCAACATGCAGCTCATTTTGATGATCAAGCTGACTCCCAATCAGACTACAAACAAGATGACTGTTGTTGCCGGCAGATTCGATGAGGCAATGTTTACAGCATCAAGCTCTCAAGATGATTCAGGCACATCAGTTCAATCTATCTCATCTTGGGCCAACGAAGTCAATCCGGCTGCGAGAGAGCTCATTGTTCAATCAGTAGCGATTAATTCGACCGCATTCGAGGGTGAAGAAGATGGGAAACCGGTTTTTATCGGCTCCAAGACTGAAACTGCTCTGCTTGAACTTGCCAAAGACCATTTGAGCCTCCATTCCCTTGCCGAAACCAGGGCCAATGAAAACGTCGTTCACATCATGCCTTTCAATTCCAGCAAGAAATGCATGGGCGCAGTAATCAGACTTAGATCTGGAGCTTACCGCCTCCTCATCAAAGGCGCTTCCGAAATCTTGCTCGGCTGCTGCTCCTCAAAGTCTAACTTTTACAACTTGGAGGAGGAACCGCTCACAGAATCAGATCGCCTCTCATTTACTCAAACCATCGATGAATATGCAAAACGATCACTCAGAACTATTGGACTCGTTTACAGAGACTATGAACAATGGCCGCCTGCAGCTTCAGGTGAAAGCAGTGAAAGTAGCGCCGACATTGCAACCATTCTACAATCAGGAAACCTTATATTCCTTGGTGTCGTTGGCATCCAAGACCCCGTTCGTCCTGGTGTGCCAGAGGCTGTGAGAAAAGCACAACACGCCGGTGTTTGCGTCAGAATGGTAACCGGAGACAATGCCGTGACAGCCAAAGCTATTGGAACTGAATGTGGCATCTACACGAACGGCGTTGTGATGGAAGGTCCTGATTTTAGACGACTATCAGATGCTGAGATGGATGATGTCTTGCCGAGACTCCAAGTACTTGCTCGCTCTTCCCCTGAGGATAAGAGAATTCTTGTTTCGAAGCTTAAGGCCCTGGGAGAAACCGTTGCCGTTACTGGTGATGGCACCAACGACGCCCCTGCCCTCAAGGCTGCCGATGTTGGATTCTCAATGGGAATTTCTGGCACTGAGGTTGCTAAGGAAGCATCTGCAATTATCCTAATGGATGACAACTTTGCGTCCATAATAACTGCTTTGAAATGGGGCAGAGCTGTCAATGATGCGGTTCAGAAGTTTCTGCAGGTAAGGGAAATCGTTTCGCTTTCAAGGCGAACAACTCTAACACTTCTGTCCTTCTAGTTCCAAATCACGGTCAACATTACCGCCGTATTGTTGGCATTTGTCACCGCTGTGTACGACTCAGAGATGAAGCCTGTCCTCAAGGCTGTACAGCTGCTCTGGGTGAACCTGATTATGGACACCTTTGCTGCATTGGCCCTTGCCACTGATCCTCCAACCGAGAAGATCCTTGATCGCCTTCCTCAGGGAAAGAAAAAGGCATTGATTACCACCAACGTAAGTTTTAGCCACTTGCACTCGCTTTCTAGAGTTATTGGATTGAACTAAACATTTCCAATACATAGATGTGGAAAATGATCATTGGTCAGTCGATCTACCAGCTGGTTGTTACCTTTGTACTTTACTTCAGCGGCGGCACTATCCTCAACTATGATCTCACTGATCCGGACAAGAAACTCGAACTGGATACCGTTATCTTCAACACTTTTGTTTGGATGCAAATCTTCAACGAGTTCAACAATCGTCGTCTCGATAACAAGTTTAACATTTTTGAGGGAGTGCACCGAAATTTGTTTTTCATAGCGATCAACTGCCTTATGGTTGGCTTGCAAGTTGGAATCATCTTCGTGGGCTCAAGAGCCTTCCAGATTTCCCCCGGGGGTCTTGATGGTACTCAGTGGGCCATTTCAATTGTTGTCGCGTCGCTCTGCTTGCCTTGGGCCATTGTCGTTCGGCTGTTTCCCGATGCCTGGTTCGCCGCCATTGTCGGGGTTGTCGGGAAGCCCTTCATGCTTGTTTACGCAACCATGAGCGCCGGTTGGTCCAGAATTGGCAACAAGCTTAAAAGAGGAAGATCTGAGGCGGACGCTGAGACTGGAAACCCGCCGATGGTGGTAGTTTCAAGTGTCCTTACCACGGCCAGCCACGGGAGGGATGAGAAGATGGGATAAGTCGATTATGTGGCTTCGATGACATGAATGCGGTTACCGCGAATTCTTTGTTAGTTGTTTGTGTTGTATTTCCTTCAAGCACCCTCTTTTCTTTCTATTTTAGATGGCATATGTTCCTTTCCCTCCAGTACTTGCTCAGCATACGTTACCAACATACACGGACTAAAGACAACAGGGTCTCGTTGACTTGGACTTGGCCATTTAGAAAGTCAGGCAAAAACCTACATATTTCTCTTTCATGTATTCGTCCAGTATTCAAATGCACAACTATTAGAGAATGATGTTTTGTTCAAGATTTGAGACACTGTTGAATGTTGATACGGATTTTTGAACGCTACTCTGCGCAAAATCCATCTCCATCCCTATGACAACTAACTAGGCAAGGTACTTCAGGTTGAAAATGACAGTCTCAACAACATCCCAGTCCTCATCCTTTGTCTCATCTCCAAAGATTCTAAGGCCACGAGCAATGAATTTGTAAGTCCCCTCAGGCACGGTTGTGCGGTCGGCAAGCTGGCCACCAAAGTTCCAAGTATATCCAAAACGGTGAGCAAACTGAACAGGCGACGCGGGCAAAGCGCCGAGAGTCGGGTAACCAAGGTGATCCGTAACCTTGAGTGTCGAGTTGCTCGCGGCCCCAACGGCAACAAGCTCGACGTGCAACTGAGTGGTTCCCAGAGTCGGGGTAACGACCATCTTAGGGTAGATGGCGTTGCCAGTGGCACCGGGGCGGGGGACGGTGAAGGTTCGGTTAGCGTTAACGGGAATGAGGAAGTGGTTGTCAGTCGAGGACAGGTAAACGCCACTCAGTGCAATGCCGGGAACCAGAACGGGGGTATCGTGCATACTGCCGGCAACGCCTAGGTAAGGCAGTGAAAGGGTCTCGCCATTGCTTCCCTCAAGAGTGATGTAGCCGCTGTAGACTGGAAGAAGGGTGGCGTTGAGTCCAGTCGGAGGGACGGCGGCGAAGTGCACTTCGGCGCTGCCTCCCGCTGGGACGGTAAAGGGGTCCGTGTCAAATTTGATCTCTGCCCAGGCATCTGCGGTCGGAACAGGGGCACGAGAAACGACGAGTTGGGCATCGCCAGGAGTGAAGGTATAGACAGTCGCAGCCTTGGCGTGTCCGAGTTTGTAGGTGACTGCCTCGGAAGCAGTGTTCTTGACGCTAAAGGTATGCTCACTCACGAAGTTGTCAGTGTCGTTGAATGAGATACCGCTGGAGCTCAGAATTGTGGTGGCGTAAGCAGCATCCCAGGCCTGAACAAGACCAGCGCCCTGCTGGGCCACAGGAGCAAGGAGGTCCTCGCTCACGGTGGTGCCGTCGTTCCACGCCTTGGGCTGCGCAGTAGCAGCAATCACGTTGCGGAGTATTTCTTGATCAAAAGTTCCCCGGACCTGGCCTACGAGTGCGTAAACAGCGGCAACAAACGGTGTAGACATTGAAGTTCCAGGGTTGACCATGTACGCTCCCTGGTCCCACGTCCAAGTGGACAAGATGCCACCACCGGGAGCAATGAACTGAGGCTTGATTTCAAGCTCCCAGCTCGGGCCGTAACTGCTGAAACTGCTCACGTAACCGGCAGTAGGGCCGTTGCTGAAAGACTCTGCGATAACGCCGGAGGAAGCTGGAGGTCCGATGGACACGGTGACGTTCTGGGGGTTGGCAATCCACTCGCTGGCCTGGCGGGGAGTGACCATACCGCTACCCTCAATTCCATCGACGTAGATGTATGGGGAATGCATTCTCCTGTTCTCAAATGTTAGGAAATACTGCGAGTTGCATAGGAAGATGCAGGAAGACATACGATTCGCTCTCAGGGTAGAAGAAGATATACTTGGCCCCACGGGCAAGCACGTTCGCCGCTTGCGTGTCAGAGGAGCACCCGTTGATATTGAAAACAGGGAGAGTATCCGTCAAGTCAACATCTTCAGGGAGAGGCTCACATGCGGTGTTGTTCACTCCTCCAACCCAAAGCCTCAGGGTAACGTTCGCAGTAACGGGAGGCGTGCTACCTTGCCATCCAAAGGCGAATTCGCCCGTTTCATTCTTGAAAGAGCCACGAGTCATCAGAGTAGGCAGAATAGTGTTATCAGCGGAACCAATTGCAGCTACAGACTTTCCGGATGCTGGCGAAGCAACGGCCCAAACACCCAAGCCACCGGAGTTTGAAGCCGCAACAACGACGGGGACACCGGCTTCAGCGATACGAGAGACAGCAACGGCCGCCACATCCTCAGTCCAGCCGGAGTCGTCGCCAGCAGAGCATGAGATGACGTCACTGCCATCCTCGTAGGCCTTGTAGAACGCCTGGACCAAGATCTCGCTGGTCGTATAGCCAGCGCAGCCGCTGACCTTGTACGCGCCGAGCGTGACGTCTGGCGCAGCTCCGGTGAAGCCAAGCTCATTTTCCTGCGCCATGATGATACCCGCAACATGGGTTCCATGACCCTGGCACGAGTCGAGAGGGTCAGCATCGGGCTGGGGCGCATCTGACCTTTCGGTGTAGGCGTCGCCCGTGAGATCCCATCCGTAGCCGACGGGGAAGCCCTCGCCAAAGCCACCTCCAAGGGCTGGATGTCTATAATCTACACCTGTGTCGACAATGGCGACCTTGATTCCCTTGCCAGTGAACCCGGCCTCGCGGAGCTTGTCGACCTGAGTCATGACATGCGTGCTGTATGTGTCCTTGGCCGCCTCGTCGCGTCGGTATTTAATAGACTGCAACAGCTGATCGCTTGTAGCATTGTCGCTGCGACCAACAGAGCTGGGATTCAACTTGGGCATCTGAATCTTGCGCACAGGCCAAACTCCCTTCACGTTGAGCTTCCCAGCAATCTTGCTAGTTGTGACGTCGGGTTCCTCGTCACCTTCAACGCGGAAAGATGCACCTTTGAAAAGGCGGTACTTGAAATCCAGCCGGGGTACGACATCCAAACCCTCAGACCGGAGTTCATTGTACAGCGCATCCGGATCCTGTTCGCCCTCGAGCTCAACGATATAGGTGCCGCGCACGAAAGAATCCTCGTTGGCCTTGGGCGTAGGTTCGGCATCGGCGGCGGCAACACAAGCCGTGGAGGCCAAGAGGCCTAGGGCGAGCGTTGCAATGTTGGAGGAGAACCTCATGGTGGTAGTTGACGTTGGGTTTGAAACGAATGACAATTGACCGGCGGTGACCAACCGGGATCACTTGGAATCAGCAAACGCATCGTGGTATGAGTATATATGGTTCGTCGTTGTGGTGCTATGGAGGTGTAGAACTGGAGGCGATTAGATTCACGCACGAACACGAGAAATTGAGACCTTCCCGTTTGGTACGCGAAATTACCGACGCTAGGGGCATTGGACGATCTTAGTCTTGGCTGCTATCTGCTGCATCTCTGCCGTTGTCGACCATCGCCAAGTCGGATTTATGGTTCGCTTTCGGTTTGCATTCCCTGCTTGACATGGACCTTCTTGATCAGGATTTATCCACCCACACATGGATTTCACAGCATGTAGCGACCCGTGATACGACTGATTGTGGCCCCAGTTCGGCCGACTGCCGAAGTTTAGGTCGTGGGGCCATGGTCGTATTCGAAGATCATGGTGGACCATTGCAGGCATCAAGCACGCCATGCGCGGGTGAAATTCACAGCTTAATCGATTTACCCGCGTCCCAGAGCATTCAAAGTTGTCAGGGAGTGTTCGTGCCGGTAAGTCCGGCGGTATCGAGGGAACGTGGTTGAAAACATTCAAGCCCATTGTTAAGCATTGAAACATTTGTTGCATGAAGTGCAGGCATAAGTTCGCTAGGAGAATGAGAGACCAAGAGCGCTTAAACTTGGACATTAAGAATTGAATCAGAAAAAATGAACATATGGAAGATGTTAAATGTAAAAAATATTCATTCGAGGGCGTCTTGTGATAGCACGACCTGGTTTCGATCCAGGGACCTCTGGGTTATGAGCCCAGCGCTCTACCCCTGAGCTACCGTGCTGTTATCCTTTAAGTGGGTTACTGCCCCACGTGAGATGCTGCAATTTTTGGCTGCATGTATGGACGTCAACTTCGTGGTTAACCAAATGTTGTCGAACGAGAGCTGGAAGAGGTTTAACCAATTCTGCAAGTCTATTTTAAGTCTCAAATTATTCAGACTTTACACCGTAAACCCGAAACGACCACTTATGTAGGGTGGAAGAATTTCGACCTGCCCTATTTGATCCCTGTAGCATTGGCATTTTTAAACTTACTTATTGTGAGAGGCTAATTTCAAGGCTTCTAACCTTCGTCATATATTAAACAATGGCGTGAGCTTTTCGAGTGGGCCATCGTTTGCAAGCATGTCACCTTGAGATAGAATCCAGTACTGTTTTGATTATGCTTCCTTGTGCGGGACACAATAACGATTTTGGTGTGGAAAGAATAAATCATCTCTAACTGTTACTCTCAATAGTTTTTCAGTTAGAACCCGTATGGTAGAACTTTTTCGAGCTCGGTCAGATTCCAACTTTCACAGAAAGCTCCTACATGTCTTGTCCCGGTAGTCCTCACGAAACAGAGTGTGATCTTCTTCTGTATCATGCCTATGCCCTTCGTGGCAACAACTTGATCCAAAGCGGCGTCTTCTCCCAAACCATAAACACCTTTTGGCTACCCATCCAATCTCCTTCTGTGGCATTCTGAATATCAAATTGCCACACGAGCCTCGCAATAATCAACTTCATTTCGGCATATGCGAGGTTTCTCCCAATACAGGCGCGCGGTCCGTACTGGAAAGGCTGTGAAGCGTCTCTCTTGTCATTCGCAAACTCGGGGTCCTCGCCCAGCCAGCGTTCGGGGATAAACTCCCCAGGTCGAGACCAGTTTTCAGGGCTGTTGGAAGCGGCGTAAATCGGTATGCTTACAGATATACCACCTGGCAGGAACTCTCCGTCTACGGTAGCTCCACCAGGAGGCACGACGCGGTGGTGCGGTTGCGGGGAAGGTGGGTAAATGCGGAGAGTTTCCTCGATGCAGGCGAGGAGATACTTGCAGCTGTTTACGCCCGTGAATGTGATATCATCTCGGTGTGAGAACGCAGAGCGAACTTCGGCGGTGAGGCGCTCAAGAACGCGGGGGTTCTTCAAGAGAAGGAAGGTCAATCCTGCGAAGGGGGATTGTTATGTCAGTGTACTTGAGTTACTTGTGAGGTCTGTCGTTGACTTGGCATACCTGACATTGATGTAGCAGTAGTCTCACTTCCGGCCGCAATCAAAATCTGGGAATTGCCCTCTAATTGATCAAAGGACATTTTCCCTGAGTTATACGCTGCGATCATCTTGTCCATGAAGTCCGTCACTGTCGTTTGGGTCTTGAGACGATGTTTCACTTTCTCCTACGAGAATATTTAGCAAAAGACACGCGAAAGAATAAACAGTCGTTCCAGTGTAGATACCTACGACTTGCAGTTTCTTGAGCATTTTTCCATCTGAGATGACTTTCGGCGGTATCAAGAAGAGTGTGACAGGAAGCCGAAGTAGGTAAGGGAAACGGGATATCATCTGATGGTAAGAAAAGAACTTGGCGAGGGAGAAAAAGATCTGGACCCAAACGTGAAGGGTAGACGTCTTGAGACAATCAAAAGACTCGCCAAACGCTAGCATTGCGCGTTAGATGATTGAGCAGTCAAGATAGGGTTGGGTAATACCCGCGGGTACCCGTATGGGTAGTACCCAAAACTACCCGTGGGTAGTTTGGGTAAACCCGAATTACCCACGGGCAGTCCCACTATATTTACCCGCGGGTTGAAAGGCCCGTGGGTAAAACGACCCATGGGTTACACTACCCACGGGTAATTTTGCTACCCACAAGAAACGCGGGAAATACTGTAACTAAGATAGAAAGAAAATATAACTAGTTAGTTATAGGGAGAAAGAGTAAGTTACATAAAACATAGATGGCTAGAATAGATTACTACAAATATAAGAAACTAATAGAGAATAATACGATAAAGTCGGAGTGAAATCAGAGGAACAATGTATATTTAATCGCTATCCTCGTCAGGAGAGAGTTCGACAAGATCTAGCCGAGTAAGTCTCTTCCTTTTGCGACCCCCAAGCTCGGAGAAGTTTGGGAGTTCTTGGGATACAGAAGGCGTAGGTGAGTTGCTAAGTTGGGAAACTTGACTCGATAGTTTTGGCTGTTGAGAGCTAGATAAGGATGGCAGCTCCTCATCTCTATCGCTAATATCCTCCTCTTCTACTGAGACTTCGTAAGGAGGCGGGGAGGGAGCATCTCCTGTAGCAGTAATAGAGATCTTAGTAAGATCATCAGAGACCTTCAGATATCTCTGAATATCAGCTTTATCCAATAGAGAAGAGTAGTTAAAAGCTTCTCTAATAATATGCTGGCGCTCTTCAGATGCTTCAGTGATATTCGTGTCATCTGGAACTTCCTCAAGTGTGGTTTGGGAAAGCCAGGCCTCATTATTCTGGCTAATTTTGATAGTCAAAGTATCAAAAATAGTATCAGCCGAAAGGTTGAACCGAGCGTAGTGACAGATATGGCGAGCAAGGCTGAATGATCGCTCTAAGGGTATTGACGTCGGTTGAATAGATAAGAAGTCTCGAGCCATGCGACAAATACCATGGAATCTGGGATAGCTATTGTCTAGGCGGACCCAAAATTGCTGAACAGTTTCATCAGGGAACATAACTAAATATAGTTATTAGCTGTTAAGCCTAGTAAGATATGAGTCTTTATCTTACCAATATTAAAAAAGTCATTACAGATATTTCGTGCGTCTTGGGATGATGACATTTTGCCCTTATAATAGGTTAGTACAGTGAGTTGCTACAATAGATTGCTACAAATACCCTTTTCTTTGGACTGCGTGATAGTAAACTATGCAGAGTGTATCGGAGTCCTTCAGTTGCAGCTTTTTGAGTATTGGTATGGCGTTCCGAATCTTGATGGTACTGCTTTGTATATACCTCGATAAATTCTTGCTGTACTCGAGTTCGAAGTGAGGCTGAAGAAGGAAGGTATTCGAAGTAATTTGCGAATTGGAATCGCGTGTCAAAAGTACTCGAAACTGATGTCCCAGCTTCAGGGGTAAGGAGAGTTGCAATACCATATACCTTGAAGGAATCCTCTTCAATTAGCTTTTGAACGTATTTTTCTAGCTTCTCTTGGCCCTTTTTCGTAGCAGCCTGAAGGATTGATATCCAAGTAAAGTCTTTGCTAGTAACTTTATCTTTAAGTGCAGAGGCGCAAAAGTATAAGTGAACTGTTGCAACTTGTAATAAAGTAAAGGTATGACCAGGGGTAAGGTCATTTAACCGGCTAAGGATGTTTGTAAAGAGTAAAAACGGGCTGGTGATATCAAGCAGAATATCAAGAGCCTCCCAATCGGTCTCCACAAGAGAGAATTGTTCCTGTAGAGAGTGCTTTTCAACCCAAGCTAAAATCGTTGTTTTAAGCTCTCTTGCGCGGAGACACATAAGTGTAGTAGAGTTCCACCTTGTCTTAACATCGCGGAGGAGGCGTAGTGGTCGCTGGCCAATGCGAGTCGATTTCTGGAGGTCGAGAAACTCTTGCGTCTTCTTACTAGAAAGCTTAAGGGAAACTGCGAGGTCACGAATCTGGAGGTATATATGTTAATATAAAATCTTATAACTAGGTGAAGTATCTAACCTTTTGAATAACAGCTCCAAAAGGATTTTCCCCAGCAGTAGAATCTTCAGTATCAAAATCATCGTCAGAGTCCTCTTGATCTTTAGCTCGAGTAGTAGAAGGCTCAAACTCTGTAGAGGCTTCTACCATCGAAATTCGAAGAGCCTCAAAAATCGCTCGAACAACAAGGTTGAAAATATGGGCTAAACAGCGAATATGATATATCGGCTGTACTGTGGATGTCGACCCTTTTGCAAGTTCTTGTGCTAGGACTTTTGGCTTAAAAGAACTTGCGTTGTCTGCAGAGACTGTCTGAAATCGAATTGTCTTCTTCGTCCTCTGGCGAATATTTTCTAACAGAGTCGATAAAGCCGTTGCTTGCTTAGAGGCTGTATGACCATCTGTCATATCAATAGCACCAAGAAGAACCTGTTGTAACCTCCAGTGCTTGTCGATAAAATGGCATAAAACACCAAGCAGTGAATATTTTAACCCAGGTGTACTCCAGATATCAATCATCAGAGAGACATAGCTACCAGGCGGAATTAGCTGAAGAGTGTGGTGTTGAATGCGTAAGGCCTCCTCGGATATCCAGCTTCGGAGCGTCTTTCGAGATGGGAGGTGGTAGAGAGGATTCAGGTGTGAACAGAATTGCCGGAAACTTAAGTTGTCAACAGTATTAAGCGCTAAGTTAGATCCAACAATACAGTAAACTAATGCTTGATGCTCCGAGACTGCTTTCAATTGGGTACCCTAGATTGCGATTACTACAAATGATTGCTACAATGACCTGTAAAACTTACAGGCACCTGGTTTGCGCCTAAACGTCGAGTCTTACAAGACTTTGCAGCGAGGTGTCGTTGCATAGCACTTGTACCAGAGTTTTTGATTGTTGGATGATTGAAAACTTGGTGACAGTGCTTGCAGACTAATTTTGGCTCCCCTGATGTCATATGGTAGCCTTGGTGAAAGTGATCCCAGAATGATACTCGGCGTTGTAAAGTCCACAAGGATTTGGCGAAGCGTTTTCGTTCAGGTTGAGGGGATTTGGACAACGGTGTGTGTTTGCCAAGGATTACCCATTGGAGATACCATGGCAGGGTTTTGAAAAACGAGAGAAAAGTCTAGAAAGTCTCAATAACAAATAAAATGATTTCCGACTGTATCTGTAAACCAGAAGGTGGAGTATTGATTGTTGGAGTCTGCGTAGAATTTACGAGCTCGAAAGCAGCAGAACAATCGGATGCAAAAGGGTCTGGCCCAAAAGGGTCAGACGCAATTGAGTTCGACATCATACGTAGTAAGAATTACCTTTAGTGTGAACAGGAAGTAGTTTGCAGGATTACTACAAGATGAATACAAACATTTGATTATGTGGCCTTACGTAAATTTCTATTTTAGGGTTTCTGACTAATACGTTTCGTACACAAATCTAAAAGCTCTGAATTCTCCTTCGACTTGTTTTTTCTCCCACTTACATTCATCCTTCAATGCCTCGCTTATCAACTAGCCCTGTGTCAGATCAGAGCTCTCCGCTAACAGTGGAGGGCTCTTCACCGCCAAATAGTTACCCCTCATCATCAGCGAGGGGTAATCCCCTGAAACAGCCAATTACAGAGATTCGGGAGACTCCGCCAAGAAGTTCAAGTCATGCAACCTACTATAGCCAGGCTAGCCCAGACCTGAGTCAACCAGAATTACCACCGCTGAAGCGGAACTTTGCGACGAAGTTGGCGAGACGAACAGATACTGGCCAACCACCAACCATTGCACGGAAAGATCAGCTGAACTTCGCGCCAAAGAAGCAGCTAAAAGCTGCTCGAAAAAAGCCCGTCCAGATCACTAAACGCCAGAAAGTTCGTAGATGGAGGCCTGGTAGTAAGTAAGAAGTAACTCTTTATTGTTTAATTACTGAAATGTGAAGCAAATGCACTTCGTGAGATTCGAAAATATCAAAAGACCACCAATCTTTTAATTCCGCGGAGCAGTTTCGCAAGAGTAGTTCGAGAAATAACACTTGATCTTCCACTAAGAAACCGCCATAAGATCCGCTACCAGTCAATGGCTATAGAGGCTCTCCATGAGATGAGCGAACAGTTTCTAATCAACATGTTCGAGAGTAAGATATCCTATCCTGATCTTCAAACTATTATATTAACATGAATATTAATAGATGCAAATCTCTGTGCTATTCACGCTAAAAGAGTAACTTTGCAGAAGAAAGATCTTGACTTAGTTAAACAGTTAATGAAGAAGATGGGAGCATGGAGTGCTAGATTGTTTTAGCAGCTGTAGATTACTACAAACGATTGCTACAATACGAGAATCAGACTAGAGAGAATTCATGTCCTTATTCATGCTAGCCTTATTGCTAATTCTTAATTCTTAATCTGTCAAACAAACCCTCTCGCTATGCTCATCTGCAATTATAGAGAAAAGTCAAGCAAACGAGTTAGCTTCTGAGCCAACTCATGGACCTGACGCCAGTTGTATAGCGCTTTATCCCGAGCAAGGTCAAGCTTCAGGAAGAATGGTATCAGCTTTAGTATAGCTAAGAACTTCTTATACATCGCAGATAAGATGTTGGCTGTTTTATCGAGAGCAGTAAACTCTTCCCAAACTTCAGCAAGGCCCAGAAGCTCCCAAACACCTTTCTTGATCATCGAGTCACTGATCTCAGAGAACATAGCCTTCACTGAAGGCTTTGGAGTGGAGGCATATCGGCGCTGAGCTGTAGTGAAGAGAGATCCTTGAATCTTGATGGCTGGGCGGTGCGCGAGTGCGAATTGGCTGAGAATATTAGTATTACTACAAAGGATTGCTACAATTAAGCACTTACGTCTTCTTCTTCTTGACAGAAGAATTAAGAACCAGGCGTATCTTCTTCTTCTTAGACAAGCGGTTCAGGTGCCAGTACTTGGCGAGTGCAAACCAAAGAAGCACTTCCTCTTTGGTGAAGATGTCGCCAGCTACTGGAAATTTAAAGCCAGGTCGAATGAAGCCATAATCCTCCATCGCAGCTAGGGTAAAGGCAGGATTGCTGTTCAGCCGCTTGACCTTGATGTAAAGTATCTCAAGAGTCATCTCCCAGGTATCACGGAAGAACTGGTATTCTCGGATCTGGTTTTCCTGTCTGTTTGTTAGCTATTGCTATAGTAATTAATTATAGTCATCCAGTTACCTGGATCATCTTGTCGATAATCGCATTCGACTGCTCAGCAACATTAATGGTCGGCAACTGGTTATCAAGGTCAACGTCAAAGTTGAGCATGCCCTCAACTCCATCCAGGTTTTCCTGGGTAGCCTCATCAATCTCATTCAAAGGGATATCCTCCCAAGCCTCGTCTTCATCGTCATCGACGATATTATAGGAGCTAGACGAGACTGGGCCAGTCATCTGAGCTAGCAGCTGGTCTGGATGGTTGCCTTTGAGGAAGCTAAAAGCACTTGAGCACTGATTTGAAACACCAAAAGAAATGAAAAAGAACTCACTATCGTGCATCAACTTACTGGATTTCCCTAGCCTCAAGGGCCGCGCGCTCATCAGCAGACGCACTGATGTAGGAGCTTTTAGCCCTCAAGGCTTTAAGCTTGCGGGATTTCTGCTGGTTGATCGACTTCTTCGAGCGATCAAGTGCCTTCTGCTTCTCAGTCATCTTATCGATGCGCTGACGAGACTTCTTGGTGTGCGCGTTGTCGGAATAATCCTCTTCAGCTTTACGCTTGGCTCCAGCACCAGATCCAAGCGGTCGGCCTAGAAGAGATTAGTACAAATGATTGCTACAAAGCTAGTGTGAACGTACCGCGATCCTGTCCTGAGGACATATTTTACTACTGTTCCCTAATTGATTTAATAAGTCAAAACCAATAATTGTGAGATCAAAGTATCAAATTACCTTAATTGAGAGGCTTGTCGGTGCGGCTGGGTGTTAGTGGTGGAGGTAGGTTGTAGTGTTGTCTGGGGAGAAGTTTTCTGAAGCTTCAGAACCTTATAAAAAAAAAACAAAATACGCTAAAAAGTGGTCTGTGCGCAGCCGCGGCTTCTTGTTTTTTTTCTTAAAAAGAATCTCTTTGAAAACCTCTGTTCAGTAGTTATCTGTAAAAGATTCTATATTGATTGGACCTGGACTTGTGTTTCTAGGAGTCCTACCTGATTTATGGTTAACTTTATAATATGATGCCTGGCATAGCCCGAAAGACTATGCCTGGTGCTAAGGAGCAGCAGAAACGCCGTTGGCGCCCTGGCAGTAAGTCTAGATTGCTACAAAAGATGGCTACACACTAACCCTAATACCTAGCAAAAGCTCTCCGGGAGGTCAGGAACTACCAGAAGACATTTGACTTCCTGATTCCGAAGCCCCCATTCCAGCGACTCTGGAAGGAAATCTGCGATGACATCGACCCCTCCAAGCGCCTGCGCTGGCAGGCGACTGCTATTAGCGCTCTTCAAGAGTCTTCGGAGTCTCTTCTCTTTGGTGTTTTCGACAGTAAGCTTCACTTGCAAACTCTTATCGAGTTGAACGAACTATCTAGTGATTAACTTTGCTGCGATCCACACCAATCGCGTCACCATTAAGCCGAAGGATCTGCATCTCGTCCAGGCTATCTTGAAGGCCGGCAGAGTCCACGGAGACAAGTGGTTCGACCCCGAGTCTGGGAAATGCGGGCGATTAATTGAAGGCATTCAGGGCGTTCGGAAGTTAGGAGTAACAAGGTAGCAGGTCTATTCGTTGCGCAATATATCCACTCTTGAGGCTGGCTACTACAAAAGATGTCTAAAATTCGTGATGCATACTTACTGAAATCTACCCACGGGTATACACCCGTGGGTACCCAAACCCGTGGGCCCCCCTTCAGTTTACTACCCGTGGGCTTTTTTACCCAAACCCACTTTACCCATGGGTACCCGTGGGTAATAGTAAAACTTTCGGGCACTACCCATAACTACCCGACCCATTTCGCGGGTACCCGTGGGACCCGCGGGCCGGGTAATGCCCATGCCTAAGTCAAGATAAGTGCTGATCAAACACTTACTAAGATATCCAATAAAATCAAAAGTCACGAACTGCAATCCAGATATTAGTCACGTCAAACATACTAATTTCTTTCGGCTTTCAAATGGATTACTTACATTATACCACTTAAGAATATCCACGGGCATATGACCATTCTGTCCCTCTTGGACGATTTTCTGGAACATCAGATCAACATACTCCTTCAGAACAGGTTCTTGCTCTCTCAAAGCCTTCTCTGAGAAGCCGTGGGCAAAGAGCTTGCGAATATAGCCATGGTAGTGTCTGTCGGCATTGAGGATGATCGGTTCTCCTTTCAGTCCGGCGAAGTATTTCTCGTCTTTAGCAAACTCCAGCTGCCCTGTCTTGTGGCCGTAGATCTCCTTCCATTGTGGCGATTTGATGTAAGACAAGCCATCCGGAGATGTCCTCACGACTGGACCATACTTATTGTGCAATTCAAGCAGATCGGTAGGTGTCTTGCCGCCAAAGTAAGACGAGACGAGCCAGAGTGGTGTCGCAGCCGCGAGGCGAGGGCCTGGGTATTTGGACAGTGGGTGGAAGTAGATATTGTAGACGTAGAAGAGAACGTGATATACCGCTGCCTACACCAGGTGTTAATATGCGCACTCCAAGAAATTATCGGCATGGCTTACCAGGATAAGAGCTCCTAAAATGAGCATCATGACATGCTGCGGCTTCAACAGCCCAACACTGGCAGTTACCGTATCTTTGACCGTCATTTTTCTTCCGGAATTCTCAGAGCGGAATAAGCGAGCTGTGTGATTTGTAAATATTCCAGAGAAGAAAAAGGCGATGCGATCTATATATAAAGGCTACGAGAGCATCAAGCCGTCGCATTTATGCAGCAGGTGCATTCGGATGATTAAGAACCATTTGACAATCTTCAGTGGATAAAGTGAACTGTGCAGCACTTTATGCATTTGTGCACAGATATGCATGCATACATCTTACATATGTGCCCTCCGGGCGATGATTAAGCCGCCCAACCATCGCATGAGACGAAACACAGAAAACGCAGACAATTGGACAAGAATATGCGGAGACTGGAGCTTTGGAGAAACCCGCAGGCGCTTAGGACCGATAAGTCCGTTTTGGTCTCATACATGCGCTTCTACTACAGTTTGTACAATCAATGTGGTGTTGTGTGCTTATAATTGAAGTACAACGATTGGCTGTGACGTGGTTGTGAGTGTCTCGACTCGGTTCAGAGGCCATCAGAGGGGAAGAAATGCTGTCAGTTGAGGGGTTTATTGTACATCTGAGCCAAGATGGGATCTAATGACATTTAAAGATAATGGACCTATTTGGGTAGATTTATCAGACCCGGCGAACAAGATCAGAAGAGGGCCGTAGAATGACTTGGTGCATATTAAGCACGATTTTCTCTGTGTTTTTTTATTTTATTTTTTTTTATTTTTTATTTTTTTTTTGAATATATATATATGTAAGAATAGTGTATAAAAGTCATACAGAGGAAACCTAAAAGGTGATAACTTGGTTTCTATCTCGACGGACTCGTTGATAAGTTACAGCAGCAGAGGTATTCGAAGAGATGATTCCTGCTTCACAGGAAAGTTACATTTATCTCAACCTCTATATAGACGACACACTTTGCAAACATTATCGTGCAAACAATACCAAATGCTAAGATTAGATATAACCGCAAGGTAGAGCATGACAACTAACCTACCTTCGCCGTTAAGCATTCATGACTGCTCCTCTAATAGGCAGCAATAAATATGTCTGGACTCTCGTCTTCTTTCGCAGTACTCCGTTTCCTATGAAGCAACTATTTGAGATCTTATCGCCCATGACATCCAAGGGCTACAATTCACTTCACGAAAACAGTCGTGTAGCCTATACTTCTTACCCGGTACACCCCCATGCAATCCGTTGTGCATAATACAAAAAGCCTTTGATAAGCGATCTTGACCATCCTCATTTCACATACTAGTCGTTTGCTCCAGCGAAGCCCATAAGTTATGTAAATCGGTGGCTTCTAGCTCCATGAGACTTCCCAGCAGGGTGCCGGCGAGGCTGTCTGGATAGCTCGAGTCACCTTCATGGAGATGGGGAAAGAACGTCTAGTTTTTACACGCCTGGAATGAAGAGTTTGAATAGCAGTGAAGAATCTCGCAGCTTTCGCATTTGGTTCTCCCATCATCTACTGAAAAAGAGTAACCCGAAGATAGCTATGAGTATTTCTTTTATGCATGTCTCAGCAGTCCTCGGTTCCATTCATTATCATTACCTTAATCGTAGACATTGGCCTGACGGTCTCGTTTATCCTGGTCGATGCGATGAATCGTCAGGTTCAGACAGCCGAGCCGGAGTGAGGAAGATATGTAGATACCTTAACCTGATAGGTGCAAAGTCTCAAAGCGCACGCGAAAAGACCGAATATCAGGATGAGTCAACCTTTGAGGCTGAAACCAGTCGAGTGTATTAAATATAATATTCACTTTGCTTTGATGCAACGCTGCTGGCCGATTTTCCAGGGCAATAGCAATTCTACAAGGTCGCATTCAGAATCATAGTTCTTTTCAGGATAATCGTTACGCATTTGTCAGATTTCATGACTTGATTCCTGGGAACACTCTGGCGACAATAGAAACCAGAATAAGGCAAAAGCTTGACAAGGTCTAAGTCTTGCCACTTTGTCAACCCGATAGTTCGACAATTAGGCCACCGGCATTCACTACCTGCAACGATCTGGGAAAAATAAATACATGCAAATACAGCAAGACATCAAACTAGAAGCGGGTGCTTCCAGAAGGTTACGAATAATGGATTACGTTGTCCCTCCCAGCCTCGTTGAACAGCAGCTAACTGAAGCGACGTCGGCAACAAGCTGCAACTCAATTAAATGTCATCAGCCGAGCCCTGGCGCGCTAAAGCTCACCACCACCTCTCGCTAACATCCCCCCGAAAATGAGGTATGCCAAGGCGCCAAACAGCCCCCAACCTTCCTCCCGGGGGAGGGGAGGGAACAGGTACAGATCTCCCGTAATTGCGTCAAAGGATAGGGGGCAAATCAGCCGCTTTGGTCAACCAGCGAGGGACAAAAGAGGGCAGCCCAGAGTATCATTGCCAAGCCTCGGTTTTCCAACTGCCGCATTGGCGTATAATTTTCGACGTCACTCGAGGAAACTTGTTCCAAAGACATGATCAAATCTATCAGGATGCAAACATTCACACGAGAAGTAATTTAAACAAATGACAAAACATGTGGGAATCATAGTTAAATTATTGAAATCATTAAATAAAATGCCCCTGCAGGATAAGCTTTTTTTTTTTTTTTCCAGAGCTTAATATCCCCTTTTGTCCACGAGACATACTATGTTCTTTTTATGTTCCCCGCGCATATATATAGCTGAAAAGGAACAAATCCAGGGAAATATTAAATAGACAAATAAGGGGCGCTAGTCATGGACTCCTTTGCCGGCCATGCTTTATTCCGCCGTTCGGTGATTCTGTCCCGAAGGGGGGGAAAACCCATCACCCCATCACCCTTCGTTTTGAAGGGAAAGGGGGGGTATCCTTATTGAACGTTTCTTCCATGTCTTGTCGACCGCTACCATCATCCCACTCCGTTCGCCTCGACATCGTGTGCATATATCATTACACATCGCGCGTAGCAAAATAATACTGAGAGTCTGTTTTTTTTTTTTTCTTTCTTTCCTTCTTTTTTTGGCGCATCGTCCGTCTTAGTTTAGACAGAAGCGCGGCTCTTAGCCTTGCGGAGCTCACGGCCCTTGTCGGACCACGGAAGGTGGAAGACGGGAACCTGGAAGAAAGAGTTGCTACAAAGAAAAAAGACTCGGTATTAGCAAATGAAATCCACATGGTTTACCCAGGAGTCGTCGCGTCGGTGGCGCGCGGGAGGGGGCGGCGAACTCTCTTCGGTCTAGTTTGGGGGGGGGGGGGGGGGGGGGGGGGAGACGGTCTAGACTAGATTTTCCGCCGAAGGAGGGGGGGAGGAAATAAAGAGGACACTCAAAAAGAGGGGAGCTCACCTATCATCCTGGATACCGGCCAAAGCGCAGTACCATGCCAGGAAAGCAGCTAGCATACCAAAGGTACCACCGCAGATCTGGAGGTTGCGCATCGCGGTGAGGGCGCCGTTGTTGGCGGCATAGTTCTCGCAAGCGAGGAAGAGGAAGGCCAGGTCGAGGGTGAAGAAGAGGGAGAAGAAGACGACGGTCGAGCGCATGGTGCAGAGGAGCAGCAGCGTCGTGAAGATGAACCAGCCCGTCAGGAAGAAACCGACGGCGGAGTAGTGGTCGGCATAGTTGGCGGCGTAGGGGCCGTCCTCTCCGATGATGTTCCAGTTGGGGGTCAACAGGATGCCGTAGGCGATCCAGAAACCTCCGTACGACGACAGAGCCGTGGCACCAAAGGTGTTGCCAACGGCCATCTCCCTGTAAATCCGGTGTGGTCAGCATTGGTGTTCGCCGTTTTTGAGTAAAAGTGACTACTGGATGATGCTCGTATTGCGTTTGCCCATTCTCTCTCTCTCCCCACACACAAGTGTTTTCCCCCTGTCAAGGAGCTACCTCCGTCTTACCGAAGCTCCACGCGTATGTGTGTGTGCGTTTTAACTCGAGATCCACTACGGCGCAAAGGAGCGCGTCCTTTTGCTCCACACACATTACACCGGAGCTTCCGCTTGCGGGGGTGTATCATGGAGACAGTTGAGATGAGATGTGGTGGGTTTTTTGGGGGCCCTTGTAACATTGGAAAAAAAAAAGAAAGAAATTTTTGATGAGGGACAAGGTAAGAAGGAAAAAAAAAAAAAAAAAAAAAATTGGACATACCACATACCAGCCAGAAGCTGGACGAGACCACCGTAGCCAAAGGCGAGGGGAACGGCAATGTTGGGCTTGGTGACGCCGCGAGCGTGCAGGTTGACGCAAGAAAGCACAAAGGTCGTGAGGGCGAAGGCGGACAGGCCCAGGGGGGCAGGGTTGGCGAACTTTCTGTGCTCATAGGGCTTCCACAGACCAGGCTGGAGAGAACCGCCGAATGCCTGCGCATCTCCTTCAGTCATGTTCCGGTAGTCGGCAACGCGGGTGAACGGCCCGGCGTGTCTTGCTTGAGCGTTGTGGCCTACTTGGGCACCATTGATGCCGTTGGGGTGGTCGGCACCAGTGGTTTGCACATCCTTTTCCAACTCGGATGGAGGGATGGCATTGTTGTTGTAAGTCTCCTGAGTAGCCATTGTGTGTGTGTGTTCTTCCGGGTGTTTTGAAATAAGAGTGTTCAAAAGTAAAAGAAATACGAATAAGGGGGGGGGGGGGTATCTTGTAGTAAGAGCAGGTGAAAACTCCACGGAAGAAAGGCACACACGGATGAGATGGAGAAAGGGAATCTCCTACAACTCCGGGGAAAGGGGTGGGGAGGAGAGCTTTAAGTAATGGGGAAAAGAGTTGGGAGAAGAGCCAAAACGAGGAGGTGATGGAGGTCGGGGTCGAGGGTCAGCGCAAAACCGAGATAGCTGATGGGTCGGTAGCTTCGCGAAAATGTGTAAAGGTCTGGGGTATGTACAGATACGTGGACCGTCGGACGCGGAGAACTGGAGCTTCTGGAGGATTAAGGACGGGGAGGAGGAAGAGGATGTCGACGAGGGAGGCGTCTGCAGGATGCGAAGCGTAGGGAGTGGGTGGAGTAAAAAAGATGCTGGATGGTGGTGATGCAGACTAAGTGTGTTAGGACGAGCCATCCGGTCAAGGGCCGATCTTTAAAGGCCCTGACAAGACCGAACCGGGGTTCGAATTGGGAATGGGTTTAAACGGAGGCTCCATTTTACATTCATTATTTTGGGTGCATTGTCGGGTGGTGGTGGTGAAATGGATGGGTGGATGGTGGAGTGACCATTTGGACACTTACGTCGGAGCCCGCCTGGAGGGAGGAGTGTGAAAGGGTCTGTTGGAAATGACATACTACTACGTATGTAACTAATGTAGAGAAGGTCCCCAGTGGCACAATTTGATGGGGGGGGGGGGGAAATCCAGTTGGCTGGTGTGACTGGGTGACTGGACCTCCTTTACCCTCTCTTCTCCTCATCATAACAGTACATAGTGAGTTCTTGGTCCTAAGAGGACGGGACGAATGGAAGAAAGAAAGCAAGCAGGGTAGCTAAACCTCTGTACCAACCAGATATCCCATCTTTTTCAGACGGAACGGAGACGTATCGCCCGACATGGTAGTGAGGTGCAACTTCAGTGAGGAGAAAAGAGGCTCCGTCCCATTTAGCGGGTTCGGCAAAAGTATTTGGTTAGTACTACGGTAGTGTACACAAGTAAGAGTAGTAATCCCTGATGCATGTAGCGAGGGATACCCACGCTTAGCCAGGTTGGCGCTCATTAACTTCCATGTGGACGAAGACCTCGACCCTCGACAGACTCCTCCTGTAAGTTGACAGATCCGAGACAACCAAGCAAAATGTCATTGCAGCCGTCACCAAGCAGCCGCCCAGGACGAAGGGTTCTCCAACGATATGGAGCAGTGGAAGCAGTGGAAGCAGGCGGAGAATGGGGGCCAAGAGAAAACACTGCCTCGGGCTACTGGGGAAAATCAGTCCATGAGCTGATGTCATTCCCACCTTTTCCGTCACCAGCAGCTTTTTTTTTTTTTTCTCTTCTTCTTTTCCCCAATTTTCTAGGCCTCGCCACCCTTCCCCCCCTCACCTCGCCCCTCTGCAACCAGCAGCAGGTATCGGGGTGGGCAATGCAAATCATTATTGCATATCCCGCAATGAGCCCTCCCGTCATGCATGTCGTTCTTCCATTCTGGGGAAACCACTCTTTTGTGAAAAGCAACAGGAAGAAGAGCCGCGGAAATATGTATTCTTGCTGTGCCGTTGACCTTCATGTCACCGCAGCTAGACTCTATGCTTACTGGGTAGTCGACCACCCCTCGAGCAATCTAGCAATACGCCGTTTAGGCATCTCACCCGTGGAATTTGGTGTTCAGCGGACAGGGTTTGATAATCATTTTTGAACCTCCAAAAGTTCTTGTTCCTGTTCTTCACGTCCAGGGAGGGGGTGGTGATAGCGCGTTACTGTGCGCGACCGGAATCTGGTGGGTGATGATTAGCAATACCCTATGGCACTAAATCACCGCGGAATTCAATTGCAGCGTCTGTGCCGCGTCAACGTTTTCAGTTTGGTGCGCTTCTTCTTCTCCATCGACGCCCGGTTCATCTTTGAACCCCGTCCCAGATCGTTGCTCGTTGGCGCTCACTGGCCGTCGGGGTCGCATTCGATCCTGGGATTGATATTACTGTGTGTCATGGAAATATGGGCTGCAGAGGCCAAAACGGAGCCAAAAAAAAAAAAACAATTTTGATATGTGCTTGTTGGAACGGACTGGACTGACTGGTGAAAGGCCAGCAAACTCTTCGTCTTGGCTGTGGATCGTGGTCGGATTACTGTCGGTAGTTGGGGCTTGGACAATTGTTGCGATGCGCCGCTGGTGAAGCTGATGCTAATAAAACCCTTATGGAGACATCGTCTGTCAATCATTATCATAAATCCTCGAGATGGCTCTCGAGATGGCCTAGTATAGAACTGCACCCTGTCCGCTGTGCGCTGGGTGTCCACTCCTCCATGTTATACGGTGGGAACGTATCACCAATGTCTCAATCCTCTGCAGCGCACCGCGTGTTTCAACGTTTCCAGCCATCTGGACGAGATCCGCCTGATTGCTTGCTGGCTGGCGGCGGGTGGGCAAAACCTACCTTTGTAGCGATACATCTGCCATCTGGTCATGTATTCCTGCTCATGTGTTTTTGACCCGTATCCCCGAAGCTGCGGGGAATCCGGGGATGGCTGGTTTATTTTCTGGGACCCCTCCGATGAGGCCGCGCACACGAACTGTTTCGTCTCATCGACGAAGGCCAAGGTCGAGAATGTCCCACCGTGAATCAAAATCTGCTTGATGCCTGGTTATTCTCCAGACGCCAAGCCATTTTCCTTCTATAGCATTGTATCATGGCCCACGACCTCTTACAAGCACCACTAATTCGGAGCTATCACAGTAGGCCAACGTCAAACCAAGCGTCATCATGACATTGCCCATCAGGCCTAGTCAACGAAGATCAGGCCCAGCATCAAGCTTCTGTTAGGAGGGCGTGAAACCAAGAAGGTCACATGGCGGCGGCTGCGGGGGAAACCTTCAGTGGCCCCCCCGCGGACTCAATGTCTCCAGAGCATTGCCATTATCTAGAGCGTATGCATATATCGGGGCTTCTCACATACACACACACACACACACAGCCCACCGCGTGGTCCGATGATGGCACCAGGCCGGATGAACCTCGAGATGGGATCGGGCTCGCTCTAGAACTCTCCATGTCTCCATGTCATGGATACCTAGCAACCTCGTGTGGGCTCACGCTTGTCTTTTTTTCCCCAGATCTCGTGGCTAACTGATGAGTTTATTTCCCCAGACTAACACCGGCTTCACGGTGCCGCTCTCTTTTCATGGGCGGGGGATTAGAAAGCCTGCCATGATATGCAGGGCCGTCTCCACGCGTTTGAATCCCGTTCCCTTTGGCCCGCGGTGGTTCTAATTGCGTGCCTGGCCAGATTTGCCGTTCTTTCAGTCAGTCACATTTGGTGATTGATTTTCTCAGTCAGCTCGATTTCGTCGGGCGTTTGTCTTGATTTCCAGGGCTTCCAAGCATAAATGCCCAGTCTTCTGGGCCTGAAGTAATCTTTTCCGACTCAGCAAGTGATTTCTTCTGTTCTTATTGCGTATCTCTGTTTTAATTGTTCATCTTTGATGGAAAAAACGGTTCTGTCATTCTGCAGAAATCTCCCGTTCTGACGAGTGCCACGGCAGTCAAGCATTGTCACGCAAAGCACCGAAGGTGGGATGCTCTTCCACTTCTGGCAGCGCTGACATCACGCCAGTCTGCCCATCATTGCCACTCTTACTGCCGGGTACCACGGGATCATCAGCCCACTAGAACAAAATCACCCGGACACATCCTTTTTTTTATTCCCCCCCTTTCGCTAGCCCTGAAAACACCTGAAAAACGGCGCTGTCCGTGCTATATCCAGCTGGTAAATCCGATAATCCGCCATCTTTCGGCGCTATTTGGTTTTTTTTTAGCTTCTGTGGCAGCTGTCGATGGCGCCGCTAGAAGGACGACGGACTCTGGAGTCCAGGAGATCCCGAGATGGCCGCGGCGACGGCGCAAGGGAAGACGTCAGGACAACCGACGGGCACCGAGGAACTACCTTTTCCAATAAGAGAGAGCTTGCGGGCTGTGAAATTTTAGAGAGAAATGGTAGGTTGACTTGGCCGAGACTGTGACTTGGGGGGGGGGGGTATGCAAGTAAACGCTAAAAACACTCGTTTGGCCGTTTCTCCGCCCACAAGTGCGCCGAGTAACACCCAACAGACAATACAGCGTTCTGGAAGCTTGGAATTACTACTGGCTCACCCGTGAATGTCTCGAATGTTGAAGAATGGACGAACGGCACTGATGACTGGGCTGCTGCACGACTTTGCATTCCCATCTACATATTACGCTCGGCTTCCGCTTCTTGGATGCCTTAACCGAGCACCGAGCGAGCCGTGGCAGTAACCGTATCGACGGATGGATCTTCGATGCCCAGTCCCTTGGCCCGGGATGCCAATGAATGAGGCTCGAGCAAAAGCCGAAGCAGACAAGTCAGCAGAGAGAAGAAGAGGACAAAAAAATAAAAAAGAATAAAAAACGGTTCGCGGTCAACAGTCCGAAGTGCCAAGAAGCATACCTTGGCTGTTAATTCCGCGGTTCCCACTCCTCGTACGAACAGCCAAGACCGCCATAGCACCGGGCAGATAGGGTGCCCTGTGCCGACCCAGCCCAAAATATGCCGCAAGACCTCCCCTGAGAGCACACACACACACACACACACACACACACACACACACACACACTGGCGGCGTAGCATTGCCAAGGGGCCACAGGGCTCGGGAGCACACGTTGCGCTGTGCAGCGGCTTACCCTGAACTGAGCAGCCGCCTGCTGCTGCGTGGGCGTCTTAGGTGCACCGTCTCTGCAGGGCCCTGCACGATTGTCTAAGGAGGAAGAGGCACTAAGCAGCTTCCATTTCTCCGAACAGCCTCCCTCTTTCGAACAGAATCGTTCCACCCGCACAGAGGGTCGTTGAGAAAGGGGTGCTTGGTTAGAGGTGGAGGCGAAAGGTGGGCTCTCTCCCTCAACCATTTTGTGTCGCTGTTGAGAAGACCCCGTTCGCTGCCCTGTCTGCATGAAGGAGGTTTCCTTTCTTGCGAAAGGTCTGTGGAATGAACCGAGGCTGCTGGGGTTGGAGTCGAACGAACCGTCCGCCGTTCGTGAGACGGTACAATACTAGTTAGCGCATTCATTTCTTCTAAGCTACCTCATGCATGCACACCATCCGTTGTTGTTCTGGCGATGAGAACCCAACGAGAGGCTTCATACTAACATCCGTACGCCGTCTCCCTGGTGCCAACGGATGACCTCGTACCGGGATGTCTTGCCCGGGAGTACGATCCGTGTCTGCTAACTCAGCACCAATAGCGCCTCTGCTGGCTGGCAGGCTGGCGTCAAATCCTGGCCTTTATGAAGCAGTTTCTATTTATCCGTCGCTGGCTGCAGGTCTAGGGGCGGGAATCGATGCCAAGAAGGGAGGCGCAAACGATCACTACCGGATAACTCGGCACCATCCAAACTTTGAGCCATGCATGCCGGTGCCATGTTGACAGCGAGTGATGGGCTAGAAGCCATATCATTAGAGGGCCTGCTAATGCCCTGGAGGGTTGATGCAACGCTTGTGACCTATTCCTTGAAAAATAAACAGGAATAACCTTCGAATTTAGTTTTATTTGAATGCAACGTATTCCTCGTTGGTGCAAGGCCCGGGTTGTAAAAGTAAGCAACAGGCATTGCCCCCTCCCACCCAGGGCTGTATGTGTGTGGATGACTTCTCATATGAAATGACTGTTGGACCTTTTTGGACCTCGCCAAGCGACAGGATTTTCCCCCATTCACCAAGTGTCATTTTTTTCAAACTGTGGAAGCCTTCGGCACCGAAACGGACATGCCAGAAAGGGGAAAAGAGGGCCTCCTCGCGAACTGTTCCCCCGAGGTTTACGCGACAGTGATCATTACTGTTATCTCCGGTCAGACAAGGAGGATCAGATTATATGGGATGAAAACGTGACCTTGCGACCATGCGCCGATCAAAACACCAGTCTAGCCATCTTTTCGAGTGAAAACGCAAAAAGAAATCGTCAAGGACAGGATTCGAACCTGCGCGACCGAAGCCACTGCCTAAGCTGGTATCAGAATCTGATAGCAGGGCAGCCCATTAACCACTCTGGCACCTTGACCAAGGTACGATGACAAAACTCGTTGTGAAAATACCCAAGAAGGACTGCGACAAAAATCCTCATTTTCCCTGTCTGCGTAGACAAACACATTTTGTTCACAGAAGCAAAACAGGAGCAAAACACGGTGCTCATTTAATGTGGCCATCATTGGAGTTTCGCTTTCAGACGGAACGACTAAAATTTAGACTCTTCCCCTGTTAGAGCCCTTCCAACTCACCTAGAGTATTGATTTACCTCTGTCTAGACTAATGCAGTTGCCAACTATTATTCGCAGCTGCAAGAGAGGTCGGATATGCGCGTAGTCAGTGACTCGGTGGCTCTCAATGATTCCTTTTAGCTTTTTTTCATTTTGAAGTCCGATCGAGTAGCTGAACGAGGGTATTATTGATTTTGCAGTGCAAGCACCCTAAAGACGACAGCTTCAGGCTAGCATAAGCTCGAAGCAATTAGCCAATCTTTACCCACGACTGCTTTTGGTGTACTTGGGTGCTAGGAATATTAAAATCGAGGTATCTTTAATGGCAGCTAACCAAACGGTTTCGGACTTACCATGCTGGATGCATTTGACCAAACAGCTTGTTCAATCTCATGGCAACGGGACATCGAATTGCTCTAGTATAAGCAAATACCAGTGCTCGTCTTAAGCATGGGATTTGAGGCGCTTGGCCGAAGACAATGCAGATAGATGAGGCGGCTTTCGGGCGATTACTACCAAGCTGATGAAAATTATGCAAGATTTTGATTCAAACTATCGCACAGATCTTTCATATTCATACAAATCACCAAAACCTGCCGATTGACTCGTTGAAATGACTTGAGACAATGTTGCAGGGAGTTGCCGGGCACTCACCAAAGGATCCTGCAATAATATCTGTCCGCGACAGACTGAACATCAAACCATGCAATAAAGAGCTACCAAGATATTACGGGACGGAAATCAATTGGGAGTTTCTAAGATCTTCACTGTGTCAACATTGGTACAGGTTTATCGTCAATGTGGGAAGTACGTGTCCAGCCGCATGGTTGATGTCTGTAGATCATCAATACCCAGCTGCATACTCTAAAGAACGGATCACTGGATTCGGGGTATAACCATATCAAGAATCTCCTGATATCTTGAGTAAACTTCAATAAAGATACATACTGATAGTTTCTTTGAGATAAACGATGAGATCGGGACTTCATGGGCGGATCCTTAGAAGTTTTTTAGGCATTGAGAAACTGGATGAACTCGAAATACTAGGCAAATATCACGCCCGACCCCTAGCTACAGCAAAGGAAAAATATTACTGCACTCATTCAACAAACAACACCAAGTATCATCTCTACCTCTAGGTATCATGATTCCTGCCAAGATCTACCAATTCTTCACCGAGCCTCACCGAGAATTACCGAGCCCCCAAGGTGCCTATCCGTCTCACCGTGACCCACCTGTGAATGGAATCGTGCCACCTTGACAGCACTCCCCTATCGAACCATCGTACGACTCCCGAGATCGCCTGACATTACTCCCGAACTATCCACAATCTTCCGGGGAAAATGGGTGGCACGCGTCACTATATAGTTTCCATCCCGTTCAGTCAACGTCCTAAACTCGACTTTCCTGATTCCCAGCGGCAATGTTCATACGACCAATCCGTCGTTTCATCATCACCTTCGTCTTCGGCATTTCCATAGCCATTCTGGGCATGCTATACCACCGGCCCGTCACCAACGCAATAAACATCATCACTCAACAGGCACTCCGATTTTCGTCCCTCTCAATGGCGTCGCGTAAGCAGGTAATCGTCGTCGGCTCCGGTCTAGCCGGCCTATCGGCGGCGCAGGAGGCGCTCAATGCCGGGGCATCGGTGCAGATGCTCGACCGTGCGCCGAAGCCCGGTGGTAACAGCATCAAGGCGTCCTCCGGTATCAACGGCGCCGGTACCCGGTTCCAGAAGGCCGCTGGCGTGGAGAAGGACGACCTCTTCTACGACGACACAGTAAAGTCCGCAGGCACGCGGTTCAGGGAGGCCAAGGGAGGAGTTGATCGCCCAAAGCTGGTGGAGTTGTTGACCAAGAGCTCGGAGGGCGCCGTGAACTGGCTCGTCGACGAGATCGGGGTCGATCTGAGCGTTGTTGCGCCCCTGGGCGGACACTCCGTTGCTAGAACCCATCGTGGGGCGGGTAAGACGCCACCAGGCGCTGCTATCGTGACGACATTGCTGGAGAAGCTCGGGGAGAACCCCGACTTTCAAATCAAGAACTCTGCCGAGGTGACATTGTTGAATGTTGCCGACGGCGCAGTGAAGGGTGTTCGCTACGTCCACGAGGGCGAGCAGCACGACGTGGAGGGCGCCGTTGTCTTCGCCGCAGGTGGCTTTGCAGGGGATGCCAATGGCCTGCTAGCCAAGTACCGCCCCGACCTGGCGGGTCTTCCGTCAACGAACGAAGCTCGCCCTGCTTCGCACGGTATCCTAGAGGCAGTCGGCGCGGAGTTCGTCGACATGGACAGCGTCCAGATTCACCCCACCGGCTTCGTCGACCCCAAGGACCCTGAGGTGCGATACAAATTCCTCGCAGCTGAAGTCCTGCGAGGCGAGGGCGGCATTTTGCTCTCCGACAAGGGCGAGAGGTTTGTCAACGAGATGGAAACGAGAGAACACGTCAGCAAAGCAATCATGCAGCTGCCGCCCACAGAGAACGGCGAGATAAGGCAGTGGAATGTCACATTGCTCATGGACCCTGGCGCTTGTGACGCTGCAGAGGGGCATTTGGGTTTCTATCTTTGGAAGGGGCTCATGGAGAAGAAGAAGGTAAAGGACCTCAGCCCGGAGATTATCAAGTCGATAGACGATTACTCTGCTCTGGTGGCTTCTGGAACCGACTCTGCTTTTGGTCGTCGGACATTCGGCCGCTGGAGATTGCAGGCAGGAGACAGCAACCGTGAGGAGGAGGTCTGCGTGGGCCGCGTGACACCGATTACTCACTTCACCATGGGCGGAGCGTCATTCAACGAAAATGCTCAGGTTCTTAGGGAAGATAAGAGTGTGATTAAGGGCCTTTGGGCAGCGGGTGAGATCACGGGTGGAATCCATGGAGATAACCGACTCGGAGGCTCCTCGCTGCTGGAATGTGTTGTTTACGGAAGGATAGCGGGCCAGCAAGCGGCCGCCGCGGCGTTGAGCGAGTAATATCGCTGCTCAAAGCTTTGAAGATGTACTTTGACATATTTACGAACCACAAGCAAGCATGATTTGACCTTACGCATTCACTTTATCTTGGGTTGTGTCCATAAGCCGTGACTAACCTGCAGACTCAATGCTACTACAGGGGAGTCACACTTAGGGTATTGGTCACAACAGCCACGAAGGGAAGTCACTGAAAACTCCTCTGTCCATTTACCATAAGTATTCTAGTTCATACATAGTAGAAAATCATAGGCTGAGTCCTTCCTGAGGTCTCAGACGGTACCCATTGCCTCGTCTAACACGAGGCATCCGGGAATCTATAACCCAACATCTAGCATCAAAGCTAAAATCTTGATAGAATCTGCCCTTCCTTAAAAGAGAGTCGTCTTAGAAAGAGCAGAGCGAACAGAAAACTTCTTGTTCAAGTGCTTGCCAACCACGGTGGTCCCATCGGCAGCCTTTGCAGTGCCGTTGCCGCCACCGAAGCCGTTGTTGGCGAGCTTGTTGGCAGTCTGGCGAGGAACCCGGGTGACGATGCCGTCCAGAGCGGTTTGCGCGATGTAGCTGCACAGCTCAACGGGGTTCTTGGGTGCGGAGCCAAGACCAAGCAGGTAGGCCGCGAGGCCGGCGACATGGGGGCTAGCCATCGAGGTACCAGAGATGGTGTTCTGTTTTCAGGATCAGCATACTGGCGCGTCGAAACAACACTTGGGCCGAGCGCGGTGATAGACTTACAGTAGAACCACCGGGCCAAGTGCTCTTGATATCACTACCAGGTGCAAGAATGTCGACAACGGCTCCGAAGTTGGAGTAGTTCGCCAAGGTGTCGTCCTCTTCCGTGGCACCAACCGTGCACACCGTCTTCTCAGAGCCGGGGCTCGAAGTGCCGGCATCAGCAGCCTCGTTACCAGCAGCAGCGGCAAGGAAGTGTCCGGCCTTGACGATGGCAGCAGCAGCCTGGTTGACTGCCGTCGATTTCACTCCTCCAAGAGACATGTTGACAACGACGCCATTCTCGCAGCCCTTCTGGCCTGCGGCGTCGGCAGCGACAAAGTCCATGCCGGCAATGACGCCAGAGTTGGTCCCCTCGCCTCTGGCATCCAAAACTTTCACCGCAAAAAGCTTGGTCTTCTTGACTACGCCGTAGGTCTTGGAACCGACTGTACCAGCGACGTGGGTTCCATGGCCCTGACCATCTGAGTCATCGCTGTCTGCAAAGTTTGCAAGGAACGTTGCGCGGCCTTCAAAGTCCTATTCCAACGTCAGTTTCACCATTCACTTGTAAAAGGTCCGATGACGCATACCGGGTGGTCGACATCAATACCAGTGTCGATAATGTAAGCACAAGTTCCCTCTCCAGCACTCTCGTCAAAGCTGTAGGTAGTTCCACCAGGCGACGAGCTTGAGATTCTCGCCAATCCCCAAGGCGCGTTCCGCTGAGTCGCCTTGATGCTCATGATGGCGTCCTGCTCGATGAAGTCGATGCTTGGGTCATGTTGAAGCGTTTCAATCTCTGACGCGTTCAGTGTAGTTGAGAAGCCCCGGAGAGAGTTGCCAAAGTTGTAGACGTGGTCGGCGTCGGCCGAGAAGGTCGACATGGCCGCCTCGAGTGCGCCGGCCTTGGCGTCATTCTTAAGACGGACGATGTACTTGTCAGCAACCAAAGTGACACCGCGAGGCTTAATGAGAGGCGCAGGCTGAGCGCGACGGGAAGGGGCCGCGAGAGCAGCGAGGGGAAGAAGGGCAAGGATCGTGGCGGCGTGCATGTTGACGTCTAGTCAATAGGTCAAGACAAGCAAAGTCTGAAGAAGTGAAAATAAAAAAGAAGGACTTTGATAAATTGAAAAGAGCGAAGGAAGTTGTCGTTGTCCAAAGGAGTGTGGGAGATGTTGGTGATTCGATGTCGAGCCTGGTCTATAGCATCCTCAACATGCGACGGGCCGGCTGCGTCTTATACTCGTGCATGTTCATGCAGTAGGCCAAGCAAACAACCGAGCGTTGGATACCAGTTCTTTTTCCGTTTGTCCATCGCTGTCAAGCACTTAACGTGCGGTTACCAAGTCTGGCAAGTGGGCAGATCAACAATTCGGTGACAGCTCGGTGCTCGCGTCTCCTGTTGGAGGAGCACGGCGCCGTGGGTCCTCTAGAACCGACGTTTGAATTAAAGGGGGCCCAGGGAGAGAATTCCCGGGGACCAACCAGAGCCGCCGGGTAAGCCTCAGGTCGAGACAGCCTGTTCGCCGCCGCCGGGCGGGACGTGTGTATTGCTGCGCCGGCCTCCGTTGGACGATGTGTTGGGAGAGAGAGAGAGTGGGAGCAGGGGCTCCATAGTCAATGTCGATCTCATACAGGGGTAGTCAGCCTGCATCTCCTTACCACGCAACCACGGCAGTGCTTTTAGCGGATCAGGCACCACATTCAGACTGGGGGTTCCAGGAACGAGAATCATCGAGAACGAATCGAGAGGAGGCAACAAGTTTGGTCGCTTACAGCCAACGGCTCCTCCATCCAAGTATTGACCGCCTTGATCCAGCACACCAAAGCCAATGGGAACTCTCAAATGACAATATATCAACAGAGCATTAAGCATGAGGAGCGGGGCCACGCGCCGGGATGATCCAATCCCCATTTGGGATGGCATGTTGGCTAGATAGGCTCGTTTCAGGGGTTTGCGGGAGCTGATTCGCCACGTTGGAAACACCACCAAGAAATGAACCCGATATGAGATCTTCATGTCTCACTGCTCCCTCTGGCCAACCACCGTTGCTTTTATCGCCAAGTAAAGCGTTTTGAGGGGATAGAAAGAAAACATAATCTGTATCTCATGGCAGTGCAGGAGCTTGTTCGACTAGGTTGTTTAGGCTCTGATTGCTCCGATGTTCCAGGAGTCTTAATTGGGATTTTCTAAACTCTTGTGGGGAAGATAAACTGACCTCCCTTTCTTGGAAGTCCCTCGATAAATCAGCATCATGGATGTTTCGGGGATAGCCAATCTGAACGCCATGTTCCTGTTGAGGCTTCTAGATAATTCCGGAAGAACTTCAGCCAACAGACACAATGTCGCAGTTTTTATGATGCAATCGTTATGCTGGAACTTTTGTTATCTCAAGTAATTGACCGACATGTGGCCACTCAGCGTATTGAGTTTCCGTTCGCAGTTGAAGATTCTCGGGAGATGAGGTTGGCAACGTGGGCCGCGAAAATAGTTCACGGATAGATACCGACTCGCTGTGCAATAATCATGCGGCTTGCCATTGGTGAAAGGCTGTGTACTGCCAAGCACAAAGATACGAGATATTACTGATCGTACCTAAAAACCAAACAAGAGGGCACATAGAAATATTCCATAATCTCCATCAACATGTATCGGCCATTGACATATGGTGGCCGAGAACTTACCTCAGGTCGTACAAGCGAGTCTCGGGTAGCGTCATCGTTCCAAATGAGACCATTAAATTTGCGGTGATTCCTCCGAGGGAAATACTCCTTGTTTCACATGGTTTGAAACATTTACAATACGAGGAAGCTGTTAAACAAGCTCCCTTTCACATATCGTTAAGCAGGATGATGCTTTCATGCTGGATATGGGATTACTCTCATCAGAAGCAGTAAGTGACGGAACCCGGAATATTTAGTCCTGAGGTCCATGCGTGATCAAAAACCCAACGAAACGTTATTGAGTCTTCCTCAACATGACAAGACAACGGTGAAAACAAGATCGTTCGTGCAATGATCTTTTGTCTTTAAACCATCGCAACAGAAGAAAATTGATGACCCCTATCCCATTAGAGCCCTCTATCTACAGCACATCCCCATCATTGAAAGAGCACCTTGACTTGTTGTTGACTACCTAACTTCATAGTCCGGTTATCGTTGCTTCTTGTGGTTTAAAACTCTTGCTAGGGGGGGTGGGGGGTCTGTCAATGCTTACTTGATAAATAAACCTTCATTGATATCAATCAATGCCCAGGGACAACTGCATTTCAAACTACCTTACATATGCTTATGTACGACGCAGTACTAGTATTGCGGATATGGAATACCGTTAAAGAAGTAAGACCAAACCATCTCCACGGGATGAAACTTTTGCGAGCTATTTACACAAGCAGGAAGGTATTTTGAATTTGAAAGTTTTATTTCTCTATGAAGTGTTTTTACTTCATGTTGCGGAATGCCCCTTGACCAGAGTATCATTAGAGACTCGAGCGTCCTCTCTCAGATGCTAGGGACGATCAGCTGGTCGATATCAGGTCCCCATCCCTCAGACTTTGAGAACTTGACGGTGTTGACGCCCTCCTTTACATCAACATGGACGGAACTGCTGCCCACTCTGCTTGAGATGTGGCTGGTAGAGAGGAAAGCCACGTTCTGCTCCTCGCCATTGACTGAAACTGCTGCATGACGAGAACGGGTATCGCCGTTCAGGTGTTTGACGATGAGAGTTACCCTGTCGGCAGTGCTGGCCTCAAAGTTCAAAACCGCAGTTCCGTCGGAGTCGCCACCAAGATAGCCAACGGAAGAAGATCCGCTACATCCGGAGCAGCTGAGAAGACGCGCTCCGTTCGAGAGCTCAGCACTTTCGCCCTCAATCTCAATCTCAGGCTTAGCCTCGGACCATGTACCAGCCTTCACGTCGACAGTCCAAGAATCGTGCCAGTCCAAAGTGACTTTGGTGCCATCAATGTTCAAAGGGAGCCAGATGTAAGTGCTTGCAGCCAGGTTCGTTGATTGCCAACGATCGCCCATGTAGATGGCCTTGTCGTTGCCTAGAGGAAGAACGTAGCTGACCTGGCTTTGGTGCGTCTTGGAGCCGATCGGGGCGAACTCAGTCCAGTTGGACCAAGGGCCGGAAAGAGACTCCGCATAGCTGTAGACCTAGAAACAAATCAGCAGACTGCTTGATAAGCTTGTTTATGAAGACGCAATTTACATTGTCATTGGCGTTCCAGCCAGTAAGATGCGAGCCAAAGATGTAGTAAAGTCCGTTGCGCTTCACCAGTGCTGGGGACTCAGCGAAGTACTGCCAGCCAAAAGTGATTTCTTTGACATCGAGGTAGTCGTCAGTAAGCTTCATGATACGAGTTCCGTACTCGCGCTGTAACCCTGGTTAGCCTGCTAGCCGGTGTAATTGACGGATGAAAGTATTCTTACGTCCTCAGTCAACAGGTACGCTGAGCCATCATCGTCCTTGTACAAGCCAATATCACGGCTCTGCTTGTCCAAGGGACGGAAGCTGCGAAGATACTGGTACTCTCCGCACACAGTGTCGCCAATTCCGACTCCGACTCTGGCATCCTTGTAGTCCGTAGAGTCAATGTGCAAATAAAGAACGTATTTGCCGGTCTTGTCATTCTTGATGACCTTGGGTCGTTCAATAATGCGGTTGGGGCCAAGGTCTCCCGCCTCTTCCGTGCGAGAAATGAGACGGCCTTCAAAGCTCCACTCGACCAAGTTGGTAGAGGAATAGCAGTTGACCGCCTGGAACAGGGCGCCATCGGTCTTTTCCTCACCGATCATGTAGTAGATTCCATTCTCCTCACTAGCTTACATTAGCAACAACTCTTAAGAGCTTTCGAAGAGCTTGGTGCTTTGTGGAAAGCCATTGGCAGGTTGGTCTTACATAATTCCGTTGCCGTGGGCTTGAACGTGTTCTCCGGTGTTTGTCTAGCATCAACCGGTCAGACCTACTGAAATACCTTGGGTCCCTCTCGTGGTGAACTTACAGCGGTCCAGGTAGCTCCAGGAACAATACTGATGGCCGCACTCGCACTGCCAACAGACAGAGAAGCGAGGAGGGCAGTGTTGAACAGACGCATGCTGGCAACAGAGGTCTTGAAAATATGAGGCCAAATAGGTTGAGTCTTTTCTCAGATTCCGGTTGCACGAAACTGTAACGAATTGATGGAAACCATCGACTATTTGTATTGTCAGGGCTCACATGTTTCTTGGCAGCATCAACATCATGAGATGTATAAGCGCAAATGACGTTGACATCCTACAAACCAAGCTCTCAGACAGCCGAATTTGTTCTAGAAGCGAGCCAAATGACCAAATAGTTACTCGGCATAGTATCAACCGAGCGCTTAAAGAGTGCTTTCAAGGGTGTCTAGAGTTACATTTAGTATTTTACCGAGATGGCAGCGCGGGGAAACCAGGCAAGAGAGCAGATATATGCCCCACAAAGATAGACTAGATGATCTGCTGATGTGCCGGCTGGTGGATTTGTGGGGATTCCATGGCTTTCAGTACGTGACCGAGCGAAGAGATAGATGATGAATGTGGCAGCTGAAGCCGAATGCTGGTGAGCCAAGAAGTAGTAATACGGTAAAATTCAGGTTGTGCTTGTTCAAGTTAGCATTTTGGCGGACCCCAGAACGGATTGGGCTCGCTTTTTGGTTCGTGGAAGCAGGTGATCACTTCCACAAAGGGCGTCAAGGTCGTATTGTGAAATGTCCTGGGGATACCGGAGCCGGGAGGTACGGAGCTGTGGAGGCAGGGGACGGTTCTAATGGACCGGAACGGGCCGGTTCCTCAAATCAAATTCACAGATGCCTACCACGGCATAGTTCATACTGCAAGGTGGATTTCAACAAACCTTGGGGTAGAAACAAAAACAAATTATATTTTAATCTTCATTGCTTTCAGTGGGTGCCAAGCTCTCCAACTGTAATCGCTCACTCTAAGGCCGATGTTTGCACTTGTAAATTCCCAGTAAACCTCCCTATTATCGCGGCGTACCCTAACGACCGACCATTTCCCCTCCTGTAGACTTTCCAAGTAATCGAACTTGTTTAAAATCCTTGTGTTGGCTCCCCGAGATCGGAAAACTTCTAACGTAGCGCACAACTCTTGAAGTAAAGGCGCATCTTCGCTAGAATCTTGGCGTTGTCCTGTGCCGTAGAGCTCAGCAAGACGGTCAACTGCCTCTAGGATGGCAGTGGACGAGTCGTTATCCGTCTTGTCGATTTCACAACCGTTTTCGACCAGGAAACTAACAAAGGCCGCATCACCTTGCCACGCCGCATGAAATAGTGCAGTTTTCCCATTTTCATCAACTGCATTCACGTTGAATCCCCTGTTGACCAGTAGTTGAGCTGTGTCGGAGAAACCATTATTCGCTGCCCAGAACCAAGGGTTGTCCTCTTCCTGAGCCTCTGAGCCCCAATCTGCACCGCTGTTGATTAGTAAATTGACGACGCTACGACTACAGACATCCATCGCTAACGAAAGCGCAGATTTCCCCTTGTTGTTTAGGTGCTTGATTTTGGCACCGCTTGAGATCAGGAGCTCCACGACATCCAAATGCCCTCTTTCAGCCGATACAAGCAGTGCTGTCTGTCCATCGTCAACAGTGAAAGCGTTTACATCCGCTCCCCGGTCAAGCAAGAGGCTCACAGCACTCAGACGGGCTCTTTTTGCCGCAGACATTAAGGCAGTCCAACCAGATGAATCCGAGGGCTTTTGGACATCTACCCCACGGCCAAGAATCGTTCGCATTACATCCAATCGTCCAGACAGAGCGGCCCAACTTAAAGCCCTCGGCCCATGCAAATCAATCATGGCCAAGGTGAAGGTCGCACCGTTCTGAAGCAAAAGGTTGGCAATAGCTTTCATCTTACTCTTCCTCTCGCCTGTGAGAGCGTAGTCAAGAGGTCGAAATCCATCGTCGCTCACGCAATCGGCATTTGCTCCTTTTTTCAAGAGGGCTTTGACAAGTCTAAGTTTCCCAGCCTTGACAGCCCAAAAAAAGGGGGTCCAGCCTCCCCGACCGACTGCATTTACCTCGGCATCTCTGTTCAACAACAAAGTGCATACGGACAAGCTTCCTGCTTCAGCCGCTTTCAGCAAGGGTGTTTCGTTCGAGTCACTCGATACAGGGTTAATGGTAATTGTTGACAGATGTGGCGAGTTTGTCTGGGAGACGGCGAAATCCAATAAAACCTTAATGACCGAATAATTCGAATAGTGAGAGGCAAGTAGGAGTAGGTTGTCATTGTTGGGGCCTTTCCATGGGTGTTTCGATATATTCAAAAGTAGTTTTAGAGTCTTGGCCCGTCCACTGATAACAGCCATAGCGAGGGGAGCATGATATGGCTCGTCGAATTGGTCAAGCTGGGCACCACCTTCAACGAGCGCATTAATGATGTCCGGCTTGTCACGTGCTGCGATGCAGGCGCCCAACACAGTATATGCCCCGCCCATGGCTTCTTTGTGAGTTTGTGTGTTTGGATCTGCACCCAGTTTCAGAAGAAGCTGAACCATTGAGAGTGTTCCAACTTGCACTGCGATATGTATCGAACGAACCCCCTGAAAGATTGGATTTGTGGCCCGTTTGTTCAAATCTGCACCTCCCTCCAGAAGAATTCTGACAGTCTCTTCATGGGATTCCATAACTGCTAGTTGTAGCGCAGTAAGCCCGAATTCATCTTCGACGTCAACATCGTATACTCCTCCATACTGAAGAAGTGACTTAATCGTACCAGTGTCATTGATGAGAGCAGATATGTGGAGTGGCGTAGTTGTACCCTCGGTAATACGTCCTGAATGAATCCAGTAAGGCAGCCTTGACAGCGTCTTTCCACCCTTTTCTGCCGCTCGCTTGAGCATTGAGAAATCATTCTTAACAGGCAAAAGTGTCGCTAGTATGGCCTCCCTGGCCGGTTGCCGCTCTGCCAAGAACAACAGGGGTAGGTTTCTCTCGTGGTCCTCGATACTCTCGGCTGAGTCGGAATTGCTTTTCTTCGAACCTGCCTCGTCTTCAATGGCATCGCTTACGCCCTCTCCAGAAACCAATGTCTTTAGTGGTTCATCGTTTCTGGGAGGCGTAATTGACGGTAACGGCTCTGGCCACTTCCCCAATACAGGACGTTTGCCGTTGTAAAGGTGAACTGGTTCACGTTCAGCCTTGTTGTTCTCGCGAGAGTCTGACCAGTTCTGGATTGCCGAGAGTCGGTCCAAATAAAACTGTTGGCTGGTGCCCCCAGCGGCAATGAGCAAATCAACAACTCCAATAAGGCTTTGATGCCATTTCATGATCTCAAGTAGGCCGCCGGCTTGCAGTTCTTCGGGAACGTAGCCAGCCCTCAACCTGGACCATACGCACTGCAGGGTTGTTGTTTTCTGCAAACCTATAGTCGAATCGGTGTCTTTACATGGAGTATTGACGTCAAAGCCGTGCTGAAGTAGTGTTCGCACAACCTCGAAATGGCCATTTTTGGCTGCATGGTGCAGCATTGGTTCTCCACAAGGCGAGCATGATTCAGTCATCATTCTGCCCCGGAAGCCCTCAAGGCCTAGCAAAAACTCGATAATCTTCAACTCGACGAGCTGCAGTGCTCTTGTGGTCGGCCTAGGACGATCAAGAATATCGTGCCAGATAGGTATGGGCCCATTTTCATGATATCTGCCATCACACGAGGCCGCACCACGATCTGCCAACCACTTCAGACTCTTCAATGATACGTTTGAAGAACCCAAAAGGGAGCGGAAAATGAAGCCGCCATCGTGACTTCTTCCAATTATTCTAGCGATCTGTTCTTCGGAGTAGCATTGAACCAACATGTCTGTGGCTTCAATATGTTTTCCCCACAATGCCGCATATAAAGCCTTCCAATCATTACCGTCTGTGCTTGTGATAGTAGCGCCTCTACCCACCAGTGAAGTCATAAATATCACACTGTCTGGAAGATGGGAAATGACCTCGAGCATAAAACCATCATCATCAACCGAAATGATGCCTTCGGCTAACAAATAATTGAAGCATCGAATGGCACCCCATTCTCGACATTGGCTAGAAATCTTGACTTCCTTGTGATGAAACTGTTGCAATAGATTTTGCAGAGCGACAGCAGGATTCTCTGTTGACCCTTCGAGATGTTGATATAACAACCGCAAGCTATCCACGTCGTCACAAAGCAGACAACTATCGATACCAGGACCAGTTATCTCAGCTCCATTTCTCAAGAGTAATGATAAAGTTTCGGTCCTCAAAAACTGGATGTTATTCCCATGGATAGCAAACCGCTCAACCTCAAGCCTTTGAAGGTGCCCATTAACACCGATCACCGACAAGAGACACTGTGTGAGCCTTTCGTTTGTCCGCTCCCAGAGCTTTGAGCCCTCACGACATAGCCACGGTTTCGTCTTACTCCAATCTAACAGTCTCTGTGTGATCTCATATTGAAGGTATGAAGAAGCATCAAAAAGAGCATCTGAGAATTTGGAGACTGGAAAGTCGGTACTTTCGTGGATGTCCAGAATCGCCATAGCGAGACAATGCCGCCCTGCACAAATGGAAGCCTGTAATGGCGTCCCGCTCCAATTGTCTTTGAAGTGGATGGTGCTGAAATAAGCAAGCTTGTCTAATTGACCTCCGGCTTCAATGGCAAGATGCAAAATACCTGCAGCTTCTGTGTCTGAAATTGGAGAGTATGTAAGTAAATGAAACAACCTCGGTGCAACCTTCTGGATTTCGCTTTGCCTGTACTTCTCCGTTATCATTCCTTTTAACCCCCCTTGGATGTCGAGAAGAGTGCCCTTCCTAAAAATATCCTGTAAGGAAGAAAATCTGGCATTCATAAGATTACCAGGGATGGAGACATTTTTGTAGAACTCGAGCAAGGGCATCTTGAACTCCAACCTAGACCATGTTTGGTTGTTCTCATGGTAAATAGCTCGGACCATTTTCCAATGACGTGGCCAGCGTCTTTCGAGGATATCCATGGCTGTTCTTGATCCTCCAAGTGCATCAAGACATAGAAACAGCCTGCTCGGAAAAAAAGACTCAAAGTCGGTTCCAACCACCATGTTGTGACAGAGAGAAATCGCCCGATCATATCCTTGGATAGCCGCAACCGCAATCCATGAGGCTCCTAGGATGTGATCCCGCGGCTTCCCAAGGCCCATCAAATGACACATACCTAGGTATAATGAGCGGTGGCTTCTTCGTTGATACAATGGCGGCATAATGCCAGATTTGGCTCCAGGCCAGACCTTATACATCAATTCTGTACTTTTCCGGTGCAGATCTTCAATAAATTCCAAAGAGGACAGGCCCGACGGAACAGAACTGGAAATATCCTCTACGTTTAGAGCACGAATGTACTCCACGGGGTTTTTGATATCGTAAAGTGCCACAGGATTGAGTTGGTACAGTAGCTTGAGATGCCACCAGGACTTCTTTTCCCACCACCTAGTCACTGACGACATGATGTCCCAATGATACGAGCTCTTTGAATATTAGTAAGACTGTTGCTACATTCTGAATTGCTGTGACTTACACGCCTTAGAAAGTCTTTGCCATGGCTGCTTCCATAACTCTCTATTTCATCGAATTCGTCACTGCTTTGAATATCGCTGTCAACATTGACAGATGACCCGTCGTCCGCGTTGTATTCTTTCACTGGCCGACCTGCAGACTGCGGGCTTTGGGGGTCTTGAGAACAGGCTCTTTCTTTCGGGATCCGACCACGTATGGTCTGAGACCAAAATTTTCCGCTTCCATTACTTTTTGAAGACATGGAGTTGTCGGAATCTTCGTCTCCGGCTTGGTAGGAGTCGCTATCAGCGCGTTCTTCGCGCCTATGTCGCCTGTCTCGACGATCATCTTTCCGCAGGTTTCCCAGTTGAAGCCACTCTAACGTCCACTGTAAGTGAAGCCACTCCAGCGTCCAGCTACGAGCCCCGCGTTCACCAACATCAAAGCGATTTTTGGTAGTGCAAATGCTGATGCAGGTCACACCTGACTGATGAGATACAGAGCTGTGGTCCCCATAGGCATTAAAAGAACTTGCTGTTTCTGTTTCAAGGTCTTCTTTGTGATGCTGGAACTCCTTTTTGGCTTGTCTAGTCCTCTGTTTTCTTCTTTTCTTTTCTCTCGTTTCTGTCTCGTCGTCTGCTTCGGCGGCTGTCTTGTCTGTCTGCTCGTCTGTCTGCTCGTCTGTCTGCTCGTCTGTTTGCTCGTCTGTCTCATTTTCTGAATCATTGTCAGTATTGTTCCGAGTGCTGTTGAGAGTCTGTCTGTCTATCCTGTCTTCTGTGATGTGTGACATGGTAGGTTCTTCTCTCCTTTCCTTCGCTCCTTTTGCGTCTACCGCGTTTCTTGAACCTTGCTTATATTGTCTCTCATCCTCTTCCATGGAATCTGTCTCGGTATCTTCTTCATCAGACACGCTACAAAAACTAGATGCTTTACCCCACAGTTCGGGGTCCGTTGCATCTGAAGGTATTGATGGCATTGGTATTGACATGATTCTCTCCAACATGCTACTGTACCGCGGTGTTAGTAATTTGAGATAATAAACCTTTCGGGGAGTGCTAACGGCGGGATCATGCGGCCAAGCTGTTTGAAGAATGGCGCGAGCATGGGAACAACCTTGTCAGAGGTCGGTCGCTGTGCGCTGTCCGCATTTAACACGGACAAAATGACGCCGATTAGCTGCGGCACATCTAAGGCGTTCGTCGTAAGCTTCGCCAAAAGCTGGCTTCTCAATACTGACGTCAGACTTTTGGAGTTTTTCCAATCTAAACTTTGCATCTTTCTAAGCTCAAGTAACACATCAGCCTCATCTGCAAAAGTTTCAACAGCTGTTAAGTCGGCAACGATACTGGACTGCAAATAACTGTCCGACCCGTCAGCGCTGTAAAGCTGATGTGAGGGCTCTCGACCCCAGATGCTAGCAACTACAAGCCCGTAAGAGTAGACGTCACACTTTTTCCAATCAATATGCCCATGATGTGAAGGCTCGCTAGCAGCTTCGGGTGCACACCAAAGAGGGGTAAAATGTGCTGGCCTGTCTCTGGCAGCTTCTGAACTTCCACCAAAGTCAAGGAGGCTAGCCACAACTTGTCGGTTAGGATCTGGATGACTCCTTATGATGATGTTCTCTGGCTTGAGGTCGCCGTGAATTATTCTTGACAAATGAATGTCGCGGAGCCCAACGGCGATGTCCAGAGTGACGTGTAGTTTCTGGTGGAAAGAAAGCGCTGAGGCAATTCCTCTACTACGGATGATGTGATCAAGGGTACCATAGTTTCCCAGCTCCATTGCAATCATTGGAAACTCTTGAGTTTTGTTCCATGCAATGAACTGAAGTTGAGCGATATTTTCATGTTCCCGAATTAAAGGAGATCTGAAGGCCTTAATTTCCCTGAGAATGGTGGCGTAAACGTTGCTCTGGGCCGTGCTAGAGCTATGATTGGCAGCACTTGCGGTGAATATCTTGAGCGCAAGTACCTTGCCTGCCGGCAATATTTCGCTGGTTTCTTCTGTCGTAACATGCTGCACAACCTGTGCGGTGAGACCGCTGCCTACGGTAAAATGTAATACCCTCGAGTCCTCGTAAGAGACTCCGAGATGATGAATTTCGACAAAGGGAATATCCATTTCCTCGGAGCAATGTACAACGTCAAGTACATCATAATTGTTGTGGCCGTTTTCGGTTTGTTCTGAAGCTGATTGATTATCCAGTGTGTCAAAGCCGTCACTGGCTGTTTGTTGGGTAGCATTGCCAGAGAAAAGCCTTCCTGAGCGGTCCATTGTGATATTTTAATGGCAGGCAAACGCCCAGCTTCTCAATTCTCAGATTGAAAATAGCCCAGCTTTGATGGTGATAAAATGTGTAGGAATGAAAAATGGCCCCCTTTTTACCAAAACTCATCGGGCAGCAAGACTTAAGGAAGCGCGGATGTGCATCCACACTCCTAATTGTGACAAATTGCGCCGGGTAAGGTGGGGAATATAAACGAGGTTTATCATAAAGATGATTTGCAAGTTAGACCAGGCATCGCAATTACAGGCATTTGTTTGCAGCCGTCGTTCGCCTCATTCTGTCACATTTCTTGGCCGACATATTACCGCCGATGTATCAACTCATTTTCTGGGCGGTGTTATTGCATAGGTAGCTAAACCAAAATCAGCAAGCATTCTGCACGTATGGAGTAAAGTGGAAAAACACGTCTTACTGCGTGCATGCCTACCACTCCGCCACAAGGCTGTGCCGCGTAAAGTTGTATGCACTTCCAGGGGATTAATTGGTCGTTTGGTGCCTTGAAGGGGCGTTTTTCACGATCAAAAGGCTGTGTTCATGAAGCCTCCGCCAAACATCCTAATATGTATACAATTGCCCTTCTCCTTAACCAGAGGATCTGCGTTTCTAACATGCCACACAACACAAGTTCTTTACTAGCGGTTGAAGTGGGTTCATCACCAGTAAATACGGTATAACATAAGTATCTCTCAATGGAAGCAGTCGGTCTTGCTGTTGGGATTTTCGGAGTCGTCATCGCATTCAAAGGTGCCATTGAAACGGCCTTGATCCTCGAAGACTTCTTTAGTGACGACCAGCATGAATCCAGACACTTGGCGCTCCGATACCACATCCAGAAATGTCGGCTCAAGGCATGGGGTGACCACTGGAATGCCTACGATGAGCAACATTGCACTTTAGGCACCAGAACCAATGACTTTCACAAGGCAGTCCAGCTGATTTTGATTGAGATCAAGAGGCTCAATGGCAGAGCGGAAACAGTGATTTTGAAGCACGACCTCGACAAGGAAAAATCGAGATTGAAACGGAAATTTCGCTGGGAGATCAGGGCGAAGGCTGAATTCAAAGATCTTGTCTCAAGCTTTCAGGCTCTCGTCAACGACTTGGAGAGTTTTACATACCCCTCAAATCAACTTCAGTTGCTCACGAGGTCATTTTTGCCCGAGATGCTTGCTGAGATACGAAACATCAAAATGCTCGAATCTCTAGCTGAGCACCCTCCGGCCGGCGACCGGACCCTGGCTTTGTCTGCCAAGGCAAAGTTGCTCCAGGATCAACTCGAGCCATCGCGTAGCACTATCAACACCGCCATTTGGCTTAACAGGCTGAACTTTGACACCGACCACAATGATAACTTTGGTCTTATTAAGGAGACGGAATCTAAGAACCGTCCCGTCTGGATTGAGTGGACGATACTTGACCAAGGTCCTGAACTACAACTCTATCTTGCTCGAATAGAAGGGTTAGGGCGTCTACTGAAACAAGTTAGCGAACCAGCTTTACGCCTTCCCCCCTTCTACGGCATTTATGATGATTTGGACTATGAGCTGGAACATGGCCATAAGCGTGTCGGATATGTCTTTGGCGCCCCTGAACCGGTTTCCGACTATGATGGGAGAATTCACACTTTCAAAAGCGACCTCGTAGCCACTCCACCCATAACATTGAGATCAATGCTTATGGCTGAAGGTGCAGACCCGCCGGTTCTGGGAGACCGCTTCCGACTCGCGTTTACTCTAGCTTCCGCATTTAGTCTCTTTCACGCTGCCGGCTGGCTCCACAAAGGATTGCATAGCGACAGCATTCTGTTCCTGCAGGAAGAGGATCGTACTATCAGCGTGACTGAGCCATTCATCACAGGTTTCCAATATGCGCGTCAACAGAATCAGGCCTCTCTCTCCCTCGGACCACTAGGGAACAAGAAGTTCGTGCACTATTATCATCCAGATGCCGCCAGAGGCTTCTCGAAGAGGTTAGATCTGTATAGCCTTGGTGTCGTCCTCTGTGAGATTGGACGCTGGGCCGTGATACCCAGTAAGATTTCGGACGCTAGGTTAAGGAAGCTTGTTACAAGAGAGAACTGGCGCAATTACATTTTGGGGTCCCGCCTTAAAGAGCTCGGTTGGCGAATGGGAAAGCAGTACCAGGACGCCGTCCGGGTATTGCTTGAATGTGATCTGCCGGATGACAAAAGTAAAGTTGGGCACGCATTGTTTGCACAGGAATTTCAAAAGAAAGTTCTTCAGCCTCTAAGTCGATGTAACGCTTAGACTTTCCAACAGATACAACATTACAGTTGTTGCTATACGTTAAGAGACAATATGATACCAAAGATTCCTGATATTATCAAGGATGGGATATTTATGAAGCGTTTGGCTTGAACAACCATAGAGACTGTGACGACTTCAGTTACGACCTGATCCATTCAGCGACTTGGTCGTAAGACAACTAGTTTATGGATGCACCTTGGAAAAAAAAGAGGTCTTAATAGCGTATTATTATATATCTCTTTCATAAGGTGTAAAAGGTGGGTGTAAAAATGTGTACTATGTACCTGTAGCCCATCAAGCCCCAATGGGATAGCCTATGTCTCCTAGTAGAGTTAGTTAATACCAAAAACATCAATAAGCTGGCTATCTTATCCTGGATTTTAGTCTAAGGTCTCCTCTCCTTGGAGGAAAGGTAAGGCTTCTCTCATAATCTACGTAATAATTCTGTCAACTGTCAGATGACCTCAATTTTGTCATCTCCTCGACTTGCCACGGTCGAGCTGCCAACTGTTACTCCGCGCTGCGTCTATTATATGAACAGCTTAGTTTTTGCGTATGCTCCGTATTAATTTTGCTATCGTTTCATAGTATCATATATCTTTTTAGTCCCCTACTGTCTAATTAGAAGAGAGAACGGCCTCAAAAGTATTTAGGGAGTGCCTCATAGAAAAGTATAAGGAACCCCCAGTAGACCTAGTCAGAGAAGGCAAACATTGGCAGGCACACAGACGGCACGCAATACAGAAAGAATTATCACATGACTAAAAAGAGTCTCGCCAGTGACTCGAGGCATGATTTATGCAAGTCCCCGTGGAGGTCGCTTTACTACTGGACAACAAGGCATACCGAACTCAATTGGAGGACGTTTTTATGACAGTCTGTCTTTCGTAGGTCTAATCCGGCCTATGACAGGCTCAGTATAGTTCTATAGGGGTGTTTAGGGTGGTTGTAGGTAGTGAGTTACTCTCTCGGACCCGCGAGGGAGTGCACGAGATGTCTAGCAGCTTTTGTGTGGTGTTATGTGTTGCCCACGCCCATCATATCTACGAACAGTTCACCACCTCGTTCCACGGCCTAGGCGATGCACCTTGCGGATAGGCCGAGGATGCACATTGATAACTAGGACAAGTAGAAGGAGGAGAGAATTCGCACTCGAAACACTTCTTCACTTTGTTCCTGGCATGTCACTTATCCGGAGTTTCATAGCCTGAAGCCTTGTGGTACGTCGTTGGCAGATAGGTATATTAGGTAGAGTAGGGGCATTGTTTGGGTATGAAGTGAAGAAACAAATTCTGGTGTGTCTGATGAACTAACTCAATGATGATCCTTTGAAACCCATTACACTGGAGGAGGCATAATAACGGCTATTTAAGATATTTGTGAAGATACAGTGATGCAGAAAACATGGCGTACAACAGAGCCAGTTCTTAATAACGATGCTCGGATCGCTTTTTACGAATAAAACACCATTGAGATTCCGGAGCATTCAGTGTCACCAACCCCTTCTCATCTTAGTAGAGCCATGGAATCAAACGATATGGAACACGAGTTTTGATTGCATCCCATTCCTTGCCATACTATTTGCGTATTAGTCAGTCACTGCTAGGCAAAGGTGTAAATGGGTGTGGTGTGGGACGAGGAAGGTTGGCTTACTCTGTTGGACAGATACTGGTCTAGAACAGGTACCCCCCGGGCGGCAAAGTCGTAGAAGAAGAAGGAGAAGACCACCAGACTCCAAGGCCATCCGGCAGCCGTAAATGCGTATGCACTCCGCCAAACAGTGTAGCCGCCGTAGTTGATGTGTCTTGCGAGGCTAAAGAGTCCGCCCGCGTAAGGCTTCCCCTTGTTTGCAGGATTTCTCTTGAAAAACGTGCGTTGTAATTCGGATATAAGCTCAGCCAAGATACCGGTGAGATAGAGTCCAGCACCGACCATAACGGCCGGAGATTGGAGCACACCTTCACCAGGGCCTAAACTTGTCGCCTGAGAGGTGACGGTCCAGACGGACAACATTGTGTTGATGGAATTGAAGAAGCTGTTGAAGAATCCGATGACAAAAGCTGAAGATGGTGGTGTGTCTTGCTCACCAACATAGAGCATAGCTATGATCTGTTTCAAGCTGCTTCCGAATGCCATTGCCGTGATAGTGTTGTAGTAGGGGTTCAAGCCCCCCGTTGAATTTAGGACGACGGCCCCATCCATCGGCTGTCCACCCAGCATCCGGATGACATTTGACGCCCAGGATTTCTGGATTAAAAAGTATTGGAAAAAAACGTCGGCTACGCGTAAGCCAACGAAAATGGCCGTGCCTAAGACATTGAACTTTTTAACGCGAGACACGTTGTCGTGGAGCTTCTTCGTCATGATGAAACAAATGCTTATTGCCGATGCTATTACACAATGCTGTCTTTAGAGTTTGTTCACGAGGAGGAACATAGGGATCATGATATATAAGCGATTAAAACAAAGGATGATCTACTTGTGAAGTACATGTACCGAAACCACAAATGCATCTTGGTATTAATAAGCTTCGGCTTTCAACGGAGGCCGGATGACGTTTGTAAACAACCTTCTGAAAGGCCCTAACCGTTGGTCAATGCGGCGGCCTCGCCCGCAACCTCCGAAGACCCGATAGACCAGAAACGGCCTCACATTGCTCATAGTTGGAACTAATCAACTTACGGTGGTTTATTATAACTTAACTCGAAGTCAGGTTATTCACAGGCCTAGCTTGTGTCCCATCATACTTCTATGTAATTGACTCAATCCTAGGGGCACTGCATGTTACACAAGCAGGTGCATTTGCTGGGCTTGCGCTACATGATGGGAAACTCGTTGCTTGGTATTGCTTATCCCCCACATGCATGCGATTCTCTCTCCCCCAGCATACCAGGTGTGTGTCCTGACTACGTATTTCTACAGTATATATGACCGAGGCATGTCGCGTCAGAGTTGTCATCACGGTAATGTTGTAATTGATCGCAACGAAGAGCAAAATCTAAGGACATGAATCCTCCCGGGGGGTAACGTCATAATCTTGGGTAATGGGAAAGCGTCACTATAGGGCCATTGGAATTTCTCTATTGGCCTCTTTCTTTCAAGTGAAGGCATGGTGGCGTTATGGGAGCTGGCTGTAAATAGCCTACGGCGTATCGACTGTTGAACCTTATAGAATATCCTCACTCATTGCTGGTCCTGTACTAATCTTCTCTGTCCTATGTCTCCCGATGAGTGGCCTGGGAGAATACAAAGCCTTGAAAGTTACATTATAATATTGGGTAGCCCATTCGAGGCATTCTGCACAGTCCAGACTTACCTTCTTGAGGTAGATATATGGTGAAGTCTTCAAACCAACTAGAGGACTTAAGGAGAAGGACCTGCATATACACATTAGAGAGACTTGATGTAACAGCCCAGCGTGGGCTTAGATAGATCATAGACAATCTAAGTTTGTAGGAGAGTTCTCTAAGTCTGACACACTAATAATGTATGCTATATAATGGGATTTGAATTGGTCCGCTCTGAACCCTCGCATTACCGATTAGACTTATCAACATTGAGCCGCGTGTTATCTGCGGCTGCCGAGAATGCAGAAGCGAAACCATATTGACTTTTATGAATCTGCCTTAATGGATACGACTTTACAATCTAGCTGGTTGATAATCTAGCTCAACTTCTTGGTGAATGGTAGGGTATTCACGTCTTCAGGTCTCGCGAGGTTGATGCGAGCCCCCTTGATATCTGGTCGCACCAGTAGGTTTTCGTAGTGCTTGGCCATCTTTCCACTACCGACGCTGCCGTCGCCCTTTTGCTTTGCAACGGAATCGTAATCAACACGGAAGGACAGGTGCACCTCGTTGAAACGAATGTTGGTTTCGGCTAGCTCGCGGCAACCAACGTTGGCGAGAGTGAACAGGGCGCCTTGGGCGACAGCTGTCACTCCGGCCGTCTTATGTCGCTGTCATTCAGGTGCTGACGCTAGTGCTAAAATGAAGGGAAACTCACACCTAACTCGCCCGCAGCACCCGTCATGATTGTCCACGTACTACTTGGATCAGCCTGCTTAAGCAGGTATGGCACGGTGGCTCGGTAAGCAACTAGAGCATATTAGCAATGGCAAATGACCTCACGTGTCGAATCAAGACCGATACACACAGAAACTACTTTCTACTGTGGTAGCCATCACCGAGCGAAAAGATGCCGTATCAATGTTGTGAAGTGGCATGGGATTCCATACTCCGACCGTCGAGTAGACGTGTTGAAAAGCTGGTAACTCGCCCGCCATGACACGGTCAACAATGCTTTGGATGCCACTCTCGGAAGTCACATCTATCTCAACTGTAGTGATACCATCGCGCGTCCCGACGTGATCAAAAAGCTTGGCAGCGCTGGAAGCATTACGAACAGGAGCGATCACATGAAGACCAGCACGGCGCGCGGCGATGGTGACAGCGACTCCAATATTGCCAGTTGCGCCAACAACAAGGACTGCGCCAGCCATGGTGTTGGATCTCGGGGTAGAAAGCGAATGATCAAGGAAGAAAGACGAATGAAAGTGCTGGGTGGTGCACTTGGCAGCTTGTCATATGTCTAAAGAAAAGTATTCTTCCACAGTTATCAGTGGAAAGACGAAGAATTACATAGTGGCTAGAATCTGGTGTTCCGCTTCCGGAGTTAAAGCGCATACATAATGTAGCCACTTTAAGGTGGCGAGGATGGCACTCTATGGGGACAAATGATGCCTTTATTAGCTGATAAATCATCGGTCTCCGAGCAAGGCCGGTCAAAATCAATCAGACCTGCGGGGCGTGTTCGGCCGTGCGACCCGCCCCACCAGGCAGGGCCAAGTCGCTCGACCTTAGGGAGGCGTATGAACTGGGCACACTTGGGCGTCCTATTGGCAAGGATTAGAGCCGACCTGTTGGCGGTAATGAAAGATCCGGAAGCACCGCTAGGTTGGTTCGTTCTCGAACAGCTGCCATAAGGAGACGCTCTGTATAACAGGCCCTCGTTAGTGCTGTCTGAAAACTCAGATTATATAACACAACAGATACAGACGTTATATATAACTCCAACCTTACTCTAAGATATCTATAAGAAGAAGTAAGGGTATTCCGGTCAATATACGCTAATCTATTCACACGGAATAACCCTCGCAACAAAGCCCTAACTCGATCATAACAACCACTTTCAATAGACCACCAATAACCAGCGCTATCAAGACAGAACACAACGTAGACACCCCATATATCGCCGCAAGGGCTTTTACTCCCCGCCATCTGAACTATACCCAATAACTTTGTACGTATTGCATCCAGATTCAAACCTTAAAACATTAAGATAAAGTGGATTCCTTATGTTCAATAGTCGTATAATCATCGTGGATGGAGTCGGGCCATTTGGATAGCTGTGTACTTCTATCAAAATATCTGTATACAGCTTGCGGTTTGTTTTGTAAACATCTTAGATAGCCAATGTAAGCATTCTTAATGTGTGATGTCTCTTGACTGATCTTCTATGTAAGGACCTGGCCCCGTGCTTTGCTTCTTGGACGATTGCGGAGACGGCTGTTTTCTGCCGCTGGCGTGTGGCTGAGGACAATCACGCTGCTAAAATAGAAATGCTGCTTTTGGGACTTTAACCGTCAGCTCTAATCCACGGCGCATATACACCTCGTACTAGCCCTCAAACCTGGAGAACTTACATCATCATCATGATTATGGTATGCAACCAATGCACCACAACACTGACACCAATTAGGCTACGAGGCCAGAAATAGTGTCTGGGGCAACTGGAAGATGTAAAGATGACCCGGTAACCCGAAAATAGGTAAAAGAATGTGATAGGCCACTGTCACATCTGTTGCATTTGTTGTTCGAAAGTAGAACCAGCACCGCCCATGGTTATATTTTGACCATCAAAGTCTGCGACCTTCGCCAGTTCAATCCGAATTTCTTTTTTTTTATGAGGCATTGACATCTAAACTCACGCCCCTACGTCGCAATTTTGAAGTAGAAACGTAATCCATTAATCAGATGGCATGCGAATTTGCAGATGTAGTCGAAACAATGATGCGAAAGCTGCCAGATACCGGTTGATTGTGAGGGCATCAGAGCTCTACGCCAAGCCCTCCAGCGTCTCAATTTACAAAATACTTATACGATCACGGTACCATACATAGTAACATCGAAGTGCCCGTGCAAAAGTACCGATGTTTCAGAAGTAGGTTTGTCTTGCCTTGTCATGAGGGTCACGTCAATCGCATTTAGACAATCACAGGTAATCTGGATCATCAGGTATTGATCGAGATGATCCGGCACGTCCTCGAAGGCTATCGTGTTGAGCTTGCGTAGATTCTTGTTGAAGTCTCCACGCTTGAGCCTGCCATAGCCCATTCGCTGGCCTGATGACCATAGTAAACAGGCTGGGGGGACTCAATACCGGAGTACCATTGGTGTATTCCATATATGAAACATAACAATATAGACGGACAAAGGATAGTATACAGCTTAATTTTCTGCTGTCTCGAAGTCAGCTATCATACCTATGGAATATGTATTATATTCTGTCTTCATCCCGGTCAGTACATCCCTATTCCTCAAGTAAAAGAGACTAGGCAATTAATTCAGTATAAAAGCGGGACCAAACAAACTCCTAATACACTAGGCATTTCCTATCAAGTTCCCATCTGGGTGTTCTTAACCGCTGGTTGGCACTCTATGTAACCTACACCGAACAAATTTGGCTTAGTCTCGATCTGTAATCGGCAATTAGAGGCTCTGTTCCTTAATCAAGACCATCCTGCGCTAGCTAATCTTGGCTTATTGGCTATGCGACACCGCCGCTCGCCGCTACTCATTCTAAAGCTTGAAGCCTTACCCCATGGTCTTGCCAAATCCTTGCAAGTTGGACAGAAGCAAGCTGTCAACCCGTGAGAAATGTAGAAACGTAAAAATGTCAAGAGCACGCCGTGGGGTACAAAGCTCAGTAGTCTGAGATTCTTGCTTTGTGTTACTATGCCGATCTTACTATACTAATGTGGGAGCAACAAGAATTTCATTATGTGTGTATTAAAACGGAGTCGTAGGGTTATCGTGTAGTAAAGGGTCAAGAGCGGGGCGCGGAAAGCATTCCTGCATTAAGAAACGCATCCCAGGCTGTGGCAAACCAGGTTGTATCCGAGTGCCACCATCTCAATTACGACTTTCCGCGAATCATCATACTATTCGATCTATGTATCAAGACCTGGGATATTCTCATCGACCGAGTCAACCTGGTCCTGTAATAACTCGGCCCCTCTAACCAAACATGGCTAGTAATCCTATCATTCCCTTTAGTATATCTTCAGTCTGGAATCAAATAATGCAGCAATCAAGATCATGGACGATGTCGGAGTATCTAAACACCCAAACTCTGGAAACATTCCACCAATAAGTACATTTAAGCGTCCTCAAAGAGTGGAAGGAAATGGGGTCTTTGTTCCGTTTGACATATCGGACCTGAAGAAAAAGTACAAAAGGGCATCAGGAGGACATTCTGAAAGTCAGAAGAGCATGAGTCCACAGAGCCATAGAGTCACGAATTCCTCTTTCTAATCTTTGATTATCAACCAGCATCATGAAATACACACTTATCTTCGTTTCCGCTACCGCCGCCAGCGTAGCCGCCGTCACTACCACGCTTCCTAAAAGCTCTGGCCTCGCCTCTTTCCCTACGGCCATCCCCGTGTCCGGCTCCTATGATGGAGGCATGAAACGATTCGAGCGTAGTCGTATGTGTGGACCATTTTACCACTCGTGAACGTACTAATGAAGTTAGCTGCTGTCTGCCAGGAGCAGACCGAGACGGGCGAAAAGGATGCCATGTTTATCCTCGAAAATGGTGCGACGCTGTCCAACGTCATTATCGGAGCCAGCCAAGCTGAAGGTGTACACTGCAAAGGCACCTGTACGCTCAACAACGTCTGGTGGGCTGATGTTTGTGAGGATGCGGCCACGTTCAAGCAGTCTTCGGGCACTTCGTATGTCAATGGCGGGGGCGCGTTCAAGGCCGATGACAAGATCTTCCAGTTCAACGGCCGCGGCACTGTGCGCATCAACAACTTCTACGCGCACGATGTAGGTGTTTTGTCTTCTCTCGATTTCACTTGCGCGAATCCACTGACAATTAACAGTACGGCAAGCTGGCGAGATCCTGCGGTACTTGTTCTGGTAACGGAGGGCCGCGCAATTTTATTATCGAGAACTCAGTGGGTAAGAATGGTGGCGTTCTTTGTGGAATCAACACGAATTACGGCGACACATGCAAGATTTCCAATTCTTGCCAGAACAACAACAAGTCCTGCGACCGGTACACGGGCAATTCGAACGGGGCTGAACCGCCTAAAGTTGGATCGGGTCCTGACGGCAAGTATTGCACCGTAACAGGTTTCACCACCAGCTGTTGAGTATTCAATGGTGCAGCTCTGAAGCAAGAGGATGGATCAGCGTCGCCTTGCACTGAGCATCTATGTGTTGCGATAGTTGAATATGGGGTCGTGTGGCTACCCGGCCGGCCACCCGGCCAGACCCTCGGCACGGGGGGCTCAGAAGGGACCAAAGCCTCCCTTCTATACGTGACGGGCTGGGACACCGTATCTCCCACTTCCGCTTCTAAACCACAACTTTACTTCTACTTCTATACATCACGACCATTAGGAATTTACTGTTTTGTTATTTCACGCACAAGGGACCAATTCACCCTGTGAAACCTATACTATGTTTGTCAGTGACCAAATGAATGCAGTAACGCACACAATTTTCGAGGAGGCGATGAATAGTTTCCTAGAATATTCCCGAAAAGCCATGACGAGCCACATCCAAGCAAGAGTTATAATAGCTGAAACTGACCCTAAGATCGAGAGCATAGGGGCATGTATAAGGTCTCGGGTTTAAAAATACCTGTCTTAAAAGACTTTGCAAACAAGCTTGTATGCCGAATTAAGTGCCTGTATTTCTGGTAGTTTGGCTACTCCGTCGGCCTACTTGTTCACTTAAATGCCTATATACGTCGGAATCAGTCCAATCTCAACGATCAAATCCGCCCGGCTACTTCCTCTACGCACTGTAGCACGGCTCAACGCTCTATTCTGCAAATAACTCGCGGCAATTTACTACCGATCTCGTTGAGGCGACTGCGAACTTTTGAGGTTTTTGCCTGCAAGTTCTGTGGGATTTCAAAGTGGATGTGGTAGGCGTCTTATTGTTACGACCCGTTGGACATGGTCGCCAACACGACCCCGCCTGGATCCCGGCGGCTAACGCAGGGCATATGTAACCCAGCCGGACAGGTGTAACCAGGGATCCTCGGAACGGAAGAACTATGGACAAGTCACGTGGCCTCGGGGATAACGCGGGGTAAGGACAACCCGGGCTGGATATGTTGGATATGTCAGATATCCAACCGATCCCCGGATATGTTGGATATGTCAAATATCCAACATAGCCAAGATAAGGAGGACCGTTCAGGACTTGTATATAGGATGGACTCGAGCCGGGCTCGAGGACAGACTTCCATAGCTCTTCAGCAATCAACTTTGTGATTACCCTAACCGGTACTTTCAGCTATACCTAAGTGACGACTACTCTACGACTCTTGTTGAGGCCTTGACTGATCACCAAGACCTTTGAAGATCTACGATCTATTCGACCAGGACCACGGAACGACTGTTACTACTCTCAATCCCTGGCTTACTGTTAACACAAACCCACTGTCAGTTAGCTGGCCGTAACACTTATCAACAACGCCATTCTGCGACTTGTCTATCGCTGTACTGATATGGACCGATCCTGCGCTGCCCCTTGCTGGTTGTGCGTCTAAGCTGGACAGAAGCACTGGATCAGCAGGATAGGCCCAGAGCTGAAGAGTCCTTGGCCACTGGCTTGTGTAAGCCGGGTGGGGGAAGGGTCAGCTTGGGCTCCTTGTGTTTTTGGCTGCGTTGTAGTGGACGGGCTTAGGGTTTTTAGATGAGATGCTCACCACAAAGACCAACGATGGCTTTGGGGCAAGGTCAAGGAGCGATGAGCTAGAAGCTATGAGGAGATTAGGCTCCAAGGACTGGAGAATCCTATCCGTTACGGGGTTCGACGGCTTCGGCGCCAGAATAGGGAGACCTCTTAGGACTTCTAAAGCCTTTTGCTTTGCCCGAGTAGGCCAGTCCTAGAAGGGGGACAACTTCTTCGAGAGCAGAGAGCATGGATAGAGGTGAAGACATTGTGAGGTGCACAGATGATGAATAGCGGATGGAATGGAAATCCATATTAACATAGTCTTATTTATAAGTCGGAATAATAAATTGCTTACTTTCTAATAATCAAAAGGAGATGATTTTGCTCAGGTTGGTTTTATAGAGGTAAGCTGTGGTCTGAAGTTGCTCAATTACTATAAATCTCACCCCGCTGACAGTCTACATTCTCCGTTGGTATCTATCATTCCAGTATTGAGATTCCTGAATGGTTAAACAACCGTGTCGAGTTCTTCGACGCATTCCCTTGGGGGCATGCAACATCCGCAAAGATAGTAAAATATATTAATGATTCGAATACTGTTCTGCTCAACCAAGACTGACAATCCCCGTCTATTGCTCCTTGAGGTTTGTTACCAAGTGTGTTATCCCATGGACTGCGGCTGGGCTACACATACATAGCATCCGCAGTTTAGCCAATCGGTAACAGGTAGTTTCGAGCTTCTCCGCAGTCCCATACCCATTTCTCAACGGTTTTTAAAGAAACAGAGACCGCTTAATGGCTCGAAATGTAGTTATAGCGCAGCCTCAGTTAGATGGATATGATGCCGCCCTGTAGAATTGCCGAGTTTGAAGGAGAATATTTTTTTACAGCTTTAGCTTTTCTTGGGACTGCCACTTACATTTCATCCCAGCTTTGACCACTCCATTCAAGAATTAGCTTGCAGTCCAGATTCTGTTGTTGGTGAGGATGTGACCAACATGTGATTTTCTGTCAAACCTCCATGTCAGCCATGTTTATTGACGCTAAGCCGCCTCTATCTTTTGCTAAAATGCTGGACCCCTACAAGAAATTTTGGTCATACTTTACCATGGGGGTTAAAATTTAGTTAAAGATGTGCGTTGAATCAAACTGGTATCCTAGCTTTATTGGTAGATCGACACTTGAATGCCGACCAGAAACGCGACCCAATTATCTTCTTGCTGCCCCTGAAATGCTTGAAACAAGGGGCCGCGGCTAGGTCTCCTGGCTAAGATTGAGTTTAGAGTAAGCTTACTACAGAATGGAGCCATCACAGACCATCTTAGCAGCTAGTTTATAGGAAGAGTATGACTCGAATTGATGATCATGAATCATACACAGCAGAATGTCCCGGAATTAAAAACATCTCTCACAGAATGAGACCGCTTCAATACCCTCTCGGGGGGCTCGGTATTTTCCCGATTGGCAACAACTGTTGGCCTGTGCTTGTTCGGCAATGGAAGTTGGCTCAACACATGCTCTCAACTTCGTCTGAGATCCGAGGTCTAAAATCTTCACACCCACTTGAATGCTTCAGCAGCCATTCTTCCGCAGTTGTAGGCCAATAAAATGTCTGATAGTGTTTTTCCATGCGTTTGAAAGGCTTTTACATCATGTGACCTTGTGCTTCTGCATGAGAATTCGCTCATGTCAGATTTGGCGCCGCGAGCAAGGAATGAATACAGCGACCGACAGGCAACGGTCGAGTGAGAAAACACTGCTGCAGCTACTTCTAGATCAAAATCGATCAAAAGCTCAAGGCTTTTGCCACATATCTGCCTTCTGGGGAAGCTTAGAGCAAGTTCCTGGGCTTACCTCTTTTGGAGGCTGCTTCGCTTGCTGAACCCCCTCCGGAGCACCGTATTTCAATCGAATGACAAGGTCATCCTGACGATCGAATATGTAATGTCTTGTTGGATACATCCGAACTATTGAAAGTAACCCCTAATCCGAGGTATTGGGAGCATTCGAGACAAAGTGTGTGACAGGGCCCTCCGTGCACCGGGCCCTGGACTGTTCCTCGGACAGGGAATCGCTTTGGCGTTTTCGTTATCTTACCAACGGCCATACCTTGCCGTCGATCTTAATACTACATGGACCGGGTGATCGTCGAGATCTCTCATCTCCACGGTAATGGCTGGGCCATCTGCACTTTTAACATTGAACCTCAGAAAAAGTTATCGAGGGGAACCCAGAAACAAGAGGCTTGGGCAGTGGGCTGATAATCGTATTCGGCTTCTTGGGGGGGGGCCGATTAATGAGGACATACCTCTATTTCCTATTCGAGGCATGTCTTGAGTCGAAAGTGTCACAAGTGCAATCCGCGACTCGAAAAGGACTCATCTGAAATTTGCGAATATTCTGTAGTGGCAAGAAACCGTGCTAGCAGCTTGGAGAGTGAGATGAAAAAGCCGATTCGCACGCAATCATCAACGGAGATCGGCACCATACCCGCGCAACTGGGTGTACATCCTGCTGTGTGTCTGCCCTGTTTGCCGATTTGCCCTTCGGTGCCGTATTCCGAGTAATTGATGTCACCACGTTTGCCGCTATTGAGGAGCCCGACCGCACGATCGTTGCACTGTCTTGTCATTCCTAGTCGAAGCTCCATGAGAAGTTGATGAAAATTATGTGCTAGAATTCAAAGGCTCATCTATGCTTTCTAACGCCAAAAACAAAACGCCCTGGCTGGGATATCGCTCAAATCTTACACACACCGCTTGCCCTTATGCCTTTTTTAAAATCAAGAACGAGAACCTCATTCATTCACTTGAATCAACCCAGGCCCTGCAAGTGTCCCCTTGACAACATCATCGGCATTCTTGAAATCTCCCTCAAAAGTCACCGCAGCGATTGTCAGTCCCCACATGCTGTTCTTTTGGAACGGGAAATCAGCGTCGAACTCGAGTCTTGAGCCGTCCCATTTTCCGTTCTTTACCGGCACGCTCAACGGGACGTTCTGGCCGCTGAGGTAAGTGACGAAAAGTCCACCGGGGTCCTTGCCGAGGAATCTGCCGGCAGTCACAATTTCTCGGAGATCGACCGTGAAGGAGAGCATCTGATCTTTGGCCTTAACCTCGCCGGCTTGTGCCATTTGTAGCACATTCAGAGGTGCGAAGAGCGGGATGTCGATCTCGGACAACTTGAACGGGCACGAGTCTTTGACGACGAAAGACTGTAGCGCGGAATAGGCAAAAGGCGCGATTGAGGTTGTGAGGAAGGGCTGCGAGGAGGGTGCTCGGGCCAGTATGCTGCGGTAGAAGCCATTTTGTTCGCCTTCTTGACCGATGACAGATGTGACGGCACGGACTGGGCCAGCGTCTCCGTTCTTTGCGAGAAGTTGTGTAGCATCTTGCAGGGTTCCCAGAACGACAGAAGTAAACGTCTCTGCGAGGGCGACAGCCTCCTTCAGACTGTTGGAAGGGAACTGATACTGGCAGGGCGGTGGCGCGAACGCCTTGAAATGATCTAGAACGCCTTTCGCATCGAGCGCATGGAGCTTTTCTTGCTGTTTATCGTGTCAGTTCACATGATCAAAGCCACTTGTCTCGCTCGCGGATATCACGTACAGCAACCACAACTTTCAAGGCATTCACCATCTTGTCCTTCTCTGACGTCTCCCAACCAGGCCCGCCCGCAGTTACATTCTCCAACATGGACGAAAAGAATGCGACTTCGAATTGTTCGTTAAACTGAATAAGCTGGAAGGCAGTCAAACTGCTAGGCTCCAATTTGGGTGGTGGCGCTGAGTTGGGAAGCGATCCACGAGCTTCCTGTTCGACCAAGCGGATTTGTTCGGGGTCATTCGGAATGTTGGCACCGAAGCTTCGGCGCTCGAGTGGGGCTGCTGCCGAGATGGCCCCAAGGACGATCGCAGCAGCCGCAAAGGACTTTGTTAGCTGCATGATGTTGTGGTGCAGGCCTACAGATACAATGAAGAGAAAACCCCTCTCATAACAGGTTAGAGTAAGCCCTGGGAGGATGAGTTATAAGTGTTGAACGAACTAGATCAGCGTGGCACAATTCCGAAGTAAGAACTCTACTACGGTATGGTGACAGGGACGAACTATTATACTCTCGAGGAGTTTGTTTCGATACATGATCTTGAAACCTGTTTCTGGCTTGGCGCACGTGGACTACGATTAGCATGCATCTGCTTACCATACACCATCTTTACTCTTCCACTTAGACATTCATCGACACACAGGCACATGCACACATACATTGGCCATACCAAGGTACGCATGCCAGATTGGTGCACCCAAGCGGAACGGAAAGAAGCTGGGCCGACAGAAGAAGATTGCCAGGTAGGGCTGGTTTCGGAAAGAATTTGCGCCGCCATGCTCAAAACTGGCATGTTACAGGAGGGCGGCATGACGTCTCTGGAATGACACATTTCTTACTGCCCACGGTTGTCTCTGCCCCCAGTTCCCAACGCTGCTGACCCCCGCCATTTCGGGCTCCCGAAGGCCAAGGACAGAATACAACAAGGAGTTGCTTGTTCAGAACCTCCGTCAAACGCCATGTCATGTTGTCTCCCCCGGAGAAAAAGAACATTTCCTGATCAAGGCTAGTCAAGATTGTGTCTCTGACTTGATTGAATGAACTTGACACGCACCCAAGTGTCTCTTTGCTCTGTATCCTTTCGCTCTCGGAAATATGTCCGCAGCTGAAACTATTTTCCCGTCTATTTTCCAGTCGCGACTCCATTCAGGAATCTGAATACGATTACCGAAGGTTCCCACCCTGTACACCCAAACGCGGAAATGTGTCTGCTCCAGGCCCAACTTTTGTTTTTAGCAGCCTGAAGTTTGGATTACGCTCAGAGCCACCACCTAATTTGGCCATTTTGGTCTTAGTCTTGACAGTCGTTGGAGCAAGTTTCCCCCAGCGTCTCCCACACGCATCCGAGCTACCAGCACTATTATTGGGACCAAATCGGTATTCAGTATTTTATCACTCCCCCAAAAGATATCAGGAGTATGGAGAGTAGAAAAGCTACGAAATAAGCCCCATAAACAGCCACCCCCTAATTCCGATGACAGTAAAGCTCCCAACGGCGACTGCAACACAAAATCCACCAGCACTGCTTTCAATGATCTAACCCATCTGCGGAGAGAAGGTCTTTGCGTCGCCGCTTGGTCCTTCCCCACCAAAATGCGCGACGCCCGTCCGCGGGCGCCTCACCCTTCTGTTGCCGAACTCCGCCAAGCCGCCCTGTCCGGCCATGACGCCGCCAAAAGTGAAGCCGAAGTGGGGGATTCACTTTTTGTAGTGCTCTCACGCGTAGCTCCGGATGGTCCTAAATCATGGCTCTCGCGGTAGAGGTGGGAAGCACAGTTCCAACCTCATAAACTCAGATATGGCATGGAGGATCCGTTGGGCTGCGGCACATGAACCACGTGTAGTTAGGCCTTTAAATTCATATCAGTCGTCCCGAATATCAGCCAGGAATGACTTCCGGCCGTGTGATCTCCGTGATGTCCCATGAATTCTGGTCCAGTGTTCTTGAATCCACCTTGAAGGAAATTGTGGTGCGGCGAAGCCACAATAACCTTCATCCCTAAATCCTACCAGGCTGCTCTCCTGATTTTCCAGATGCCGGCTTGTCAAGACATTAGCTTGCAGGCTCTCCATTCACACGTGGACTTGATACAAATCTTGGTTCAAAAAATGCGAGGCTAACGCTACCCCTGACTAGATTCTGAACACATTTTCTTGGATGGTGAAAACTTCATGGTTTCGGGGAACTTGCTTGCCGTCAACCGAGCGCGGTTTTGTGAGTTTCTCGGAGTCTGCGCTGCAGAAGAACTTCTCCGTGCACGAAGTCGAGGGGCCATTTCAAGAGTCGTCCAACAGATCACCATGGAGATCCACTTTCAACTCAACTTCACGCAGCTGAAGGCTGGACGAAGTTTGTGGCCTGCCTCTATGTTAATCCCTCTGATGGTTGCTTTCCTGATACAGTAGAAAGCTACAATCTTCAGCAATAAAAATCGGGAAGTGGAGGCTGCAGAAATGTGAACAGGTCGTAAGAGGGCTAAAATGGCACGGCTACTGGGATGAGATCGTTGCCAGCCTTGTCTTTGGGTTTGCAGCCTTGGCAAAAGAATAATGCCTGTTTCACTTCGCCGCTAACAATTCACAGTTTAATTCTCTCCTGGTATTTTTTCTACGGCAGAATGAATCGCAAACTGAATCCTGTCACTACTATTGCGAGACAGGGTATAGGCGCTGCCAAGAGTAATCGCTCATTCTCAGGGAACAACAGATGGCGAAACTGCACTTCCCAAAGCTCCATACGATAAGAAACGAACGATAAAGCACGCCAAGACGCGATGAGGCGCGTCTTGCCTGAGCTGGATCCGGAAGATTTCGCGATGCCCGTGCCTCTTGGCGTTGAGGTTATGTCGGTGCTTTTCAACTTTATACACTTTGGTAGCGCATGCTCACCGGCAACTCTGGTACAGAGCGGTGCATCCCGAGGTCAAACTCGTCCACACGAAGACAGGATAGCTGCGGGTGCTTTCTCTCCACCCGAGTTCGTTCTTACTTACCTGCCACTGGTGCAGACAGAGTCGTCTGAATTGACTTGAGAATAGAAGTCATGCAGCCAGCGCATGAAATCCAGGACTGGGGCAGGAACTAGACGTACACATCTCCAACCATTGTCTTGGCATCTGAACACTTTGGGACGATCTAGAGGCCCATGACCTTTATGCAAACTGCATTCTGCAACCCGAAAAAAAGAAAACAAAACAAGAGGATAACGGGAAAAATAGACACTGTTAACCTTACCTCATCCTGGTCTGACGAGCTGCCGTATCCACTTCCTGTCGTCACACTGCCAGCTTTGAAAGATGTCGTTCGTGAACACCCTGTCCCATTATGGATCCCATGTATCCGCGCCCGGTTCGTGTCTCTCACTTAATGCGGGGTGCATATCTTGAGGCTTCTCGAACAGTTCCCGCACTACCAGAGACGCTTCGTCCTCGGCATTTCATATGATGAAAGCCCTAGAAGTGGATATTGAGGCTGCTTCGAAACGACGCTATTCTACTTTCCAGCCGGTATTTGGGCTAATCCGAAAGCCAAGGTTTTTTCCAACGGCTATTAGTTCGAAAATATCGAATGTGTTTGGGTCTAGGCTTTGTTTCCGGAACCTGCGGATAGCAAGATGGCTGCCAAATTGGGTTGCCACGCCGGAACAAGTACATCGAGGTTGACTACATCCGTTTTGGGAGATCTAATAGGCGATAGCATATGAGATGTACGCATTAACGAAAGTATGAGTTCGGTGGGGCTTGATGATGGCTCTAGTTTGACCTGGGCCTAAAGAAGATTTTACCTGCTTCGGTTTCACATGAAGAGTTCGTCCTGTAATGAGGGTGAGGTTCACGTCGGTTAATGCGTATTGGTGCACCTGTTACCGAACAGTGCGGTCCCTACATGGCCTTCCGAATGTCCTACTTCTCCCTTTGGGGTAAATGCGTGACTGCGATTCAACAGTGGTGCCTCTGTCACATAGTTTACCTGCTCCACCAAGTGATATGTTTCTAGAAACGGTTACTCCAGTAATTAGTGTCTTTTCGATTTGTATAGCAGTAGTTTGTTGAAAATGAAAACGTAAATGGAAACTGGCAGTAACCATGACTATAAACGTCGTCTTCTCCTGCTTGAAACTTATGACAGTGACTCAAGCATATTATGCTCTGTCAATAAGCTTAATCATCAACAAAGAAGAGTAGAAAACTTGCAGAGTCCAGTTGGCATTGGCTTTTATTAATACGTATTGGGCTTTCTTTGATGTCTTTGATCTGCATCATAATTTTGCATGAAACGTTGTTGGTCTACAGTGTCCGTATTACAATCTCGGGATAAATGTTTGCTTCCGATAATCAAACCTTACTTCAGCTCATAATCTTTTACAAACGTACTCCATTTTGTTTGTATCGACATAAGAAAGTTCTCCTATCCAGATTCCCAGAGAATTGAAAAGAAAAATAATATTTGATTCGTCGATGAGAGACTAAACAAGGCTGGCCAGTTACCCATATGAGGGAACAGGGTTATTCAGATACGCTTTTTTCATGGCCTAAAGAGACCGGGAACCGTGATGATTGGGCAAAGTCTTTTTATGGCAAAGTATCAAAAGACATTGATTAAATCTCTCATGCCACATCGCAACACTACCGGCATCATAAGAACTCAAGGCAGTTGGGTCTGACAACGCAAGTGCAGATGAAATCAAAATCACCCAACGCGTAGTGCGAAAATAAACCTGAATTGTCTGATACCTGCGTAGACATGTTGTAAGTCATATCACTTGCAATATAAAGGCATGAATGGCAGATAACGATGCATCAGCCCGGAGACATATTGTTATAATCGATGTGTTCATATAATGCTGACTCTAAACTAGATGACTGCGAAGGATCTACCACCTGGGTATTCACGTAGCTGATACTTTTGACATGCCTGCGAGCAGTTCTTGGGTCATAGCCACGGGTTCTACTACGATAGCTTCACATATGAATAGTTCGAAATTTTATATCTCCAATTGACGACCCAACGACTCTAGAAAGGTATTTAAAAGGCCTGATTTAACAGGGAAAGTTGTAACAGCTGTTGCACTAATATTTTGTAACATGGGCATAGCTCTGAGGACAGCAATATCTGTCTATAAGTAGTCTCTGTACACGTTAAGCTGTTGCCCACGCAGTACAAAGAATGGCCTCCACGTGGGCTTTGCACCTGTAAGGCCAGCAAACCGCCTCCACCCCTGACACAAAATGAACTGGCCATCATAAGGGAGACGGGAAGGCGTCCCATTACTTACTAACCTTTAAAATCAAGATTGGGGTGCAGAGAAGTAAAACGATTGGGTCTCAGTCAAAGGACATGCAATAGCTACGTGTGAGTAAACTTTTGATAGACAAATGGAGCATCCATTAAAAACATGTTCCAGTGGGAATTATTCATCAAAGACCCCCAATATAGATTTCATATAACGTTATGTTTCAAATCGAATCCAGATACAAAGTGAGAAACTGGCTATTTTAAAGGGAAAAGCTTCAGCGCGCCGTCTTATCTTCAAATGTGCATTATTTAATGCTAATGCTGAAACTTGTGAGAAGCAACTTGGGCATGTTATGCCAATGTTTTGTTTGAATTCTGTCGAAGTGTTGTAAATGATAACTATGCTTCTCTTGAAAGCTGCCAGGATTAAATGGTTGATGCCTTGCTGAGCCCGAGAAGCATGTTCAAGTAACTGTCTTTGGACCCAGTAATCATTGAGTAGCTCAAAAGTGGAAGTAACTTCCGACCTGCCTTGACGCTGTAGGCGTGTCTCGCTCATTGGTAACTCATTTCTTCGTGAACCGTTGCGTTGTGAAAATAATGCAAGCAGTACTGAAGGTCTCGTTTCTGCAAAAGCCTTATGAATGGACGATGGTTCTTTCAAGCAAGTAAACATACAAAGCAGAATAACCATGCGTAAGCAGGTTAATGAGATGTAATGGCGAGGGAGTGAGTGTCCAAAAGAGTTGTTCCTACTCATTGACGCCTGAAGTATAATTGATCATCCTGTTGTATCCCCAATTCATTTAGCTGCAAGCTTGTATTTCCATATCTTGGCCATAACAATAGCTCCTAATGTTTGGATAGTCTGATCTCGGGGTAGTGGCTTCGTAGCCGCCGAAGCTGCTGGCTGCCGACCATCGGGCCTTGCGAGGGTAGGTAAGGTAGGCGCTCAAGTGCCGCCGTGACGGGTAAGCAGGAGAAGTCAAACTCCACCACCCACTTCAACGCCCCCTTCTACAGCTTCTAGATCATATATAAGACTTTTCATCACATCTGAGTAGAATTCCTGTTGAAACACCCGGACGGGTATCCCTCTGATATTAAAAGTTAGCAAAAGCACCCTGACCTTTCAGTGAAGCGTACTAGATAACGCATGGTTGGCAAAGCTCCTTCTTCGATCATCTTAGTTTCCTAGATTTCGATAAGCTTGATAATAATGCATGAGAGTTGTAAAGTGCGCTGCAGCGCCTTGAATAATTTGCCGTGGGTCATTACGTTTAGAAGGGTACCCTAAATTTTCCTGGAACAAGCACAAGAATGTGGGCAATGTCGTACTTAGCTACGTTTACAAGTTGTTCCACTCGAGGCAGCAAAAGCTACTGTAATCATAACAGCGAAGTAGCTTACCTCTTTGTTGCTTCTTTTTGGAAACATTGACCTTGCTGAACATTCTATCTGCGCTAGTTGATTTCTTCTATTCTCAAACTCTCATATGAATGGATAAGTTTGTATAAAGTGGAAAGAAATGTTAAAAAATGCTATGTAATCTTGTTGCTGAATATACGCAGTTATGTTCTCATACAGCCACACCTTGACTTTTTCAGAACCCGGGTTTCCCGTATTTACATCTTCATTCTCAACGCCAGAATCTTACCAACATCCGGAGTTCCTAAGCCTGTAACAGCATCCCAGCCTTTTGCTGCTGGCCAACTGGCATTTGGTACCAGTTTGGCTCCGAACTGAGGCGGAAACTTTTGAGTCCCGAATGCAGTGGTGCCTGTGCAGCCAACAGATGCGCCAACTGTCACATCATTCATAGCTTGCAAACCACCACTGTAGAGCCAAGGGTTTATAAATCCCATCGGGGGTTTGCCCGCCTGTATGAGCGCCGCATTAACCATTCCCATCATGCCCGCCCAAATTGGCGCCGCAGCACTCGTGCCTTGAAAACCGCCTAACTGGCCTCCGGAGACGAACGTAGCGTTGAAGCTCTGAGCGCTAACGTCAGGGAAACCTCTGCCTGATGCATTAAACAGGCCCTGGAACTGGTTGCCGATGGTGCCCGTAACATATGGTGGCACAGCTTGGTCTTGATATGCCGGCCTAGCAAACTTGTCCGAGAACCCACCACTCGAAAAGTCACTCGCGCGCTCTGGAGCGACGCCCTTGACACCGCCGACGCCAGTAACAAATGGGCAAGACGCTGGGAACACGGCGTTGAAACGTGTACTATTGGTGCCATCGTTCGTAACGCACGTGTTACCGGGTCCGGAGTCACCCGACGCAGCAAACATTGTAACGCCCCTGGCACCGAGAGCGCCAAACTGGTTGCAAACTTGTTGGACGTAGCCATCTGGAAGCGACTGTTCGTTCTCGCCAAAGCTAGTAGTGATTGTATGCGGTAGCTTGTCGTCCGGCAACTTGAGCATCGCATCAAGCCAAATCAGCCAGGGTTCGGTCGTGTCTCCAGGAGTGCCTCCCAGCTCTAGCTGAATGGGACCATCTCCGGCTACAGCAGTAACGATGTTGGGAACCGGATTAGACAGCGCAGCGGTGTATTGGACGTCGAAGTTCAGCTCGGCGTTTGAAAACTGATTCTGTTCTTGGCTTGTGACTCCTCCGTTGATACTGAGAAAGGAGAAGTTGACACCTGTTGATGGAGGATCAATGTTCTGGGCGAAGAGAGCAAAGTCTGCGAACTTTGCCACCTGATTCTGCGACGCGTATACACCCAGTCCCCGTGCTTGGCTGACCGAGATGTTTTGAGGGACGTTGTAAAGAGCTCTGATACAATTGGGAGTGACAGTTCGGTTACAAGTTGCATCGACTTGCGCCCGTGAAATAGGAGCAAGAGGAACCACTGCTGCCGCGGACCTCCACAGAGGCTCAGCAGTCACACCTGAGAAAGACCTCTTGTGCTTGCGAAGCTCCTCGATGATAGCCTTGTCGTTATTCGAAGATGAAGCCGGCTCTTGGTGCATCATTGGGTGAGAGCAGAATCTCGTCGTTGGAGTGATAAGCGAAATCTTGTTCATCAAATCTCCGGGAAGCGAGTATTGAAGAGTTCTCAAAACTTCTTTTCCACTGTTGATATTTCGGAACCAAGAAAATTCCGCATCCAGCATTCTGTTAGCGTTTTCTACCGTTGTCGTAAGTCGGATCCAGTGATTGTCGTCAACGATGTCTGACGGATTTGCGTTCCCTTGCTTGACTAGCCAGTCTACTATCATGTCGCGGGATCCATCATCAGGTTTGAGAAGAGCTTGAGCCTCTTCTCTTGACAGATGTCTGCCGTAGGAATCATGCCCGGGAGTCGATACGCTGTAGAGGGCCCACTCGACATGAAGGCTCCTGTCTATGGCGATGGACAGTTGGAACTTATGGTCAGGATCTGCAGGACGGGCTAGTGTCCATTCTGCTGGCAAATCCTTGATGTATTCCACTTGTACTGATCCAAGCTGGGCCGCCTCAGCGAGGCAAACAACCAAGAACGATATTAATGATGATACCAGCATCTTCGAGGGATTGCGCCAGCACGGAACTCGGACGAAAGAGAAATGCCTGTGGTAAGCACGGGAAAATCCAATAATCGCTAAACAACCGAATGAAAGAATATCAGACCAAAGACATCAATTATACAAATGGGATAAAGGGCCACAATTAAGTATGCTACTGCGCCAGGTTGTTTTGGTCGGAGTGTACGTCGCGCGAGCGTTTGAAAAAGGCATTTGGAATCTGACTCGCATTTTCGAGAAAACTCAAAAGTTAGCCCGGACGTTACCGCCTGCATGGATCTAACTTGACTGAAAGCCCAACATCTCGCCTACGGTGCCAATCCGATCTAAGCATGCCGTTTTAGGAGCTTGTTTACCGGGGAATTCGCAATCGCATACGAACGCGAGCCAATAAACTATGATTACTTAACTCGGCCAAGGTGATCTTCCGCAAATACCTCAAGCGGACCCGGCTTGAAGCCGTAAGCTTAAGACCGGTCTCCAGAATTTAAGGCTTACCCCGGCAGCATGCGCGATGTTAGAGACGGAGGTAATGCAAACGGGTTATTTTCCCCGATCGAAACACCCGATAACCTCGCCAGCTGGATAGAAATCGTTTGTCAACCTGGTAATTAACTGAACCATCATCTGGCCAGTACGGAGTAGCGAACACATCTCATACGGCTACGCTTCTCCTAACGGAACATTTTGACAAAAATGCTTCCATTTCTGAGGCGTTCATGAACTGCGGGCGCAAGCCTGATGGCACCTGAATCAGCGCAGTGATGGCTCTGGTTGTTGCATGAATAACATGTGCAGGCCTGCCTAGCTCCGTGCATTCACAGCCTCATTGAGGGGAATCACACGGAAATAGAGTGAACTGTATTGAAATTTGGATCTTAGTTCACGGTTCACAACCAGAAGCAACGAACATGTTTGTTCCGCTCTTAATCTTAAAAATTGACTGCGACGAATCTCGTTGTAATTCTTCCAGACACATGAGATCGGCTGTAGTACACTTGAATCAATCATCAATCTGATCATTGGTCTTTCATCCTCTCTTGTCACCTTTCACTGTCAATGGGTCCACGTAATCGCGGTGCTGAATGAGGTCTACACTGCAGTTTCACCAGGTTGCGCCTGGGGCAATCCCTGTGGTGATGAGCCCTGAAACCTTTTCAGATCAAGCTTGGAACGCGTCGTCACAAAGCAGCAAACAAGCACCGCCTGAACAGTCTAGTAACAAGCATTTCTGCTGCCCAACAATGTTGCCTAAAGACCCGGTGTTTGGCTTGGCAGTGATTCGTGTCCAAGTCTAGTCCTCGTTTTGTTTGTTTCCAAAAAGAAGATAAAGTCCGTATTTCTAATAAGACTATTTCAGTCGTAAACTGACTTGATTCATCAAGTAAAGTTACTCATGAGCCCCTCATCCCTGTACTGCCCTTGTTACGATTGACCTCTGGAATGCGATACTCACTCCCCCTTTCTTTCCTGACCGTTGCCCAGAAATCATAGCCGCGATCCTTTATTCTCGTTTTCATCTCTTCCTTCTCTTGCCTGTCGATTCTCTTCCTTCTGTTCACTCTCTTTTCTTCCGGCACGATCTTCTTCACACCAGCCCACATGAACATGAAAACAGTCTTGCCCCCTCTATATCCACTTCGTACCACACCTTGCACGCGGGTACTAAATGCGGACACAAGGGCAGCCACGATTAAGAACACGGATAAAGGTAACGATATGGCACCTATGAATCCGATCGAAGGAAGCTGCTCATCCCATTCAACCGTGTTCATGCCAAAAAGGCTGGTGAAGAACGATAACGGCAGGAATATGACAGTGAAGGTCGTGAAAATCATTACAGAAAGGTTCTGTGAGGATGCAAGCTCTGTTTGAAGGCGCGACCAGCGAACTTCGTCAACTTGAGCCTGGCGTTGAACCATTTCGAGAAGTTTCTCATACTGCAGAGTGTTAACAAGCAAAAACTACCACAAGTTCTAGGCATGAAACCTACGTCATTGCGTGTCGTATCGACTCTCTTCAACATTTCCGTCGTCTGGCTCTTGTACTCATCCAACTTGCGCAGTGCCTCCTCGAGATACAAAACTCCGTTTTGCGTGAGTTCTTTCAGATCGTCGCTTTCAAATATGGACTTCATATTGTTGACCACCATTTCTTGGCCTTCAAACAATCTTTCAATTGACCTGAGCTCATCCTCCATGTCACGAAGCTCCATGAGCGCAGATGTATTTTCACGATTTTCGCGCTCAGCTTCCTGGAGTTCTCGCCTATGGCGTTTCTTGATGGAGTCAGGGCGATTGCTGTCATCCGAGTCGACATCGACGTCTTTGAATGTTTGCATGCGAAAGCGTTTGAGCGATGAAGTCATGCGTTCAGTCTAGATAGCCAAGTGAAGATATCTCCAGGTTAGATTCCAAGATTCCAAGAAGCATATTCATGGGGGAGCGTACGAGCATGCTTATCGCCTCCTCAAATATTCGGAAAATCTCCAGATCAGGATGCGAAGTCCTGTCCAGGAGAACAGTGATGGCATGCAGCACGATAAAAGCTGCCAGATCAAGCGCGTTTTCGCAGCGTCCTGTCAGGTCGCCGTTCAGTTCATTATAGACACTGTTTCTCAAATCCGCTTGCTGAAACAGTGGTCCTTCTTTCGGTTTGGACTCCCTCTTCGAGAAGAAGGTGGTTAAGGTTTCTGCCGTCGAACGTCAGCATTGCTTACCTCATTGAAAACACAAAATGACAGAAAACTTACGCGTATCGATAGCCCACAGCCAAAGTTGGTCGACCATAAGGACCTTGCCATCTTTGATAACTTTGTCCAAATCTTCCTCTACCCCTTCGCTGTCGCTTGCTTCATCCTCGAGCAGCCCTGTACTAGACGGTGTCAGCTTGTCTGTCGGGCTCCAGGCGGAGCTTGCCGTTCGTCTCCGATTCAAAGCTGACGGTTCACGATCATCGCCACTCGAAGATTGATCCTTTGTCAGCTTGTATAGCATTTGGTCGTCATCCCGAGCCCATGTATCTCTGAGTGACGGATAATCATATTGGTCTAGTGTTCGGCGGTAATTGAGTGGGGGATCGTAGCCAATGTATTCCCAAATCATCCGCAACTCAGCTGACTCCAGGTCTGCAACGTCCCGAGGGACAGGACGCGCACGGCCATGTTGCATGCGACGCAGAATAAAGTTCCTTCTTTGCAAGATGTCGATGTACCTATCGAAATGCAAGAAAGGAAGATAAAGATACAAGTAGGACGAGGAGGGGCCGGTAGCAGGACTAACACGGCCGGAAAGATTAGGCGATGGGTGAGGAGATGGTGCTGCGAGCGTATCAGTATGAGAATTTTGACTAGTCCCTGAGTTCATTTCTACCTGAGCCAGCTGGAATCAAGCTACATGCCGGCTTGACAAATGATGCTTGTGATTGAGAATGTCTTCCAATGACGTGTTTCGATGTCCAGTTATCGTAATTGAAGAGTTTGATGAAGCTTGGGTCATGCGGGTTGGCAATAACACTGAAGATGTCCTACAGCATGTCAACGATTAAACGTGAGCATGAGGGAATGCAAGATTACTGACTTTTACCCATGATGGATTTGTAAAAGGGGTATGAATCCACATGAACTTCCTCGCTAAGGGATTAGGCCTTGAGAACCCTGCTGTCGCGTCATCTAGCGGCGATGCTCTAGATGGCTGATCTTGGTGTCCAGTAAACGGGCCCGAATGAGTTTTCTCAGTGTTCACCTCATCAAGACTGTGCCGGCCAGCGGCCTTAGGCGATAGCTCTAGATCTGTGGGATCTGATCTAGTGCTTTCGGCATTGCTGCTTTGGCTGGGTGGCCGACTGAAACTTGGCGTCGAGAGCGCTGGTACCGTAAGTGATGCCATGCGACGCACCATCTCAGTAGGCATCGACCTGGTGTTGTCTGGCATTGGTGATCGCGTCACAACAATTGGTGGTGAGCCTTTGCTTTCGGAATCAGAAGTCCTCGACAATCTTTCTGATTTTGAATCTATATGTCCCGCTTCTTGTTGTGGGCCTTGATATCCTAGCGTCAAGCCCAGTCCACTGCTAGTCCTTTGTAAGTCATCGTGTATCTGTTGTGACAACTCCGGATCGGATCGCATTGGGAGGGTTGTTTTCCTCAGGCGCTCTTCCAGACACCGGTGAGGACCCTTCTCCAAAAACTCTTGAAGATGCGGCTTGGTGAAATATAATCGTATGTCCGAGTCTATCTCGGCATCAGGATCATCGTAAAACCCGATGATTTCAACCTTGACATGCTCTTTGAGACGTAACGGAGTGTGAATATGTTGAGAGCTAAGCTCGGTAGCCTTCTTAACAGCTGCAGCGAGTTCCCTTAGGTAAGTGTTCATCGTTTCGGTATTACCTTTCCCAAAAGAAGCGCAATCCGAATGATTACTGTCGAGAGAAAATACTCGCTCTTGCCTCACATCGACTAATGAGGACTTGATGGAGGCTATCGGGGCTCCAAACCGGACTTCCTTTGCTGTACCGCGACTCTTGGATCCGGACCCCGAAAGCTGAGAGTCAATGGTCTCGTAAAAGGTCCATATCCGAAGCTCGCTGGCAATCGTCGCAAATTCATCATGCATCTTGAGCATGGGCTTGTGCCCGAGACGCAGCTCGTCAGAGATAGAGCGCGGTAGAGGCCGCTGCAGGTGAAGAAGACGTTGGATGCTGTCTTTCAGATTGTTTTTTGAGAGATAACTCGAGCCGCGGTGAGGAGTGGCTGGACGGACAAAAGTTAGAACTCATTTGCATGCAGGTTTGTTATTCACACTAACCAAAGAATGTGATGCCATGGCAGTTGTACATGAATGGCTTATAGCGAGAGTTTTGAGTAGCTTTGAGGAGGGCCAACTCAACAACCAAGCCTCCAACACTATGGGCGATGAAGAATAAGGGTCGGGATCGTTGCTAGAGCATATGTCAGAGCCTTTGCCTCTCCAAGGTCAAGGTTGTTATTCCGCACCTTGCCGTCCCTCACATTCCAGACCTGCTCAATCAAGTCTTGTGCAAGTTCTTCCAGAGTAAGGCCTTCAATCATCTCTCGATGCCGGTACAATAGTACTCTGGCTTCGCTCACTTCCTTCCTTATACCTTGCCTCACCCATAGATGGGCGGCTTTAGGGAGGTGACGATTAATGGTCGGCGACAAAATAGTGGCTCCAGCGAGTTCTTTCACTGCAGTCAGTGGCACGTCGCCGGTAGAGTGCTCAAAGTATCCATCTGGTAGTGGGTCGCGGGCCCAAGTCTCAACGGGATCAGCGCCCGGGCACGGCACACAAACAATATCAACGGAAGTCTCATTGTATCCGAGTCCATCGACGTCGCCGTCAATATGTGCAAAGCCAGGTCGGGGGTCCCAAGGAAGTAACCTGGTGTATCCTCCAGGAGCGTTTGATGTCTCGGTATGCGCTTCTTCCGACCGGCGATTGACGGATGAAGACCGCGAGCGACCATGATCTTTGGTGTGCTTTTGAGCGGCCGCAACTCTTTCATCGACGACAGCGACGTCAGTTTCACGCGTTAAAGTCTTCGATTCTGCCATTCTCGTTTAGGTTTTTCTGCAGCTCAAAGTTCACCCCGACACTCTGCGTAGAAATCAGAGGGAACAAGGAGATTGAAATCCTTTTGAAGACGCGTCTACTGCAGGTCAGACCTACGCGAAGATGTCCAAGGCTGGCAAAATGACCCCTACCATTTCGGCCTTCGGCTCTGCAAGGCGTCAGCCCGCCATCTGCGCTTATGCAAATCAGCCCACCAGGGCGACCGATCCCAATAGCTTGGCTTGTCACACACTACCTATAATAAGGAGCCGGCTGAGTTGCACCAAGAACACTATCGGCCGACTCACAGCCTTGTAATGCAATTGCCCTGCGTGGACTGTCTCGTACAGAATGCGATTAAGAGAAGTCGCTTTTGGAGTTTTCACATTCCTTGCATATTCATCAGTATCGCGCTGGGCCTGTACTGAGTATAATGAAGCAAGTCTTCTGATTCGAATTCAAGTACTCTAGTCGTATGAGATGTTCCCTGATTATTGCGCCGCTCTGAAAGTTTCTGTATTGATGGATACCTAAGCCGTTGAATGAGACCAAAAATCATAAACGACTAGGATTCTGAAGGAATATTGGTTGCCTCTATTGGTGTGGCACGAGGTGACCTGCAGGCGGGATCAGCACCGCTAGCTCATCTTGAGCACTAACGTCCCACACCCACTTCTGGGCACCCCCCACATTTGGGCACCCCATTTACACCAAAAACGCCGTTTTTCGAAATTCTATATTAAACTAACTACTATACTTACTAAGAAAAGAAAATATATATAAACTATGTTAAGTATAATTATAGCCATCTAATTTTTTATAAAGGTTTAAATATAATAATAGTTATAATATAGAAGTTTAAAACTAAAAGCTTTAAAATGTTAGTAGATACTAGTAACTTACTAGTATTCCTTAACATTAGAAAAATATATTTTCGCTCATATATACTTATTTAAAAAATCTAGGAAATTAATATTTATACTTATTAAAAGTATATAATTATATCTAAAAGAGATTTAAAAGTATTACTTTAGTAAATATAGTATAATTAAGGGTTAAAATTCTATAATAGAAACTTTTCTTAAGGGAAATTTTAAAATATTATTCTAAGCTTAAAGAATTTTTTACTAAGTATAAGAATATATAAATCTACTATATCTTACTTAAAAATTCTAATCATATTAGTTAAATATCTCTACCTATTTTATATATTAAGATATAGGCTAGGTAAATTAGTATTATAAATGTTAAACCTTGAATTTATAATACTTATTATCAATAATACTAGTATATAGCTACTTAAGTATTATAATTAAGTCTTAATCTATTTAACATATATTTATTCTCTTTAATAAGTAAAGTATTTAGTTTAATATAGAATTTCGAAAAACGGCGTTTTTGGTGTAAATGGGGTGCCCAAATGTGGGGGGTGCCCAGAAGTGGGTGTGGGACGTTACCGCCAGTCACCTGGACAGGGTAGTTTGGATGACTATGACAGCGCAACAACATAGTTGCCTGGCCTTGCGTCTTGACTGACAGAACTATGACATAAGGTAAGGTACTAGATGGCAATTTGAAACTTCCAGCTATCTTTGGCAATATCTTTTTTAAAGCTTGCTTTTTCAGAACGAAGGACAGGTCTCTTCGATAGTACATAAGGTATCTGACTGAATACCATATTCTTCCGCGACTTTTGAAGTACCTATAGGCTTAGAAAGATGATGATTTTATATGTAGAGGCGGTTCAGACAACACCGGTAACGTTAACAAACCATACTTAACGACTCTGAAGTGACGATCTCGCAGTATAGCGGAAATGCATGGCCCTATATTGCACGGATCTTACGTTCAAAGCTCTCTCGAGGCTCACCTGGCCACTGTCACAGTTCTATGAACAGTCATCAGGGGCACGTGATATCTCACGTGCTGGCCGTACCCGTATAAGAGACGCCCTCGACAGCATCATCGTCAGTAGACCAACTCAATAGAGGACCAACTGCTTATACCTACGTTTATCAATTCATCGTTGTTTATTGCCTTGTGACCGTTTGTTTGACTTCTGCACTATTCTATTTACATCTCTATTCTTATCACGGTTCCGACCTCTGCCTGTTGTAGCCACGTGCTAGCAGGAAGAACTGTGACAAGTGGTAGCACAACTTAATCTCGATCAATTTTTTCTCTCGATTCAACCGCGATACATCGCGGAGAATCTCGAGGGAAACACCCTACGAGCCTACTCGCTCAAAATCACAACCCATACCTCGACGTAGCCAACGTAGACTTACACGATGAGTTACGCAAATAACCCGAGGTTAAACAACGGTCATCGCGAGACAGCGAGACGTCTCCTACGATATTGGGAGACATATCCCGATGATCCCAAAACAACAAGAATTTCAGACTCCTTCCGAGCATATACGAGTGTTATAGCGTTCATCGCGTGGAATACGAATATCGGCCGAATCGACGTCAGATACGACGATAGAACCTGGACTCAGGCAACGCAACTCGAAGACAGCTGGAGGATAGAGAATTACGACTATAACGAGGCGGTAAATAGCATCGCCAGGGCGATTATCTACGCCCGAGAACTCCAGGACCTTCAAGGACAATTCGGAGAACCAAGCTCGGAAGAGTCAGACATCACGAAAAGCAAGCAACCCGTGAGAGACAACGAAACCACCGAACCAGCGCCAATAACGCCGCCAACACAGCTTCAACAGCAAGAGCAACAACCTCCTGGGGCACCACTCAAGCACGGCCAATACGAGGGGAATCACGAGGACCCCCAAAAGCCACAGTCAGCGGTATCGGATACAACCGCAAGCCAACCTCAACAAACTTTTCAGCAAGCGGGACCGTCAAATCAACAACAATATACGAAACCGCTGCAAGCCGAGGTTATTCCTCCAAAAACGGAGGCACGAGTCATGGGGACCCCATCGGAGGGAACGCAATTTATACCGAGCCAGGGATGGAATCCTCAACAGCAATATATGCCCCCCGGCACAGGAGGATACCTTCCCCCTCAGGGGCAGATGCCATACCCAATGGCAACGGGATTTCCATCCTTCCAGACTCCACCGCCCCCTCAAATGCAGCAGCAGTTCGAGGCAATGCTAATAAACGCGTTCGGAAGGCTGTTGGGCACGGCAACGCCGGGATCGGAACTACCGAACCCAGGGAGGAGATTCGCAGCCATAACGAACATTCAGCAACGATACGGAGTATTCTGGCCCGACGCCGACAGCAAGTACGGCAGGGAGCCCATATTCCACGACCGAGAGACACCATGCTACCGAGACGTAGACCTATGGCTCTCGGCGATCGAAGCCAAGATCGTTGATCCTCACGCTCGAGACGAGGTCTTCAGAGAATGGCAGAGCCTACTTAGAGGCAAAGCACTCAGCTGGTGGGAATATCACCTCGGGCCCGTGGAAAGGAACCAGTACAAGGCCCAGGGATGGTTCGGCCTGCAGAAGGGACTGAGAGCCCGCTTCGGGCCAACCCAGATAGAAGCAATCCAATGGGTAGTATCCAACAAGTTCACCGTAGAAAAGATCGGTAGCAACAAGGATATCCGATTATTCGCCCAAGACTGCTTCAAATATGGCAGAGCATGGTTGGGATCGTCAACGCCCCAGCAGCAACTACTCACGATATTCTACAACGCTCTGGACCCATCTCTGCAACGATTTCTCCACGAACCAACGCTTAATGATACGGTTGAGAGCTATCTCAGACTCGCCGAGGAAAAACGCGGAGTTATTCGAAGATACCTGCAGACCCCAATCGAGGTTCTTCACACAACCGCCCCAGACAGTGAGGATAACGCTCTATGGGGAGAACCACGCCCAGCCTGGAACAACAGGAACCAAGAGAAACGCGATTTTCCCCAGCTACAACGTGACCAGCCCCAATGGCAACAAAAGAAAACGCAACCTAACTGGAAACAACAAAACTGGAAAGACCGCAAACCCTGGAACGCACAGCAGAAGTTCCCGAACTCAAGGCGATTCGCCCGGTATAACCGTCCGGGTCAACCGCCTAACGACGCTAAGTTCGTGTGGGAAGACGAATCGGACGAGGACATGATCAATCACCTCGTCGATCACGGGTATATCCTCGAAGACGTCGTAGAAGTTCCAGCGGCACAACCACAAGAGGAAGAGGTAGCCCATACAGGATGGACTAGTGACGTTGCCTTCCGCGCCCACGAGGCGACCACTCCCAAGGCAGAGATCCCTCCCCCATCTCCTCAAATACAAGAGGAAGTAACGGTAGTCACGACGGCGTATCAAACAGAGCCCCAGACGGAGCCGCCTAGCGACTTCGCTGGAGTAGCCGTGAAAAACCACGAAATCAGAGAGTTGCCGAAGTTAGCACCAGGCCAAATCATCGACGCTCAGACGAAACCGAATAAGCGTGGCATGCCCTCGAAAAGAACACACCTTCGACTCCACGTCAAAGCCGACGACAATAGCGAACCAGACGAGGTGTGTATCGACACAGGAGCCTCAACCATACTAGTTGAAAAGTCCTGGGTCACACGATTCGCCCGCAAATCGTCTTTTCGAGCGATCGAACCAAGGAAAATGAACGCCGTAGATTCCACCTTCCAGGTCACAGAAGAAGTAACATTTGACTTCTACGTCCCTGGTAAAATAGGCGAGACAGACGTGAACGCACACGTTATTGTCACAGCAGGGGTTGTCAACATGCTCGGAGCAAACCTATTGCTCGGCACCCCCTTCTGTGAGGAACACGGTCTCGTCGTAGACTTCAACAAGTCTGTTGTTAAGTTTCGATCCGTATTTAATATGGAGGCGCCCGTTGAGTATCGACGGCAGACGCCACCCGCCAGGCGCGTGGACAACGCCTACGCAGTAACAATTCCACGGAAGAGTCAAGTCTTCGTCCCGGGACGATACAGCCCTCTGCCAAGGGATAGTAACGACGGGAGCGAGACCTGGCACTTCCACCCAACACATGAGGCAGC